GGAGCTGTTGATGTTGCCGGTAACGAACCGGAGCCCGCGTGCGCTCAGATTGGCAACGAACCTCTCGATCTCTCAGAATTTACGGTTCAGAAGGATACGAAACCCACCAATGAATCTACACCTCAAGATGGTGGCGAGGTAGCTGCGCCTGTTATGTCAAAAAATCAAATGAAGAAACTACGCCGCGCCGCAGCTCACCAGGAAAAGCGCGCGCTTCAAAAGTCCCAGAAGAAGGAAAAGCTCATACAAAAGCGAGACCGTCGCAGGGCTATGGTTGAGGAGGCAAGGGAAAAAGGCGGCGAGGAAGCTGTGAACGAGCTACGCCACTTATGGCGAGGCAAGAAAGCCAAGCACACCAGGTCCACACTACTACCTCTGACGTTCGTGATGGATTGCGGCTACGACGAGCTGATGTCTGACAGAGAGCGCATCTCATTGGCTGGCCAGCTTACGCGATCGTACTCAGACAACAGCCGCGCAGTATTCAACGGGCACATGATGTTCTCGTCATTCGACAAACTACTGAAAGAGCGATTCGACACTGTGTTGGCGTGCCACAAAAACTGGAAGCGTGTTCGCTTTTTCCAGGAAGATTTTGTGCATGCTAGCGAAGTGGCTAAAGAACAGATGACAGCCGCGCGAGGAGGTCAGCTTGCTGGCCCGTTCGCTGACCAAATTGATGCGAAGCCTGAGGACGGGGAAATCATCTATCTCAGCAGTGATAGTGAGAATACTTTGACCGAGCTCAAGCCTTACAGTACTTACATTGTCGGGGCGCTAGTGGATAAGAACCGACACAAGGCAGTCTGCTACAACCAGGCGGTTGCGAAGGGCATCAAAACTGCCAAATTGCCTATTGGGCAGTATATTCGAATGGCACACCGTCCGGTACTGGCTACCAACCATGTCATTGAGATCATGCTTGCATGGTTGGAGCTTCGTGACTGGGGCAAGGCGTTCATGAAGGTCATTCCCACCCGGAAAGGCGGAGCTTTGAGGGAAGACAAGAACGATGCGGAGCACAACGCCGAGAATGATGCTGATGATGCGAATGAGGAAGAGATGGAAGCTGAACAGATGAAGCAGCTTGATGAGATTGCTGCCTTTGAGGAAGGAAGCGAGGACGAAAACGAAGAGAAGGAATAGTTTGAACTATCTAAAATACGAATACCTTGTACATGTTTACAACGCCAAAAGAGACAGCCAGCGATTGAGATATGGAGATACGCTTGTATCGATAGTCTTGCATTGGTCGTCGTCTGCAGTGGACTTTTGACCTCCTTGAGCTCTACTGTCCCTTTTTGTCAATGCTTAACTAACTTTTACCAGGTTTGTAAATTCTCAATAACTGCGCCCATTTATCCCTTATGTATATTCTTGCTTTCTTTGACTAAGAGACGGCAGTGAAATTGAATGTAGGAAAAAGCATATTGCCAATTTAGGAATGGAGCGAACTCGGGTGCTTACCTCAGCAATTAGCCACAACAGCCACAACCTTGGAATCTATGACGGAAGCGATTTTCATTGTGATTATTGCACTTGAGGACTTGCTTTTGCTTCTTTCTCGCTATCCTCTTCATATAGGCAGAAAGAGCCTTTGCTACTGTGCCTACTTCTTTTGCTCTTTCCTGCATTACTTTCCTTTCTTTTCTTCTTGCCTCTCTTCCTCTCTCAACTGCCTCTCGCATTTTTGTTTGGCAGCTGCCCCTCGCAACCATGTTTATGCTCCGCAACGGTAAGCAACGCGCCTTTCATGCCCCGCCAAACCCCTCCATACAAGGACACCTTTTTGTTTGGTGGGCATTTTGAACTAGTAAACTGATATCTCGTCTTCCTTGAATTCAATAGTGAGCAAATTTTTGTTTGGTGACGCTTCGAAAGAATCCATCATCGAAATCCCCCAAGGCGAGCTGTACCTGGTCCGCCCACAGTCTCCCAAAGGTTACTCTGAGCTTATCTTCAAGGACGCTGCTGCCACGATCCGACGTACCGGCCAGGACTTCCAGTACCAGCTTGTAATCCAGAGAGCTTATGAAGAGGGCGAGGAAGAACTTGCGGATGACGACGGCGAGCAAGGCGCGGGCGACGGCCTAGATAAGGACGAGAAGGTTTTCCTCTTGGACCAAACCCTCCACTTTCGCTCTGAACTCCGTGAGGGAGGCGCAAAGATATTGGCCTGGGATGATCTGAGCGGCGACGCTGGTGATCTCTTTGAATTCATTTGTGACTCTTCTGTCCCTTCGGACAAAGTTGCCACTTTCGAGCTTGCCGCCCTCCAGTGTCAGTACGAACGTAAACATCGCCGCAGTGCACAGAAGGCTACGGAGGCAGAGCTGGAGGAGTTCTCATACAACGAAGAGAAGCCCATTCCATCTGCTAGTCCGGTCTCTTCGCCGACCAGAAATTCCTTGACAGCAGAGGATTCAGCTGCAGCTATGGCAAAAGACGTGGAATATGCCCAGTCTAAAGGACAGATTAAGACTGCCACTCTTGAGGAGGAACCGACTACTGCCCCACCGTCTGCAGCCCATCCCGAAGCTAAGGAGATTCTTTGCAAGGAAAATGCCGAGCTGCATCTGTTCGACTTTTCCACTGGAACCTTTGTGCTCCAGGAGTCGGACATCGTTGCAACTGTGTCGGAGGTCGGTACTTGGCAGTACTGGCTCCAGATTTCTGGCAAGGATAAGGAGTGGTTAGGACAAGCTGTCGTCGCCGATATCAACCCCGTCTTCAACTTCGAATATCTTTCGTTCATTTTCAACCATTACGGCGAAGATGGTTCGGCCTACTCATGGCTCCTGCGGTTCAAGGACCAAGCCTCGGAAGAACGGTTCCAGGAGGGTCTGATGCAGGCGCTGTGGGAACAGCTCAATGAGTTGAAGTGGACTAAAGTCAAGGAGAATGACCGCGATTATGTTCTTGACGCCTTCCAGGATCTTACCATGGAAGATGCCGACGACAAGCCAGAGGAAGAAGTTGAGGAAGAGGAAGAAGAGCCCGAAGAGGAGTATGATGGCGACCAGGACGACGCTCAACGTAGTGAACACTACGATAGCGACGAAGAGGAAGAAGATGTTGTCACGCGCGATGCAGATGGAAATGTCAACTCACAATTGGCAGTTGGCTACAAGCATGATCGATCATTTGTTGTGCGCGGTTCCAAGATCGGAGTCTTCAAGCACACCGCTCACAACAACCTTGAATTCTCCACGACTATTTCAAAGGTTGAGACCCCTAAGGGCAACCTTTTCAGCCCCAAGAAGGTCATGCTCCATGCTGAGGATCAGAACATGATTCTTCAGAATGGAGATGATCCCAACTCGCTGTACAAGATGGATCTGGAGTATGGCAAAATCGTCGATGAATGGAAGGTCCATGACGACATTGCCGTGGAGACGTTTGCTCCCGAAAATGTAAGTGACCTCGCACATCTTGATACTTATCTCGTGATAAACTAACAAACTCGCAGAAATTCGCACAGATGACCGCGGCGCAGCCATTCGTCGGTGTCTCGAAGAACGCCCTTTACCGCATCGATCCTCGTCTTTCTGGCAACAAGCTTGTCGACTCCGATCTCAAGCAGTATGCCAGCAAGAATGACTTCTCGGCTGTGGCTACTACTGAGAAGGGATACCTTGCTGTCGCATCTAATAAGGGTGACATCCGCATGTTCGACCGTCTGGGCATCAATGCGAAGACTCACATCCCGGCTCTCGGCGAGCCGATCATCGGCCTTGATGTATCTGCAGATGGACGTTGGGTCCTGGCAACTTGCCGTACCTACCTTCTCCTAATTGATTCGCTGCAGAAGGAAGGCAAGAACGAGGGCAAGCTCGGATTCGAGCGTGCTTTCGCGAAGGACTCAAAGCCTCAGCCTCGCCGTCTCGGCTTGCAGCCCGCTCACGTTGCCCAGTTCCAACACGAGACGAAACAGCCTCTCTCATTCACCACGGCACGCTTCAATACTGGTGTTGACTCAACAGAAACCAGTATCGTTACTGCTACCGGTCCCTTCATCATTACATGGAGTATGAAGAAGGTTGTTGCCAACCGCAAGGACCCGTACACTATCAAGCGTTATGGTGAGAATGTCATGGCCGATAACTTCCGGTTCGGCTCTGACAAGAATGTCATCGTTGCTCTACCAAACGAGGTCAACATGGTCGCCAAGCGTACCTTCCAGAAGCCTACGCGGGAGAGTATCGCTGGTCCCGCCACACCAAACCGTGCGCGCAGTGGATGGAGCAGCCGTCTTGCCAGGGATGACATTGTCAACTCGCCGTACTAGTCTTCTCATTACTTTCCCCTTATGCCTCTCGGCCCCTTGACTTTCTCTATTTTTGTACCATTACCCATACCCCCTGATGTTTTTGTGCTTTTCCATCTTTTCCAATGTTGTGATTTTCTTTGCGACGTTTTGCTCTTCTGACGCCGCTGGAGGTCTCTATATTGGGTTCTTCTTCACATTCACTACTCTGTTTCTGTTATTTGAACTTCTTGGGCGATATTAATTTGGAGCTAAAGGGTGGCTCTCATTAAACGAGATTTTATTCTGCAAGGTAGCTAGCTAGTTTAAACAATTCACAAATGAAATATCCAACAGTTAATCACTTATCATAGAGGAGTGTTGTCCATTGATAATCATCCTTGTCATCATGTATATATCCTCAATCTAGGTGCCGCCTTCTCCGACGCTCTCTCCTTCCACTGATTATCTCCTCGTGACACTGGTCACAAACCCAGTCTGTCTATTCAAGAGGTGCTGTAGGCCAACGGTTCCGCTTCACCACCTCCTTGGCAGTATCGCATTCGCAGCACCATGCATAGATGAACTTCTCGTTGTCGCGGACTGCTTTGGCGATATCTTTGACCCCTTGAGTACCCGGCCGATATTTCTCCACTAGCGGAAGGGTGGGATATCGGGGACAAAATGGACACCCCAACACCGCATTGTTGATCACAAGCCCTGCAGAGTTGTGCCTGTACCATCCCATAGGCAGTCAATGCACATTTCCTGGAAACACCCATCGCGTCCATAGGCTGAGAAGCATAGCGAACATTTGCCATCGCTTGTTTTGCTGCGTTTGAGGATCTTTCGCAGGGTTGAGATTAGCTTCTTGGAGTTGCGGATGGGATCGGGGGTACTGACACTCCTGACATGTCACTAGTGGTCCGACTGATTCGAATATTGTACTCGAAGTCGATGGGATTGATTACAATGTTCTATTTGGAGTGAATGGGACTTGAACTGTTAGTCGGGTGTGGAGGCTCCTCTAGACGTTTGTAAGTAACAAGACGGCCAAACAAATCTCTGTCAGTGAGATTCAAGATCCGAGATTGGGTCATGATCAACCCCATATCGTGCCGTTTCTAGTGTGCTTCATAAGTGTCAAGAAGAAGTATCAAACATCCGAGATTCCATGTTTAAGGTATTGCAGGGTCATTCCGTCTGTCTTTGAATGCAAGCATCTCCTGTTCTGCTACTTCAATGAGCGGCACAATCCCCATCCTCAGGCTGAGGGCAGCAAGAAGAGCAGCAGATCGAGCTAGCAGCTTCGTTCCTAGCACAATGGTATGTAAGAGGACCTTCCAGAACTGTCGATTGTACTTTTCTGATGCTAATACAAACGGAATTTTGGCCACATGATTGGCACAGATGCTGGAGATATGGTCGGGCATTTCGCGCGCTGACGTTACAACAGTTAGTCTAGTCAAGATACCGCCAAACCGCCAAAGAATACCGGGGTTGCAACATGCAAAAGCTCAGATTAGGTCAGAGATGAGATGGGCTTATTCCTCCCATCTTCTGCACCATACTTTTCGTTCTTAAAGCTCAATGTCGGGTCAATGAAGACACAAGGATATATTTCTGGTCCAGGGACACTGTTGATCATAGATGTGATCCCTTCGGTAAAGTCTGGCATAGGGTCCGTCCTTTTGGAAATATAATTTTTCATGACATCGGCAGTCAACTTGACCCTCGTGATGTTGTCGCTTTCTTCCCCCAAACCCTCAAATCAGTCAAGCAATACGGAAATGTGCGTAGACTTTCCTCATCATCAAGGCTGTCAATTTCACGAACCGAGATAGTGTAACAACTCTGCGGGGATATCCCCAGCTTGACCTTTGTCGGAGGCAGGAGGATCTTTGTCCACCCCCCATCCATGCCAGGAGTAGGTCAACTGTCTCCTTAAAAATGTCCCTTACAAGGTGGCTTTTCATATGAACACAAGCTCCACCAGTCCGAGAACACAGGTAGTTGTACTAGTAATATTTCCATGATATCATGGATTTATTAAGAATGCTAAAGACTTGCGCCTGTTTCGGTCCGCCTTGAAGGGTATTGCATGATGATACCCAGTCAAAAATGCAGGGCCGTATCCAGAGTACGACCTCGGGGCCATCAGGGGATCTTCCTTCTTCGGGTGGAACAAACTACAAACTACTACCGTAAAAATAACTTGCAGTAGGGCACGTTTTAGCGCAAAGAAAGACCGGTGTTTTTGCATCTGCACGCATGACCTGGCATGCCTTTGCCAGAGCTGTCTTAACAGCCTCACCGCGGTTGCGTCTGACATTCTCCCGGAGTCTTTTGGCGAAAGCGATGAGATCGGGGTGAGGTTCTTGCGAGGATTCATGTTGGCCTTGATTCAGCCATCCTGACCATTCGAGGACACTGTCAGCTTGGTAGCTGCGGTATGCCAGAACTCCGATTCGCGAAAAGCATCCTATGTCAGCGGAAATCGAAATTATTTTAGTGAGCAATGCGGTTAGTGAGCGTATACAGGAGTTGCAATTACTTGACGCATCGCCGATGAGGAGTAAGTCATGCTGGTCCATTTTGACGAAATAGAGGACGAAATATCTTGCATTTGATGAGGCTGACTGGGTGATGAGACAGTGGAGAGCTAGTGAGACTGGAGAAAGAAAAGAGAAGTCCACGGGCATATATATCTCTGGGAAGTTACCTAATCTGGTTTAGGAGCTGATTATATAAATGATAGGTCCTAAGACTAATAGCTATATAAATCTAAAAAGGATAGCCCTATATCAGAATGATATCAGAAAGAACACATCCCCACATATAATCGAAGAGATGACATAGATTACAAATGAACGTGGGTTGATGAACGTATGATCCCAATAATCCATCGTACCCCTGCACCGCTGTGAGTACCAGAGGGTGAGAGGAATGCCTGTTTCGGCACTGAACTTTCGATATGCAATCCGAATTGAACCAACATGCGCGTACTGATCTACTACTTTCTCGTAGTAATTTAAAGCCAGGATGACTATATTGATGCTCAGATTTACGGAGCAACCTATTTCAGCAATATGAACCAGGGCTACTGTAAAGGCTACATGCATACTCTATTTATACTGTGTCTGTTATCAATAACTGGATCTTGCCCTTTTTGGAATTAGCATTATTCGTTAAAATAGGCCGTGGATAGCATTATATTAATAAAAAGGATTAGTAACACTGTACACTAAGTACATAAAATAATACCAAATGCGGGTAAAGCGGATGCTTCGCCTGCCCAAAATGGCAAGGGCAGATAGGCTCTCTGACGTTAGAACATAAGAACCTCGGGCGGGACCTCGGGATGGTCCCGAGGTCTATGGGTCCACCGTCCCATTTAGGCTTAGCTCTGATGTCATTGTAAGCTTACAACTTGTGAACCAAAAAAAGAGAGGCATAGATGGCTGTAAAAACATTAATTTAAAGCGTGGTGATGCAAGGATTCGTATGAGGTAAAAAGCTTCATTTTCATATGTTTGTGAGAGAGAGAGAGCGCTTGTAAACTACTATCAAAAATGGAGGTGGATTTGTAAGGGAGATAAGCACCCAGCTATATATGCATGGGTCATCTTAGATTGTTGTAGAGCGGGGTACCAGAGGTCAAAAACGAGGCCTAAACCCGAGGTTTGATTTAAAATCAGAAACCCCGACCATTGTATATGAGCCAATCACAAATAGAGCGCTGCTATTTCTTTGTCTTCAGTGGGTGGATACCTAGCTTGGTAATACGGGAGATTGAGAAGAGGAACACTTAAGAGGTTTGATAGCCATTGTTTCCTCTCTTCATACAAAAGATTTAAGCCTATCGGTCTCTCTCCTTTGAAGAACATCCGACTATTCTTCCGTTGAATAATCGACGACATAAGCAGTAAGGAAGGGCTTACAGAGCTTGCTTTTCTTCCTGTCATATTATCATACTGATCTCAAGTTATTTATAGATGTCTTCCGAACCAACCGAACACATTGCCATCCATCTTCAACAGCGCCCCGAGAGAGATATTATCCCTGGGGAGACATTTGCTACACAAAAGCATAAAACTCCCACTGCAGCAGATCTTCAAGATGGAGATGTTATCTTAGAAACCCTGTATCTAAGCCTGGATCCCGCGATGCGTGGCTGGCTGGACGATGTACCTTCATATCTCCCTCCGGTCGCAATCGGCGAAATCATGCGTGGCCATGCTCTGGGCCGTGTGACTGCCTCGCGATCACAAAAGTTCCCAGTCGGCTCCTATGCCCTTGGGATTGTAGGCTGGACCGAGCAGGCCATTGTCAATGAAAGCTCCCTGGAGGCTGTGCCTGCACCTGATCCTGCCAGTGGAGGTCGCTTGACTGATCATATGAGTGTCCTTGGAATGACAGGAGCTACTGCGTACTGGGGCATGGTCGAAGTTGGCCAGGTCAAGCCTGGGGACTTTGTGGTTGTCTCCGGCGCAGCAGGAGCAACGGGGTCTATTGCTGGACAGGTTGCAAAGATCCTTGGCGCTACGGTGTATGGAATTGCAGGCTCGGATGAGAAGTGTCGTTGGTTGGTTGATGAGCTCAAATTCGATGGGGCGTTAAACTATAAGAGTGACGATTTCGCCAAAAAGTTCAAAAGCCTAGCGCAAGGGAAGATCGATGTCTTTTACGACAATGTTGGAGGAGAGGTTCTCGACTTGGCTCTTCTCTGTGCTAAAAAGAATGCTCGATTTGTCATGTGCGGCGGGATCAGCCAATACAATGCACAGGAGGTTCAAGGGCCAAAGAACTACATGATGATATGGAGGATGCGGATTCGCATGGAAGGCTTCATTGTCTTTGATCATATGGATAAGGTCCCCGAAGTCAGACGGAAGCTCAGCGAGTGGCTTGCAGAAGGTCGATTGCAGCGCAGGGAAACCATTGTGCGAGGGGGTATATCGCAAGCAGAAACTGCCTTGGTGCAACTGTATCATGGCGTGAATACAGGTAAGCTTGGCATCCTAGGACTACCTAGGTATACGTCTACTCCCAAAATCTATGCTTTTATGCTGAACATCTCGCAGGAAAATTGCTTGTCGAGGTCAAGGCTCCTTGAAAGCTGACCACAGGCCCTTCCAATGCATCTTCCTGCCTCCCTGTATGATTTTCCCTGGAAACCTGTAGACTCCAAAGTGAATTTGTTTTTAGGATGAACGGTCATCATCCGAATGTGTCAAGGATTGAGTGTTTCTATGTATTTCTTACTCTTACAATTTCCATATATTTCTCAAAAACCATAAGATCGAAATTATGTAGTTTCCTCAGCCCCCGTACCATTCCGAAACATGCTAAGAAATTTCTCATTGAATCGTAAGTATTGAATGACGTATATTGTGACTATCATGAGTTCATAAACACACCACCCAGCAGAGTGGCATCAAAACTAGCTGCAAATAGCTCCGACGTATACCTAGGTATCCAGCCTCAGCTCCAAATATCCTTCCCCGACAGTGCCGCCAACGCAAAATGACTCCCAAGCGTCGGCCTCGCACGGAAAGAATACGACTCCCCAGCAACATACTCCCCACTATCAACAACCCAATACCGATCCGATAACGGCGCTTCATTCAATCCATTAGCAAGATACGCATGTAAATCCGCAATAAACACCTCTCTTGCATTACCCTCAACAGTAGCAGCAACAAATGACTGCCAATTCGTCTGGCCCCAGCCTAAGGCACCGTCGAGTGGAATACCCGCTTGCTGTCGGACAGTCGGGTAGAACTTTGCTGTGGCATTATATGCCTCGTCGAAAAGATCAAGCTCGAAGAGGAGATCTGGGTAATGATTGAAAACGAGGAACCAAGGTTGTATACCATATTGGATTAGGAAATGTGTTCCATCGGCGCTACCGAGGTCTGACCAGATATTTGTGGCGAAAGATTTACCGTAGGAGGTGTATGTTTCGTTATTTGTGATGCTTCCATAGGAAGCGAGGGCGACAGATGCTTTGACAGCTAGATTTGTTTGGTTTGCAAGTTCGCCTAGGGCGTCGTTTAAGGAGAGTTGAGAGGTTGGGTAGAGGCCGTTCTCGTACAGGTAGGATGCATATTGGGAGAGTTGAGATGCGTAGGTTGTTGCCAGGTCTGTTTTTCCGGATGCGAGTTGGTAGGCATGCGTGAGGAGGATGATGTTGCCTGATTCTTCGATGGGCATTTCTTCACCGGTTGATGGGTGGCCTGTTGCGTTGGGGTAGCTGGCGCCTATTTCGTGGACTGCGTATGATTTGTCGTAGGCGCTGCTTCCTGTGTATTGCAGGATTGGGTCCAGGAGAAGCTTGATGTAGTCCGGACTTAGGAGGTAGAAGATTGGGAAGGTTGCGAAGATCACGTCTACTGTGTTTATGTTCCCATCGCTGGAAATCTCTTTGATAAAAGCGCGGGTATTGCTTGTGTCGAGAGAGTCGTTTGGGATGGTTATTTCGATCCCGCCGTAGACTTGACGGACGGAGAGGGCTAGGATATCTGAATAGTTGGATCCATAGCTTGAGACACCGGTTGATTGTATGAGGCTGTCAAATGTCGCAGACTCCTCGTTTGCATCCGAGTAGTCATCCAAGAAATAGGAGACTGCATCGAGGATGCTTGGGTATTGAGCTCGGTAGTAACCCGTTTGAGCAGCGCCAAAATAATTGATCGATTCTTCGCGTACATGACCAACTGCAAACGTCACGGCGACTTCTTCAGCGGTTGTCCCGAGGTCATGCGAGAATCCAACCACGCTAGTGGAAGTCCATTCGGCATGTGTGTCGGATAGAGTACCATTTGAGATGAAGCTTTGACGCACCGACGCCGACGGCCCGGAAGCAGTGGAGAGCGAACCACCGGTTGGGGGACGGGTGGCGTAGACGGCACTGCCCCACAAGGCTTGGCCATTCGCGTTTTCCGAATATGTTGCCGTATCCACGCCTGTAATTTCAAAGACGCCGGTTGTGTTCAAGGAAGAGTAATTCCAGCTCACGTCATTTGCCTGACCGACCCAGCTATCATCGATATCGGAGTAAATCTGCACAGAGGTCGAGTCACCCGCAGCAAGGGTGACAGTGAGATAAGAGAAGGGCAGTGACTGGCGAAGGTAATTCTTCGGTGAGACTGGGGAGAAGAAATCAAGACTGAAAGTCCTAGCACCGGCTTCTACGGTAAAGATGGAATGGGTGGACGTGTAGGCGGCCTTTGTCACAGTCCCAGACTTGGTTCCGGCCAAGGGCAACTTCACGCCAAAGAGATTCCACACGACGCCATCGACCCGCGCGCTGACGGTCCAGATCAGATCATTACCGGCCCAGAATTGCGCTCTACTTGAGCCGAGTGATGCGACTGAGTTTCCGGGAATCCATGCTGCAGATCTGTCAACCACTGAATTCTGGGGAAAGTGATCTACCTACCTGAAAGGTATGGACTGCGCACTGCCAACGGGTATGAAGGTGGTTTTATTGGGGAGTATGTGATGGCTTGGCACAGAGATGCCAATATCATAAACACCGCGTTGAACCACATCTTCGAATTATATATACAGATCAAGGAAATATGTCGGGGCTTTTGAGAATATATTCCTTTTTATAAATCGATTCTAATATCCCGAGTTTCCAGGGAGTCCAGGGCTTCAAATACCAGAGAAATGCGCGTGGGCTTGATCACAACATGACAGGTGAGCCTTGCGCAAGGGCATACTAGGTATAGGTCGACAGTCGGCAATCGGCTATATATGATGACCATAAAAGAAGGTTATTTAATTAATCCTATATAGTGCTCTTCATGCGAAGCACGTAATAAAGTGAGTATATGGTGCATTGTATTTGAAGATCGTTTCCCTCTTCCCGAGTACCTCGCAGATATCCCCCAAGAGCGCTATTGCGCCATTCCTACGGCACGCAAAAAGAAGACAAAAAAACCGCAAAACTTCACTAGGGCGGGCATCTTAAATAGTGATGATTCGGAAAATAGTGGATTATGTATTACTATTACGAATTACGTCCGATCCATGATCTACTTATGTAAATAACCTTGAAACTTATAATAGATTACTTGAAGTGCTACCTTGCTAAGAATACTAATATCTCATAGCCCTAGCTCGATTGTTAGTGACTTTCCTTCTGATTTATCCTAGATGCTTTGCCAGTGATGTTCGTCGCAGTTTTAGACCAATCCAGTTAGAGCAGGGCACACCAAGTCAATCTATGATAGGAACAATTGTTCCAGGAACGTAGACATGTAAGGTAGAAAGAATCCCAACATGTGAGAGTCAAGTATTGAGCTTATCTACATTAGGGTTTATATACAGGCATTTCGTTTTGTTGGCACCTGGTCGTTGGTGCTTGATCCTTCAGGCCAGGGCATGCTCATGGAGGGAAGGCTTCTCCTTCCTGCCTCTCTCTTTGTCTTCTCTTCAAGTTTGTCATCAGCCTATGACAGGATCGTTTGACTGCGCTTCTTGTTCCAGCCCCTTCCGCCGAGGCGTTTGGGATTCCCATTTCAGCAAGAATTTGGAATCAGATATGGTGTCTGGGTGGTCTGGACCTAGTATTCGTTTTCGCTTGGCGAAGCAATTTTGAAGCACATCGATGGCTTCAGCATCGCGACCCGAAGATTTTAAGATATGAGCGAGGTTCGCCATACTCATCAAAGTATCGGGATGATCGTCGCCGAGCTTCGCCTTCCTCGCCTCTGTTACCTGTACTTGGAGCTCCACAGCCTCCTTCCCCCGGTCTTGGTTCCGAAACGCCATAGCTAAATTCGCCATACTCATCAACGTATCGGGATGATCCTCGCTGAGCTTCCTCTTACGAGCCTCCATCACCTGTACTTGGAACTCCTCGGCCTCCTTCCATCGGCCTTGGTCTTGTAATGTCATAGCTAGGTTCGCTATACTCCTTAACGTCTCCGGATGATCCTCGCCGAGCTTCACCTTATTGCCCTTCACTACCTGCAATTGGAGCGGCTCGGCCTCCTCTAATCGGCCCTGGTTCCAAAATGTCAATGCGAGGTTTGCAATACTCCCTAATGTGTCAGGATGATCCTCGCCAAGCTTTGCCTTACTACTGTTCATCACCTGCACTTGAAGCGGCTCGGCCTCCTTCCACCGGCCTTGGTTCCAAAGCGTTAATGCGAGCTTTGCCACACTCGTCAACGTGTCGGGATGATCCTCGCCGAGAGTTGCTTTACGAGTCTCCATCACCTGTACCCCAAGCTCCTCGGCCTGTTTCCACCGGCCCTGGTACCAAAGCGTTGAGGCCAGGTTCGCCATACTGGTCAATGTGTCTGGATGACCCTCGCCGAGCTTCGCCTTACTAGTCTCCATCACCCGCACTTGGAGCGGCTCGGCCTCCTGCCACCGACCCTCAAGCTGGAACGCTGTTGCCAACATAGACATGCTGATAATGACTTCTTCGTGTTCATTACCTAACAAAAGAATTCTTTCTTTTGTTGATTTTGTCGCCATTTTCCTTGTATCCGCAATATTGCCGATTTGCCATGCATACCATGCACCTCTGTAAAGTAGCGAGGCCCATCGCCGTTGTAACTCAGCTGATGTCGGCCGCTGTGACATCGCCGATTTTACATGAGGAAATAGTAGGCTGCACTTCTCCCAATTTTTGTATTCTCCGGTAGGAAAGTCATTGCAAAGGATGGTGATGAATTTATCCTTGCATTGGTCGATTTGTCCATGAGATTTCAACCACGTGCGTGTAGTCAGTTGCACTAGTCGGTGCATCATGAAAGTGCTTTTGTCCTTGATAGTTACGAATGAATAATCCCTTAGTGTTGTGACGTCGTCTTCAAAATCGGGGCCGGTATCAGAGTCAGATGTCTCTCCGTCACTGGAGTTATCAAGCTCTAGGCCAGAAAGCGATATCTCCCTGTTACTAGAGTCACTTAGAAGAGCAGAGACTGATCTTGATTCGTAGTTGGCCTCAGGTCGATGTCGGACAAGACTCTCAGGTATTCGAACCGGGATTCGTTACTCCCATGCACCCAGAAAACCCATATTCCCGGCGATTGGGATCGGATCTGGTAAGAGTATTCGACAGCAAGTTGCGATTTGCTTTGAGCTGTCAGGAACAGTCTATGTAAAAACAGCTCTCCATGTGCTTACCCAACACCGCCGAGGCCAACGAGCGCTATGTTCTTTGTATTTTCACGAAGGATTGTCTGTCTGGCTCTGAGGTGATGGTGGGGCACATCCTCAGCCCCCAGAGTCTAACATCGGGTGATACCAAGGCGCGAGGAGAGGGAACCAACTTGGCGGACAACTGAAATCATGAATTCGACTGATTATGTGTAGGGTAGGATTACTACCCAGGGATTGGCGTCACCCGAGCCCGAATAATCAGATCCCTCCATATATGAGCATGCCTTGATATTATCACTTTGCTGTACTACAAAAGCCTGCCGCTGCTCTCTATTCAATGCGCAGTATAAACAATACAGTCACGAGTTGGATGTTTCAACACTGGAGGTAGCGCGGAGGACTCCAGTCTTTGCATGCGCCCTCTTGTAAGGCCCACAGCCTTCCGATCAAGCTCCCAGGAACTTACAAGTCAAGTTCATTCCTAATACTCAGTCTAGCATCTGACCATTCTTAATGGAGAGAACTGGTGAAATTGATTGTACCTGTGCTGTGACCGACTTGTATGCCCTTATTGTGGCAACCTGAAAAATAAATGTTGTATGCGTTGGTAGGCTGCGGTACGGAAAATTTCGAAATTAATTCGGACACAGCTGTAGAAGCAGTTTGCTCGACTTCCAGCACGCGTGATTGCTGTTCAATCTCTTGAATGGCTAGGGCTCGCTGAGCGCCGCCGTCTTCATCTTCGTCTTCATCCTCGGGACTTTCAAGTTCCGTCTTGCGCTGCAACGCTTCCTCTTGTTTTCTCTTTATGAGTTGGGTGTTCTCCTGGATAGAAGCTTCGATAATTAGTAGTTGCTTCTTTGTCTCTTCCCGTGCTGTCGTGGATGTATTTTCCGATCGGATCAGTATGAATCTTCCAATCGATGAATTAGCACAGTTTATCTATCATGGCACTTACATGGCCACTTACAATTGGGTGCTCCCGATGGCAAACTGGACGATAGCCCGGCAAGAAGAGACCCGCGTCCTGAATGTCTGAATCTTTTCCTTGTTCCACAAGCCGACTGATAGTCGATCCCTGAGGGAAAGCTTCGTAGTACTGGAATGCTTTGTCCATTGCTCAAGTTTCTTTGTAAATTCAGCGCATGCCTGTCCGCAATTATTCACGGCTTCGGCGACACCGGTCTTCTCTAGGTCTTTTTTCGTTTCGTCATAAGTTGTGCTATCGGAAATCTGAAGATTCTCCAGAGCGGAAAGTGGAAGCTGTATGGCTTCCAAATCAGATGTAACATCTTGCAGCATATCTTTGGCTTCGTTAAGGCCATCAATAAGGCTCCGAAGATTATTGATGCTGGAAAAAGCGAATTCGGTGATTCCAAGTACGCCGGTGGTGATACTGAGGGGATCCATCTCGTTTAGATTGGAATGGGACAGTGGTGAGCGTCGTATATCCTCCACGTGAGAATGGTGGATATCAGATAAAATCAATTGCTGGATACGTTATAGAGCTTTGCAGGAATTGTCTAGGAAGTTGGAGACAGTCGCACAATCTCACCTATCACTTAGGTCACCTGCCTGAAATCAAAATGCTGACTGAAATATGGGACGAGGGGCAACTGAAGCCGCTAGTACGTGGCGGACTGCCATTTGCGGGGCCATGGGGCTAAAAAGCAATACACATATTATTAAAGCGCGATTGCTGACTGCATGTGATAAGGACTGCAATAAAACTTGCACAAAATAATCAAGAGCGTCTAGGCACTATAAAAGCCGCATACCAAAGCCGTGTTTATAGGGTTACATTTATGGGGTTACATTTATGGGCAACCGTACGGAGTATTAGAAGACATACTGTACTTGCCAAGAACAGGGGGCTAGGGAAAGCTTTGTGTGCAAGTAGATGTATACTCTGTACTTCCGTAGGGACAAGGACCTTATGACTAAATTGATGAGACTAAACCCTCGAAACCTTATTTATTTCCAGCTTTAGGGCTACATAGAGGGTTTCACTGGTCTCTCTCTCTATCTTCCCTTTCTTGGTCTATCTTTGATAGCTGCATCTAAATATGCCAACAGGGTGCTACAACTAACACCCCCCTCTTTGTCATTCTCGACACACCTTCCTATTTGAGTATCTTCCGGTGCTTCATGAACTGCAGTTTCTCTGTCAGATACTCCGTTAGACCAAGGAATAACACAATAATTAAGAAGAAAAGACAAAAACATAGCACAACGAACTCATACAGTAAGTTAAGTAGCAGTCTTTTACTATGTCAACTCTTTTACTATGTCAACCAGGATTAAGGAAGTGGGTAGGGTATATGGCATAATATTTAATCTCACCCAAATAGGAAGGCCACAGTGAATTCAGGGAAGGTTGACGTAGCCACAGAGACAAGCGGTTGCCTATGGAGTACGGAGTGTATACTGCAGTTATCGATATCTTTTTGCTTTTACTATCTCGGCTAAACGATTTTAGCATTCAAAATTAAACTACACCATAGGGCTAGATCAGCCGCATGAAAGCGATAACCCCAACTCCCATCTTCTCCGGCAGAAATGAATTAAGATACATTTTCAGCATGCGCTAAGAGTTTCTCCTGCTTCAATTTCCATACTCCGTATGGTGTACGGAAAGAATCCGAAAGACCCCTTACCTCCCTCCAGTGAGTCAGTGACAGCCCGATAATGCTTGCATTTAGGTTGTAGTGGACGAAACTAATGGGATTCCACCCGTAGGGTATCTCACCAATCATGCGGATCTTTTCATTGATATATTATTGGATGATTTGGGATATTCGTGCGTACGGCTGAAATACCCGTGCTCGCCACGTCAGTTGTTGATACATCTCGTACAGGACCATAATTTCCCCTCGATATGTCGTGCCCATTGGTACCGGAAACGTCTTGGTTCTGCAGGTTGGGGTGATCCCTGCAATCATGAGGGAAGAACATTGGATAAGAGTATGGTGAAAGCAGTCTAGAGACGCTAATGATGCGTGATGGTAACAAGTCACGCAGCCGTGGGCGTCCACGGGTGTAACAATAACCCCTGGTTACCTTGATCCCACTCTAAACAGTAAATAAATGTACTTCCCCTGTTGAAGAGATTTATGAATGCGTAATTCCTTTAATGAATTCTCTATGCGCCTACTTATAGCGTGCGTCGCTGGGTAGTTTAATCAACAATACGAACCCATTTCAACATTTTCAACAGAGCCTCTGGCTCAACTTTGTGATCTATCATGAATCGAAATTCGAACTTCTCTCCCCCAGATGTCTATGATTACCACGTTGGATGGATTTGTGCAGCTACACAAGACTATGGAGCCGCTTGCAAAGTCCTCGACGAGCAATACCAGCCCCTGACATCATCAATTATACCATCGAGCCGCACATCCTACAAGCTTGGGCGCATTGGGAATCACAATGTTGTGATTAACATCCCCCCAGCGACTCGAGTATTGAACTACTACCTCTAAATGTGGCCCGGAGCTTGATAGCACAGTTTCCTTCGATCCGATTCTTTCTGGTGGCTGGCTGTGGTGGGGCTATCGACATGACTGAGGACTCAGTTGCCTTAGGTGACGTTGTTATTGGCACCAAAGTTGTTCCCTGCAACGTAGTCGGCAATCGAACGAACAGTGGCTCTGGTGATAAAATGTTCACCCCGCCCGAATATCTCCTCTCCGCGCTCACTGTTGCCTTTGATGAAAGGGGGCTTGACCAGTCCAACTTGCAACAGTCGATGAATGCGGTCATTAAATGTATTCCAAATTACAATGGCCGGTATAGACGACCTGGGCATCGCCTTGACCATTTGTCACAAGGTAGCACCCGATCCCAACAGTATTCGTCCCAATACCGCAGCGAAGCCGAACACCAAGAGTCTCAGCCATATCAGTCAACTACAGTATTTTACGGTAGCATAGTATCCCGACCAGGAAATAAGACTATGGATATTTCCGGAAGTCTAGAGCAAAACACTGCCATCAAGGATATTCTGTGTGTTGAATCTGGATCTGCCGATATCCTAGCGGCAGGGATTAGTTGCCTCCCTATCATAGGAATCAGTTCGGATGTCCGTGATCATGGTCATCGGGATAGCGATTGGTCGCACTATGCTGCGTTTGCTGCAGCCGTATGCTCCAAGGAGGTGCTTGCCTCCCTCGACCCGGAAGTCGTGACAAGAGCAGACTCCAACATGACCTCCAAGGAGGTCGATGCCATGATGAGGGACAATGCGAAAGTGATTCAGCGGTATATACAGGAAGCCTGCCGTTATAGGCAGCCAGATCGGCTATTAGAGGCTGCACGGCTTGCCGACAAACGAGTAGATCAACTCGAAGTCTGGATCAAAAACATGTCGCAAATCGCGCAGGATGCCACACAAGAGCAGCTTGTAAATCTCAAAACCGAAATGGATTCTATCAAAGAGACTGAAGACAGGATGCGCCAAGATCTAAAAACTATGAATGACAAGATTGAGAAGCTGAGGAACGACCCCGAAAACGCTAATATGAGATCAGAGTTGGATTGGCTTCACGAAACTGTGGCCGATCATGCGTCAAGGCTTGATATACTGTCTGATTTCACATACGAGGCTACTGGGATTACCATCAAAGCACTGGACATAGTGGGACAACAAACCAACAATCCAGGTGTCCAGCAAGCCAACCTTTGGATCAAATTCGTTAGGGAACAACAGGAAGAATTGAGCAAGTTTGCGGGCAAGATGACCTGGAGATCAAAGAGGACGAAGAATACATCGTCGGATGCTCCTAGATCTGGGGGCGGTTACTCTGCGCCACAGGAACTGCCCCAAACCCAAAGTAAAATCGGGAAATTTAGACCTCCGGCTATATTTTCCAGACAGCACGGTGCGCCGGCCGCCAGTTCTGATATCAGGTCTGATGAGAGGCAACATCACAAAGACCCAAAACCACCCCATGCTAGGATTACTAGTGTTCCTTCGCTGTCGCGCAGCTCATCTCTCTACACAGCACCGCGCACCCCATGTTCCAACTTTCACAATTCCAACATCGGCCGGACCAGTGTCAACACCCTGGGGACGCAAGATTACCAAGACCCCAAACGTGTCACATCAAAGATTCCTGTTAGTGGTGGTCATTTCTCACGCAGTGCTTCTTTCTACACAGCGACAGGCAGGCAATCCTCTGATTTGTATAATTCCAGCATGAGCCAGACCGCTGTCAGCCCCGTGCAAGAACATAATCCTGGGTCATCACTCTATTCACATCAGCCTTTGACCAGAGTCGACTCTCAGCCAAGAACCAGGGACCTTGTCATGAACCGAGAATCTTCTCACACACCTAGCCTGCAATACCAAACTGTTGAGCCGTCTACCCGCTCTGCAAATGGATCTGAAGTCGATCAAGCGAGTAATTCGTCTGTCAAGAAGCTTGCGAAAGAATTTGAGGACCGGGTTGGCATTATGATGGGACGTCCGCACTAGCATCAGTTGAATGACTGAAGCAGTGTGAATGCTGTTCAGTATCAATTGCTAAAAATTCTCGTTTATAACTCCCTTACCTTCGATGGCAATATCGTTACCCTCGTGTCTACATCGTCTCCCTTTCCAACAGCTACAACGAAATCTTCCCCGTTCCGATACCCACCAATTACCTGCGCTGAGGGATCCAATACCTTGCAAGACTATTTCATCTCAAATTGGCTCTTTCTTCCTCGAGATTTGCTTGTTAGTAGTGTTGTCCATGTTTTTCCGGAGATACCTTTCTCTTGGCAGTTTCTACTTTCTTCATAGCACTTCTTCTACACAGCAGTCCGTTCCCGAGGGAGGATTAAAATTAGAACTAGAACAACCTTTCTATAAATCACCCAAGTAGAAGAGGTAATTACATTCTGGGGCAGGTATCTAGCCGGATCTCGGGACCGCAGAAGCATGATAGAATAAAAATCTATCTGCACTTGATAAGGATGTTTTGGCTTAGGTAGATGAGTTTCCTGGGAAGGTGCCATGACCGTATTTCACCAGTCCAATACTTGGAATGTCCCTTGACTCTAATCATAATGTTGCAGAGTCACCTGATGATGAATTTGGGAGCATGCCCCTCCCTTCAGCTGAGAGTCAGACAAACAATCCTTCGCTAAAATACAAACAACGTATAGTTATTTAATCATGGCATGGACGTCATTTTATGGCAGCAACTATGGGCTTGATATTGGAGTCAACAGTGGCGCGGTCAATGTAAACAACTATCTACACCCAGGTAACTCAGAGGATCCGAACAACGCCCAACCTTGGAAGGCCACCCAACTTGACTAATGGCCTCTTTCCCTCAGAACCCAACCTCCCTGACCTGCCTTATGTGCGAGAAGCTATTTTCAACCACTCCAAGCATGAAGATATAGGCCAGCTTCAATATTGCCATATTGGTACTCGACAAAAGCTTTTACAAACAATTTATACCTGGGTAGGAGACTCAGAAAGGAAAGCTTTCCTCCTGTTGAGTGGATGGCCAGGAACAGGAAAAACAACCATTGCTCGCACAGTGGCGAAATATTATGGGGATCAAACTGTGTCATTCATGTTTCAGAAAGACAATGGAGATTGCGGGTCGTTCAGGAAATTTGTCACAACCGTGGCCAGCCAGCTCGTCGCCAAGTCCCCCCGCATCAAAAAGTCGGTCCACAATGCGCTTCGTTCCAACCCATCGATACTTGTGCAGGGAGTTGAAGATCAGTGGAATCGACTAGTATTAGAGCCACTAGAGCATCATCCGGACCCCGCGATACCCTATGTTCTGGTTATTGACGCCCTCGATGAATGTGTGAACGGTGGGTGGCTACTCGACAAACTTCTTCAAAAAAGGCCAAGTTGTCTCCGAATCCTCGTCACTAGCCGACCACATCTCTTAAGGCCCAAACTAAATGATAGTCGATATCATCATGTGGTGTTACACGATATTGAACCTGAAGTTGTGAATCAAGATATTCTACTTTTCCTCCAAACGACTTTGGAGAAACGTCGACCCGGCTGGCCAGATAAAAGTTCGCTCAAACTATTGGTATCCAGGGCAAATGGTATATTTGAATGGGCCGCCCTTGCTTCTCGCTTTCTCAATGAGTCGGACGGGGTTTATAAATCCAGATTGCAAAGACTGCTAGGGGATGGAGGGTCTCACCCCCCACAAGAGGAACTGGGCTCTCTCTATTTGTCCATTCTCAGGGATTACGTATCATTGCAGAATTGGGAAATCGATGTGCAATCCACCTGCTGCAGCTTGTTACGAGATTATCTCGGAAGCTTAGTGGTGCTGTTCGACCAGTTGCCTCCACGCTCGTTGTATAGACTGATTCCCAGAGAGGCAGGCAGTCCCGATATACACGAGATCCTGGGTAATTTAGGATCTATCCTTGATTTTCCGAGCGATAAAGATAATTGCATTGACAAAATCCGTATTCATCACCCCACGTTCCGAGATTTCCTCTTGGATAGGGAACGATGCACAGACAACAAATTCTACGTTGAGAGGGAAGAAGCGCACAGGATTGTCTTGAAGGGCTGCTTAGATCTACTTCTAAACAGATTGAAAAGAGATATCTGTCGAACTGAGGGTTCGATTCTTTCAGACCATGACGCAGGTCAATCTCATACTCGACAAGCTCCTCTCCCAGAGATCCAATATGCGTGTTTGTACTGGGTGGCACATCTCACAGAGTCCGGCGAGAATTTACTCGGAAACGATAATATATCTCGAATGCTTTTCGAACATTCACTGCATTGGTTGGAGGTACTAGGATGCATGGGAAGATCGTTGGATGCATTGATTGCATTGGAGCGCTTATCATCATTGGCAAAGGTACGTCGCTCGAGCTTACCAAATTTCCAATTCACCCTCTAACCCAACTTCAAGTGTGACGAAAACTCGGAGATCTTCAAGTTCATTGAGGATTTGACCCTGTTTACCCGCCATAATCGCGATCTCATAGACGAGAATCCGCGTCAACTGTACATAAGCGGACTCATATTTGCACCTACTGGCAGCCTTGTTCGCCAGATATATGCAAATGAAGCTCTCGGGGCCGTTCAACATCTCCCCAAAACACGTCCTCGGTGGCCTTACTGTTTTCTTCAGAGTCTCGAAGGTCACAATGATAATGTCCAAGCATTGGCCTTCTCGGATAGAAGGACTATTTTGGCATCAGCATCTAGTGATTTTACAATAAGATTATGGAATACGGGAACAGGTAAAACGCTACGAATAATCAAAGGATTTCAATATCCAATCACAGCCATTAGCTTTTCGAAAGAAGGTATAGAGCACTTCCTAGCCTCCTTATCTGACCGTGTGGTTCAAATATGGGATGTGAGGACGGGCTGTTGTGTTTACACTCTACCTAACCCATCGGGCTACAAGGCAATGACTTGGATAAATGACGAACCTTTACTGCGAGTCATCTCTTATGACTGTGTTGTTGAATATTGGAGTCCAGATTCAGAGAGGTTACAGAGACAGGTCGGATCAAATGAGTGGGTGAAGCACGGTACCTTTCTGATATTCTCGGGCGACACCATGACATTTGCAACATGGTCGGACGTTGGCCCAATCCACATCTGGCGTGTTTTGGGTGATTTCTGTAGCGAGAAGGTTGCTTTGAATCATATTTGGGAGTCCCGATTAGTATCACTTTCATATGACGGAGCGCTAGTCGCAACAGCTGAAAAGATGATACGAATCTATGACACCAATACAGGCAACACACTCTTTTCACTTGAAGGGGATTTTATGTATATCCAAGCCCTTGCTTTTGCGCCAAATTCTCGCTTGCTTGCTTCTGGGTCGAATGATAGGACAGTTAGGCTTTGGAGTCTCAGCACGAAGCAGTGTCTGCAGAAACTGGAAGGGCACAGACTCCCCATCATTTCTCTTGAATTTTCCGATACAAGTGATACTCTTGCATCTGGTTCACAGGATGCGACGGTTCGTCTTTGGGATGTCAATGCTATCCCGGAGAATGAGATACAAGAAAATCCACAAGATGACCTCAATAGAGTTACCACACTGGCAGTAGCAGAGGATGGACAAATGTTTGCAGTCGGGTTTTCGGACTCGTGTATCCATTTGTATCACATTCAGAATGAAAAACGCCCTACGATTTTGAAATTTCATGAAGATCAGATCAGTGATCTGTACTTCCTGGAAGATGGAAAAACATTAGCATCCGCATCCTTTGATGGTACAATTCAGCTTTGGGACACTGCCTCTGGTCAGCATTTGAAAACGTTTGTTCAGTATCCTGCTGCAATTCAAGGTCTCGTCTTCACAGAAGATCACGAAATGCTGGCAACAATTTTACTGGACTTTACCATCAGTACTTGGACAGTTAAAACCGAGGCACTCCCAATACTTGTTGGCCATACGAGCTATGTTGAAAGTGCTGTGTTCTTAAAGCCTGATCAAATACTGGCCTCATCTTCTAGGGATAAAACCATCCGAATTTGGGACATCGTGGCTGGGGTTTGCCTTAGGACACTAAACGGTCACGAACATTGGGTGAACGGTTTGGCCTTCAGCCAGGACGGAAATACCCTTGCATCTGCGTCTCCTGACAATACGGTTCGGCTTTGGGATGTCTCAAGTGGGCATTGTCTTAAAGTCATCCCACATCCTTACGGGGTGGAATCTGTGGCTTTTTCTCGCGATCAGACTATCCTTGCTTCTATCTCTGGACAGGGCATAATACGCGTCTGGGATATTTCCCAGAGTCCGAATCTAAAGAAGACGTTGATTGAGCCTCCTTCTCGAAAATTTGGCTTAACATCCACTGGTCAGTATCTTATTACGGATCGTGGGTCTCTGGCGCTTGATATGGACCCTCAATTCCGGAAGCCATGGGAACAGCCTCGTTCGAGGATTTATGTTGGCCGTGAGTGGATATTAAACGGAACACAAAGGGTTCTCTGGATTCCACCAAGCTATCGCAGCTCTAAATTTCTAATGATACGCGATAAAACGGTGGTTTTTGTGGGTGAATCTGGTGAGGCCTTGTTTCTCCGCTTTCGCTGAGTGTTTTCACTAGACCGTTTTGTGGGGTTTCTTGTGAGAATCTTCCAGATCTCTTCACGTGTTATATAGATCCCATATTTTGGAAATTCAACATTTTAACTATAACCATGTTATTGCTGGAAAGTGGGCGGCAGTTTTACACTATGCAAATAAGGTAGATACAGTTTGAATACAGCTATCTCGGCCTTAAATTGTAGTATACTGCCTCTTGGTGAAGTTTAAGAGTAGCGGTGCAGCAGTAAGAGTAAATGTATCTTTCCCATCCTTCAAAAATGTATCATTCACTTTCCCCGGAGCCAAGGAGATATCGAACCGAAGAAGGAGCTCAGCAGTCACCCGCCGAAGCTCCATGAGTGCAAGCCGTCTACCAACACAGGCCCATGGTCCTATAATTTGTCAGCACACTTATTATTATCTACACACACCACCAAAACTAACCTATGTTGAATGGAATGAACACGGATCTATCCTTGACAAGTTCAGGATTGGTAGTCCAGCGTTCTGCCATGAAATCATTTGGACGCTCGAATGCCCGTGGGTCTGGTAAGACTAAATTAGAGCCTGATACAGGGTTTGGACCCTCAAATGAACTGACCTCTGAACATCGTATATAAAGGCACTTGGACAATGGTGTTTCCGGGTACATATGTCTTGCCAATGGTCATACCCTCTGGTGGGGTGAGTCTCTGAAGACCAGAAGGAACCGCTGGGTGTAATCTAAGGGTCTCATGGATTGTGGCGTCAAGAAGATCGATCTTAGAGAGTGCATCATCATTCAGCTCCGTAAGGGCATCAATCTCCTTCTGAAGCCTTTGAACTAAAGTCTTGTCACTGGCGAGATGGAACCAAAGGTGTGAAAGAGTTGTGGAAGTTGTGTCACTAGTAAGAGTAAGCAAAAGTGGTTGTTCAGAGGAAGCCACAGTTTGTGGTTTCTGACCTGCCTGCCACGATAATTAGATAGCCATCGCCATGGAGGTTGAGTGTATCCTGGGGTGACTGTGGACCCTTCTTATATGCGTCAAGGATCCATGAAAATATATCTCGCTGCTCTGGTTCGTTCTATAAACAATGATTAGTAAGGCATACCTAATTATTGTGCCGTAAAACACTCACAGCACTCCTTTCTAGGAATTGGTTTTCGATCCACTTCCAAAACCTCTGGTTGTTCGCGTTTAGAAGTGGAATATTCATAAAAATAGGGAATATCCAGGGCATATGTTTAAGATGACCAATGTTTGTCATATCTGTCCGAATTGTCTTTAGGAAGTAAGCTTCTTTGCCTTCGGCAATCATATTAAATGATTTTCCAAAGGCAAGTCTTGCCATCACATCAAATGCATAGTAGCTGAACCACCGCGTCATATCAATTGGACTGGCAAGGTCTCGCTCCACGATTTCCACAAGTTGCTGGGCGTATGATGCAACAATTGGCTCATAGGCGCGGATTGCTAGGGGGTCTAATGTTAATGCACACTCCTCGTTACCCAGTCCAAATAGAAGATATTAATTACCCTTGGTGCTAAATCCTTGATCCCAGACTTTCCGACGGCGCGCATGTTCTTGCTTGTCTCTAGTGAAGGATAGGCAAACCCGCGGGTCAAGCAATGTATACCAAGGGCCTTTCGTAGCCTGAGACTGGTTACCATAAATAGCCTGGACCGCCGCTGGGTCCGTTATTGAGATTTCGGTAGGGCCTAAATTCGAGTACTTAGAAAATATACCCCGCTAACAAGGCGTTTTTGGATTACCTGTTCGAACATAGTCCCCATATGTCTCATGGAGTCTGCCAATCTCCTCGTAGAGATGGAGGTTCGAAGACATCATTGTCAGATAGAGATTGGATAAGCGCGCAACGAAAGGGCCCGGGAATTTGCCCAATCTGTGGAAGAACCCTCGGTACACCAGCATGCTGCTGTACACACCGAGTACGTGATAAAACCAAAGCATTCGGAATTCATTTGCTGAGAATGGGACGAGAACTTCCGTTCCGTTGTTTAAAATCCAAATGTTGACACTGCCAGCGACCAAGGCAAAAATATACGAAACCAACAGAAATGGAGATCTAGTATCCCATTCGCCCAAGCGGTAGAACAGGTGGTGGAAAGTAATACCACTGCCCAAGGCCATGAGAGCCTGGGAACTCTGAGCAAGAGTCATGATGGTACACTATGTAAGAAGTGACCTGGTTATCCTACTTGGGAGAGGTTCAAGGAGGCCAAGAAAAGGAAAAAAAATAACCTAAGCACCACGTGCCCCTGCGGTCTTGGAAGCTAAATAAGTGATCGTTCAGCTTCTGTTTGGTCGGGAAATTCTCTAACTAATGCAGGTATCAGTACTTTGTGGGGCTATACCTATCGGCGCACACGCAAGGGGGTGAATAGTCAGTCGACAGGCATGCAGAAAGCCCTGAAATTGGTTTGAATCCGTTTGTACGGTTTGTGGCTGGCTGGCATTATGGATCTTGATCGAGCGCTAAGTTGAAACATGGTACTTTGTACACAACTAGCCCACTTAGCGCCGCCACCTTCGCCCGATATGTGCTCTCCCAGTTGCACCCTGCATCAAGCAGTTGAGCAGGATGTTGACCCCGCAGTTACCACGACACATGTTGCATTTCAAGCTGGACCGCCTTTTCCCACGGGGAGACGCTAAGTATGTTACACAGATTCGCTGATCTCATAGAGCGAGATGCCAATAAGTTTGCTTATTTGGAAAGTGTAACGTGTCGCTTAGCAGGCTGTTCTTCGGGTATCAACAGCAGTCAGCGTGTTTAGATATAAGGGTTATCTCCCGGAAATAACCTCGATGGCAGGAGTACCGATGTAAGCAAACTATGCAAGATAGCGTAATAAAGTCCATGGAGAACCATGCCTTACTAGAATAATTCCCTCAAAATCGCCCAGCGAGAGCTATTTGGCGTATGCGTGGCGGCTAGAGCTCCGCAAAGCCCATAAAGCTCATGGCCAACCCAACCCACAAATGGGCTGGGCTTTGGACCCTACCTTAGGGCCTACCAGTGGGATATGGGGCTAAGGAGAAGCCCACTACGGGTTAATGGGCCCCCAAATAGCAAATAGGCCCCAAACGGTACGAATATGCCGAGAATTCAAAAGTTGAGCCCTTTTATGGATTTTAAAATTACCCTTCGTTTTCCCCCGTTTCTAAGCCCTGTTTTAAAGGTAATATTTTATTAGTTTAAATCGGTTAGAATCAATTACTAGTTGTCTCTTTATATCAAGTTTAAAAATGCGAGAAAGCGCGTTATTTAGATAATTTATAAGTTTCACAAGCTCACTTAGAAAGTAGTAGTACTCCAGTCTGTGTTGAAATATTAATATTTTCGCGATTATAAGATGCTAGGTAAACCCCTTTGATGGGGGCATTATGGCCCCCACGAATGGGCTGTGAGTTGGGTTCGGCTTTAGGCCTGGGGTTCAGGCCCATTTATGGGCTTTGTGGAACGCTAGTGGTCATAAGGTCCGGCACTAGTAATATAGAAATGGCCATAAAAGCTGCACTATACCTAGCTATTAGTATGCATGAACGGTATTCTGGTGTTATTATAATTATAGATAGCTAAGGTATATTTTAAATCAGTGGTAACTGCATTCACGACAGTATCTGGGAGATGCTGAATTTTTGAAACTTGTTTTTCCTGGTGATTCCCGAGGTTTCGGTGCCCTCCCGAGGTATCAACGCACAATCCGGAGGATGTTAACAGTTATGTACATAATCAGCAGTTAAAAGGATAATATTTATGCGGAATTTCCACTTGATTCTAGCCTTTACCGTCACAATATTTCTTTTAGAAAGTCATATTGCTCTTACAATTTCTATCCATTCACCACAGCCCATTCTTCCATTCATTATCCTCTTGACAATGAGCATCACTACCACCGTGGTTAAAGGGCCTTTAAATCTTGGCAACCTACCTTCTGAATTCTCGACCAACCCAATTCTCTCATGGTATGCGAAATATGCGGTGGACTTCAGCATCGCCAAAACCACAACGCCGCCTACCAAATACTACGCTTCCAATGCGACCCTGGTGAACGTTGATCAATCTATTATCTGTGGGGCCAAAGAGATTTGGGACTACTACATCGATATCTATGGACACTTCGAGCGTTGTGTGCATGATTTAATCTCAATCGTTGTTTTGAGTGATGAAGAGTGTGGCAAGCATACCATGATTGTGGAGACTACGAACAACTTGCATCTCAAAGATGGAAAGGGAATAGTACCTGTACCCCAGGCATTTGTCTATGATATTGCCAAATCCGAGGAAGGATGCGGTACGGATGGCCTACAAATCTGGAAATTGAAATGTTACTTTGATAAGGGTTTGCTGGAGAGGGCGGCGAGCACCTAATGCTATTGAGAGGGGTTGTATTTAACATACTTGTTTAGTATTTGAAAAGATAACGTTTACCAGCTAGTATGGGCGCAAGACAAGGGATACCCTTGCAATGGACTCTCGCCGTGTGTGCACAATGTAGGATTGGCGTGAAGTGGGTGTAGGAAAAGGCACATGGAGACTTGATTCCGAAGGATGTAGATACTAGCACATTTGTATTTCCCTTGTTTTCTCTCTCAAGCATGCTGGCACCAAAGGGTTATTAAAATTGTAGCCTCTGAGGGTTTATATACCGAGTATAATAAGGTTGAAGTACAAGTAATTTAACGTGGTCGGAGCATTAATGCTTGGTAGTCTTCCGCAGAGCCTCCAAAGCCTAACCCCGCCCAACACCACAAATAGACCGCCTGGGTGGGCTTTAGTCTTTTCTTTTCTTTTCTTTTTCTTTGTCTTTTCTTTTTAGTCCACAGCCTATTGTAGAAGCCTAACAGGGACCCACTCCTTGATAAATAATTTGAATATATCATTTCCTCGTGTAATGGAAGACGATCCTTCTAAAAAAGGACACGAGGATCAACATCAACCGTTTTTCGTGGCTGAGTCGTGCGGGGTTCGCTTCAGGGTTACTTGGCATACTGATTCCTATATAGTCCGAGATACCCTTGGATCCATGCCCATTCTAGCAAAATTTAGGCCTGGCACATGGAGAGAATACATTGAACTTCGCTCCTCTCATAGCGTTGTATCTTACCCATTTGACAGGCCTTATCCTTGGGAACTATGTAACTTTATAGACCACTGCCGCCCTATTACCATTATGTTCAACTTCAACCGCACAGAGGACCCAGACACAAACGAAAAGCCTAGTCTACTATCGAAGTTCGCATTCACAGCATGGCTATCCGACAACACAACAAAAGCAGACTCAAATAATTCAACTTCGAGCGCACCCAATAGCCGCGCCTGGATTAAAGGTGTCGTGCTATGTTCATGGATTATTGCCACCGTTCTCACCATAAACATCTTTCTGACGATCATCGCTGTGGGCTTGGCCTATTCAAAAAATGGTGAACATGGGTTTTCCTTCGCAGCGCTATATATAGGGAAATGTTCCCTTGCAAAGAACTGGACGACAGGACTACATCTTGTGATTAACATTCTAAGCACAGCCTTGTTGGGAGCGAGTAACTACTGCATGCAGTGTCTTGCGTCACCGTCTCGCGAGCAGGTTGATACAGCCCACAGTAAGCGGGTATGGCTGCCTATTGGGGTCCCCAATATCTGGGGCTTGCTTTGGAGGGAGCGGGGAAAGAGGCAGCTGCTTGGGTGGATCTTGCTGGCTACATCACTGCCTATTCATTTGATGTTGGTTTGGAAGTTGTTAGTATTGTATAATTGACTATGACTGATTGAATTCTTCCTTGCTAGTTACAACTCCGCTATTTTCTTCTCAATCGGCCCGGCAGAGTATGCAGTGGTGATAGCACCCCCTGGTCCGATGAACGGAACTGGGTCGGCGTCTTGGAATGGGTGCTTCGAAGATGCCGTTGGCCTGGATATAGAAACGGTTAGAGCCGAGATGAGTCGTTCAGATCTCAAGAGACTTCCCGTCCAAGAGTGCATTGACACTTTCGCGCAAGACTATGTGTCCGGGCAAAGGATGCTTATTTTGGTGACGGACGATCCAATGCCGGACGGCGAACCCTTGGCGTTCATGGGACTACCAAATCCCGATAGGCAATATTACGATGGCGATAGCTTCCTATGGATGTGTAATAATACTCATGATATGTGCACCAAAGATATTGTGAATGAGATGGTTGATGGAGAGGAATGGACCGTCTACCCAGTTATGGCACCTATCCCATGGATACAAGCGCAAATCCCCACCGAGAACGGATTCAGGAACGTTTCATGGGACTCTTTGTATCCCAACACGCCAGATACCAAACGCTTGAAAGAAGTTCTGCACCAAGCCAGCGAGGATGAGGTGCAGGCTTCACTTGACGATCCCTCTAATTGGACCGATGCTTCCTTCGCGGGAAATGTGACAATCTTTCAGCTGCTTCTCTGTCCTAGCCCCCCCTCGACCAACCAAACTGAGGCAGACACGTCGAATTAAGCACTGTTTGACAGTTCCCAGGGACGAGTCTTGCCGAATGATGTTTAGCCCGCCAATTTGTCTGCTTGTTATTGGGTGTAACTTAGTAAAACTTATCTGCGCACTATTGACCGCGCGCGATGATAGGGAGGAGTTGTTCCTTACAATTGGGGACGCGATCGCATCTTACCTTGCTTGTCCAGATCCTACAACAGAGGGAGGCTGTCTGCTGTCTAAGTGCCAGGTCGTGAAGGGGTCTCAGGGCTGGCGTAGAAAGGCGAAAAAGAAGGATAAGATGTTGGATATTCCAGTATACTCAAAGCTTCCACTTCAACTACCTTCCCGAAAACGATGGTTTCAAGTCATGAGCACGGGACTGTGGATCTCTACAATCACCATGTAAGCAGCTCCATGTGATAAGTTGAATTATACTGACATCTCAGACCTCTCTGTATAATTGGCCCGGGCATCTACGGTCTCACCGTCGCTACTGCCTTGTTTTCCAATTTTTCTCGCGAAACCATCTGGGACAACAGTTTGGGCGAAGCACGCCCATCAACTTTAGTAGACATGCCCGACGTACCCGGCGCAACGGGTACACTCGCCACGATCCTCCTGCCCAATGTCCTACAACTCTTTGCCTCAATTGCCTACTTCATGCTCAATGCCGTGCTGACCTCTATGCTCGGAGCCATGGAATACAACAACTACGCGCGAAATCGAAAACCACTGCGCGTCTCCTGGCCCCGTGGTGCCCAGCGCTCTACTTACTACCTCTCACTGCCGTATCGGTACAGCCTCCCGCTCCTCATCGCCTCCACAGTTCTCCACTGGCTCGTCTCAGAAAGCTTCTTCTTCGTACAGATCTCTCCCATTGATATAAAAGACGAGCCTATCTCTTTCTATGGGTCTAACACATGTGGCTTCTCACCTGTTGCTATTTTGTTCGCCATTATCCTTAGCTGTTCGCTACTTCTCGTCATAATACTCCTGGGCCTGCGCCGCTTTGAGTCCCCGATGCCGCTGGTAGCACAGTGTAGTGCGGCGATTAGCGCCGCCTGCCATCCTATGACGTCCAGCATGGAAAATACCGCCAACCACGCGCTCAAACCTGTGCAGTGGGGTGAGATTCCGGGCATCTACTCGGACCGAGGCCCGATGGTATTATCACATCGGATCGATGGTGATGAGGATGCCAGTGGGAGAGAGAGTGGAAACGAGGAACTGCAACATATGCTACCGAACGCAGAACTTGCTGGTTTGACTCGCACTGGGGCTGCGATATCGCAGCTGTATCATTGTACTTTTACGTCGGATGATGTGTGTGAACCGAGGGAAGGTCGTGTTTATATTTAACTAAATTTAAGCACATCATCTCCCCATACCATTTTAATATTGTGTTTCGAAACTAGACGTACTGTGGTTGATTCAGCCATCGCGATATAAGTATTGATCTAATATAGTTCTCTCTGTCCCGCCAGTGGAATAATCGCGATATTTTGACTTCCTTCGATTAGGTGGTGCTCACATTACTAGCAAGCGGTCCATTATGAGTTCTGATTTTTCGCCTTGTATTAATATAACGCATAATCTATATATAGGCTAGCGTTACTTGGCTGCGCCGTTTACATAGAAAAAAATAAGGCGAAACTATCCAAGACCCACCAGGATAACCTTCAGGGGTAATTCAGCGGGGCAAAAGCCAATGCGCAGTGTTCGATAGCGCCGAAAACGAAGAAAAGGGTCCAAATGGGGTCCAAACACTACGCACATTGTTGTCCCCACGAGGCGCAGGGTGATCCTGATACCTGACGGTTGGTTGGCACTTGTCAAAAGTGCTCTGGATATCCTCTTTCGGACCTCCTCTCCTCACCAGACTCCGTATAGACTAACAAACTGCGCACGTCCCCTACCCCCGGGCCTTCTGCCGTTTCTGGGCAGCTGTGCGATGCGCTGATCAATGCTTGCACCCCATTCTACGGGAAAATCAGGACAGCCATGATCTTTAGCGACGAGTTGCTTTTCGCCACCAGTCTTCCCCACGCGGAGTAGTCGCTAGCCTCACAGCTAGCCCTGCGCTTCATCTTGTAACAGACTTAAATTGAGTTCTCACCAGTTGCGAGCCTAGCCTCGCCTCGTCCTCTCCAACCTCCAACTTCCACCCCAACCTCTAGCGCTTCAAGCCCCAAATACGAACGCAATGACCAGATATTCCAATTGGCATTGAAATGAGGATATCGGTCGAACTCCTTGCTCGCAGGATGGGAGCGTTCCTCAGTGCTGCGGAGAGGAAGAGGTATGTTCCACCAACGGTCTCTGTCTCACCACCTTGGCGAACGTTGGCACGAAATACTGGATGAACGTGTCGGTCCCCAGGTGTCCATCGCAGTGCGCACATATCGAATGCTGTAAGTAGCCTGGCCCGTCTTAAATGATGCCCAAGTCTAACTAATCCTTCTATCTAGAGGGCGGAAACAGCGTTGCCAGTTGTGGCACATCGACGTTCTACTACATCGGCCACGAGGCGTTCTATGATTGCAACAACGCCACAGAGACCTTCTACCTCGGAAAAAGCTACAGTGTTACTGAAATTACTATAGTCACCCTCTCCCCATCAAGCACGTCCACAATCGCCCAATCCGATTCTTCCGCGACTTCAGCGCCGCCTGAACCGACAGGAGATACTAAAAGCGATAATACCCTCGGCGTGGGTCTCGATGTAGGCCTAGGCGCGGGTATTTCCCTCCTCATTGGAGTCCTCGCAGCCTTTTGGTTCATCCGTCGCCGACGGCGTAGAGCTTTGGCTGGGTCGTTCCCTATGGAAGCGCCCATCGCTTCAGGATAAGATGGCACCATCGGGGCTGGAGTTCACTTTGCCTATGACCTTGCAGCAGGAGCATCCGCAGAAGTTACCGACGAGAAGTTACCGACGAGAAGTTACCGACAAAGCAAGTGAGGGCGCCTCTTGAGTTTCAGTAGCATGACATGGCATCGGGTTGTTTGTTGAGCTGGGTATCATGTCTTTGCTTTTTTTTTTTTGCTTCTATTATCCCTGATCCTTTGTAATTCGGGATTTCGCATATGTACCGGATCATGCCTGGCACTCAAAATCCATTGGCTATGGAATGGATACTTATCGAATATAGCTAATTATCTCGGACCCAAGCTATCCTCAATCACTAATCCATACTATTACTAAGCTTCCTAACCGTTAATATTCTAATTGTATCTCTTGTCAGCTATTTCGTTCAAATAGAGCCTAAAATATCAGTATTATATAGGTTCTTCTGAGGCCGCAAAGCATAATTAACAACTTGCTTATAATGGAAAGTTATCCCAAAGCCAGAAGTGGAAGCAGACCCCACGGATTAGCTTGGCTTGTATTATGAAAGAATTTATCTCGCATCCAGATGAATATACTCTTCACAAACAAACTGCTTGCTTGCTATAGTTGGCCCCAATCACACAAAAATATCATTTTGGGCACCTTTCGATATGCAAAGTCGACATTAGCATTCATCATTTTGCTGCTGAGGAGTCGCTCGGAATGAATACAAACCTGATTTCCATCCCCATGCCGTGTTGTACATTGGTGTTTTGCCGCTGGGTACTTGAACATTGTTTCCGGTTTTTTCTGCTCGATTCAGTCAACGGTACGAAAAGAAAATACAACCAGTGGGTCAAATATCGTACGGTTGAAAGCAACCATCTGTTTGGCGCCCTTGACGCACTTAGTCGAGTCATCTTCGCAATAAACAGCGACTTGAGCAGGGGCGACCTTTTTGGACGATGTTGAGCCCGTCACATTACATTTGTAGCCAGCCATGTACCTAGTTCCCAAGTTAGCAATCAGGATTATTGACTCTGATAATAGGTACTTGCATGTTAGCTTGTCCACAGCCATTCGGTGCCTGTTAATTGGTTAATGTATGTTGTGGTATACGTGGTTTATTCACTTACCCATAGCCAGGCACATGTACAGCCACCCCGAGGGCAAGGAGGAAGATCGGCCGGAACTTCATATGTAGCGATACGTTTCCACGGTGTGCTTCAATATTGGTTAGAAATTTCAATCATTTCATGTATCCACCTATTGAAAAAAAAAAAATTACTTACTGCTCCAAAACCGTAAATACGGCTAAATTCTCGATTGTGACCTCGGCTAAGTCTGAATGATAGCTGATCGCAAACGCAGTACCAGCAGCCATGGATTGATTGTTGGTATGCATTGCTCCATCGTCCTGGATGCATTCTGGCGGACTTCCAGGGCCTGTCCAGTCTTCTGGATGATCCTTTCCATCTGGCCAAACAGAAGCGTACTGTCCATCGTATGACAGTGTAGTCTGCGCCCGGTTATGGGCGAGTTCGACGGTAAATCTTCCACCAGCGGGGAGTTCGAGAATATCGCCGTCCATCGGTGGTGCTTTATCGCATCCACGTTCATGTTGGAACCACCAGTCCTGCTTAGTGAGATTGTAAAGGGGCCCCACGGCTGTGTTGGTATTGAGGTTGACGGTAGAAAGATCAGGACCCCCAGAGCAATACATGCCTTTGGTCCAAGCGACTGTGTGTGCCTGGGCGGCAGCAACCAGTGCTAAAATGGTGATGGACAACATGGGAAAAAGAAAGAAAGAGAGAAAGAAAGAGATATTACTTGAGGATAAGGGAAAGTACTGGTGTTTCCGAGAGTATAGCGCAGAATAAATCTACTCAATTTATATAGAAGGCAATGTATTGGACTTATGCATGCGACGTTACGTTCGAGTATAAGCTCGGTCCTGTTTACAGGGATGGCCAAAATATGCCGAGCGAGGATCAATCAATCAAAGTTCAATCCTGTTGCAGTTTAATTAGTTGCGTTTGACTATGCAGGCGCTTTATCCAACTGAAGCAAGAGCTCGAAGCCGAACGCCGAGTTGGAACCACATTACCGAGTGAGGATGGAGCCAAGCGCCCCTATTAATTTTTCATATTAATTCTTTGGTTGTAATGGTGTTTCAGAATCTCCAGATACTACACCAAAGCGGTTATAGGTCGAATCTCATAGAAGGAAGTGGAGATCAGCTAAGGGTTCTGGTTAATCCCGGACCCCACCTGCCGGATGTTGCGGGGGCCAATCCGGTTGGTTTTTATATTGTAGGCATGCCCGGAGACTAGGTTGAGTAGAGTCAGGGTACAAAGTAGATTCATCGGAGGATACTTGTGAAATAGAGGGCCACTTCTCCCCGACACCTTCCGAGTCTATACTGCAGCGTTATAGACTCCAAATATAATCCAGCAATATTGGCCAAGAATGGAGTTCTTGTTATGCTTCTGTAGGGTATGTTTTGTGATATAAAGTCGCGCATATTTCAACCCGGCCTCAACCGCATATCATTCTCCTTAAACAATCTTTATCTTAATTTGATTCCCTTTGGTTTTACTCGTCCTGAATGCATACTGATCCATACAACTTTATCTTATTCCGATAGGTTCTAAAATAGATGGCAAGCTCTCTCCAAACCCCCTCCCCCGGAAACAGATAAAGTTCTTCTCACAGTATAGAAGCAAATTTAAATATGTTTTCCACGCGAGTGTCCATGAATGTGTCTCCTGACCTTTTGCTTAGCAATCCCATCTTCTCCACCCTGACCCCAACCGGTCGGCGGGTTATTTCCAGGCAATCTTTCAAGGACACCATCAATCGGCTCAGGAACCAGATTAGGAATGTTGCATGTAGTTGAGGCGTCGTTGATGAAACCAGCGTCGGCACACTTGTCCATTCCCGAATCCCCAGCATCACAGTTATCAATGATCTTCTGCAAGACTGATTCATCCCATCCAGAGATCTATATTTGTATTAGCCCGTGGTCCCCGGCATATCACCATATAAAAGTGGTCATTTGTATACTCACAAAGTCACCATGAAGTGAATACCCCGTCCGATCGCCGTTACTGAGAATGAAAGGCTGTGAGCCAGTGCCCTCCGTCCATAGGTCAGCAAACAGCGGTGTATTCCAGTACACCTCGTAGAAGATATGAGGAACATGAATCCAACCAGTTGGACAATTTGCCTTGCCACCAGTGGTGCCCTTGCTACTAGGGAAGGCCATGTTTGTTTTGTAGTCATGTAGCCCAGCCTTAGGATTGTAGCACGATGGGAAATGAATATCAGCACGTAGGGGCGACGCATAGCCATCGCAGTTCATATGTGGGAACCCAGCGCCAGCTCCGGCATTATTTGGATCTTGAATACCAACGCCGTGAAGCCCATCTGAATCATGTGGGTAGGAGGGTATATCGTAGGAGGAGCGGGGACATGTGAACTGGACAGGTTGTATAGCTCCCTGGTTTGTGTCGAGTACATTGCCCGCACCGCCCGGGGGTGGTGTACGCAGGGAACTATTGCCGACAAACATGCGCAGACCAACGGGGAAAGGTTTGATCTCGTCGTCGGTTGCTTCGAAGAAGTAATAGACATTCATGTAGAACATTGGGACTGAGAGGAAACTACCATTTTCGGCCTGGAAGTATAGCGATGGAGTCCAGTAGTTACTCTTGTCGGCGTTGACGAGGGATGAGGTGCAGTTTGAGTCCATGAGGGCGTCGTCTGTCATGGTGAGATTGAAGTTGCTTCCTCCTTGGATGGCGTGCGAGTGGGTAGCTGCCTTTCCAGGGTCCATGATCGGATCCATTCGGCCCATTGTCAAGGCACCATTGCCATAGAAATGGTTCACGGCAAAGGTACGTGAATCCTTTGCCAATGCTAACGCAAAAAAGGCCGCGGAGATGACGACCGTGCAGAAGGCTTTGAAGTGCATTTTGGAAGGATATGGCAAAGTTGTTTGCAATACCGATAGAACTCGCTTCCAAAGAAGTAGTAATCAGCAAGATTCCTTAGAATCAAATATAAATGAGAGGCTGCTCAAGTACCAGACTGGAGATAAAAGAATGAATAAATGATATTTCGAGCTTGACGGGAATAGGAAGGGCTACAGTTATATATATAATGACCAAGGCTCGTTCTCGTTCACAGAATGATAGAGTACAATTTAAATAGATGTAACTCGGTCGGAAACTTCCTCCTTTCTTGATAGTTGATGTAGCAGAACTAGCCTTCAGACAAAGGACTCCACATTCTGTCAATAGGTTATTGTAGGCGCTTTATTAATCAAGTAGTGCTAGGGTTGGGAGAAGGGTCGGAGGAGACTTGCCCCGATACGACCTCAGGGCCATTTAGTTAGTAAATATGGGCTGAGAAGTTATAAAATGCGGAAATTTATTTAGACAATGACTTCGGGATGTTCCAGGTTAAATTAATTTGAAACGTGGGGCTACGCCTTACGATACTTCATTTACCTAAAAGGGAAAAATATCAAAGTCAAAATAGAATTGCTGCACAACCCTTGGAAGCGCTCATCCGAGAATAATTACGCTTATCATTTTAGACCAATCAAACTACAGCTACTAGTTAGTTAGTCGACGGGTCTGACTGCTATTACTTGGGATTAAACAACCCCTTTGTATTCCTTGTTTTCAACATATGTAATCTGACAGAATTCGACATAAATTTTAGAAGACCCAACCCCAAGCTCTAGTAGCAATTATGAACAGACTTTGTGAAACAAGCTAGTGAAGAACAGCCAAGATCACTATGAGTGGCACTACATAGCGGTATGGGAGGGAAAGGAAATAATTGCTTCGCTGGGATAATCGTGCCAAGTGCCCAACACACATACTGTGTATTGGTGTGCTCCAGCCAACGATAATTCCCACTGGACGATAAATCGTGAAATTAGGTACCTTTTAGGGTATGAAGAACTATTGATTTAGCATTTTATCTCGTTTTAAAGTGCATGTTCAACGAGTACACTTTCAGAGGAAGTGCATATTTAACATGGACGCATTCCCCTTTTAAAAGTGTATTCGTTGTGGGCTAAAACGCTAACTTGTGGCTACTTCGTATTCTGTACTCGAAAATTGCATCAAGGGTGTTAGAGTTTACAGGCAAGTAGATGAAGCCACAATGTAATGTATTGTTTATGTGTATGAAGACGATGGAGGGAAGGGAGCACTAACTACTGCCACTATAGAAAACAGATCATGTCACTATGGGTGATATCAAACAAAGGGTATTGGAATACCCACCTAGATTTGGGAATGAGCTCATCTGCGTGTTGTTGGCACCGTGCGATTCCCCCGTGTGAGATATTGGTATCAAGCCACTCATTTATAATCTACACTTGGGGTTTGCTGACCGAGGAAAAATGCTGAGCAAGGATGTGAAGGTATACGGTCTTTATATATAAAAATAGAGGCTGTGATAAGAAGATACCTATCACATATGACGGTTGATTGATGAGAAGCACCAGAAGTCCAAAATTATATAGACCCAGGTAACAAAGGAACCTAAAGCAAACAGAGCTCTAAGGGACTAAATAATAATCATTCTTATAGCTCACGGAGTTAGCACGTCTTACATGCTAGTATGCTATTATGCTCTGCTCTTATTCGGCGATATAAGAATACGAGCAATGTCATCTTTACCCGCCTTTGACATATATAGGTGAATATTATTAACAGCCATGTTCTATTTTGTTCAATATCTACCCTAAGACTTGTGCAGTCCGTTGACTTTTCACAAATGCATTGTGTAGGATCTAGACTGACCATTCCAGTGCCTGAAATACAGGTCCAGGTAGGAAGGGATGAAATCAAGTACCATCCATTATCGCAATGTAGGACGAAAATGGTAGCAATCTTGATGTTCTTTAAGGGTAGGCAATACAGGGATAGCATAGGAGCGTGGCAAACGATACGATGGAAAGAGAGAATGTCTGAAGCCAGGATTATGTACAGGGATATAAGAAACCATGCCTGATATCGCCGTGACGATGGTTGGCAAGTTTGTTGACTTTTTACCAGCCTCAGGCCGTCAAGGCCGTTGTTTACTTCAATATAAGAGTCTCTTTCCTTCCCTTCTTTTTCTTTTTCTTTCTTCTTCTCTTCCCCCCACTCTCTTCTTTATCTTTCCCTCAATCAGACAAGCCATTCTATCTTTATTGTTACGTGCTACCTATCTGTTACCTCTCAATCTTACCATGCCTGCTCCGGACGAGTCTGACGAGGCCCTGCCTGAGCCACAGGCAGATCAAGTCTCCCTCCTTGATACCATCGACAACCTCAGAGGTCTCGGTGTCGGTGTATTTGTTGACTTGCCGCAGATGATTATCTGTGGTTCCAAGTCCAACGCAAAGCGTTCTATTATCGAATCAATTTCTCGTGTGGACTTTCCAGTGAGGAAGGATTTCCACACTGGGTTTGTTACAGAGGTCGTGTTACGCCATCAGTCAACTCCACGCTTCAAAGTTAGCGTCCGCCCTGGCCCATCGAAGAAAAGCGACGAAGACTTCGAGAACCTTAGACCTTTCGTGTCTACTGTTCATGAAAGTCCTGAGCAGTCAGTATCACTGATTGAACAAGCCGCCGAATTCATTACACCCTCTGTCGAGGATGGCTTCAGTGACGATGTCCTCATCGTCGAGGTTTCTGGTCCCGATCAACCTGACCTCACCCTTGTCGATATGCCCAGGCTGTACTTCGCGGAAGGAATCGATGGTGGATATGAAGCAAAGAGCTTTGGCCGTCTTCGCATCGAAAGTTACGTGCTCAATGCACGCAGCATCATTCTCCCTGTGGTATCGGCAAAAATCGAAATTTGTGCTCAAAGGATAACCGATTTTGCTGACAAGTATGACCGAGGACGACAGAGGATCTTAGGAATTATCACCCATCTCGATACAATCGAAGGATCGTCAGACGAGGAAAAGCTATGGCTGAAGGCTATCAAAGAAGCAACATCCGAACTGCCACTGGGCTTGCATTTAGTGTGCACCCGATGTTATGAGACACGCGATGTGCCTGACGAAGAGAGAGACGAGAAGGAGAAGGAGTTCTTCGAGCGAGGGGATTGGAAAACTGTGGAAACACAATCCAAAGGAACCAACAACCTTCGGCGTCGACTCAGTACTCTTCTTTTGAACCACGTTCAAAGCAGCCTCCCGGATCTGGTTTCCGAAATCAACCAAAGTATTCTGGAAAATCAACTGACGCTGGCCAAGTTAAACGCTCCTCGAGGAACCATTCGGCAGAAAGAAGCTTTTCTTTTCAATCTGAGCAGTGATTTTCAGCGCATAACCGAACAAGCATTGAATGGCATGTACACAGACGACTTCTTTGCTACCTCGGGCAAACTTAAGACTCGTGACCCTCGACGTCTTCGTGCTCTCATTCGTGACTTGAACGAGAATTTTGCACACGTTATGGAGGTCTACGGTTGCCACCAATTCATTCATGGGGTCAACAATCCGATACTCTCGTTGCCACACCCTTGCAACCCTTACGCAAAGATCAGACGACCGGAACACAGGAGTCGATTCGATTTCGAACTAGAAGTCATTGAACAAATGTCCCGCGACCGAGGACTTGAATTTCCAGGCAGTTCTAGTCACCTCCTGGTGGGTAACCTGTTTCGAGACCAGTCGCAGCCTTGGGGGAAATCGCTCGAGCCCATTTGATGAAATCATGGGAGATCACCCAGAACTTTGTGTCGCTTCTCCTGGACCACCTTACGGATAAACACACATCTGTGGTAATAATGCGGATCTTAATCCAACCCCATCTTGATGGAATGAAAGGCAAACTATTGGCAAAGGTAGACGAGTTGACTGCTTCCCACAAGCGAGACCACCCAATGCCTATGATTGGAAGCTTTCTTCGAGGTCATCCATTGCCTGTTGAGCGAAGCTTCCTTGCCAGGATGCAAAAATCCAGAAATGACCGCCTGCTCGCCAACCTACAGCAGAGCCTTCCTTCAACTGTGAACAATACTTTCAACACTTTCAACATGGAGGAGCTTAAGGTGGCTACTCAGAACGTGGAGTTAGTATGCAACCAGGCCGCAGCTTCGGACATCGTCGACCAGTTCCAATCATATTACAACGTGAGTTGGGACAACCAACGAAAGACTATAATCTTACTGTGCGCAATATACTGACCAGAAATAGAACGCGCTTATGATCTTTATAGACAACGTTGCAACTCTCGGGATTGAAAGTTGCCTCCTCAGCCCTCTGAATGGCGTCTTGACAACCCAAAAGATCGCCAACATGGACGATAGCCAAATTGAAGACCTTTTCGCTGGTATATGCGATGGGGTACAGAGCTGGCGAAACGAAGTAAATGGTGACTTGGAGAAGCTGCAAACGAGCCTGCAAGTATTGAAAGAATTCAAATTTGCAAAGGAATCAACGCCAAGAATTAGAACAATCAAGCATCCTGGACAATGTTCAGCTTATGATTGTCCATCTCAGGAGTCGTTCCTCGTACCACAAGGGATTCTTTGCAATGGTACATCTGCCAATCCTTTCGGGGTACTATGTGCGGATTCCAGAGTTCAGGGCCAGAACAGCACACCCGGCCATCAACTCTCGTGGCCATACACTTCGGCGTCTAACATGCAGACTTCAGCCACACCTTGCCCCAGTGGTCCATCCGGCTTGAACCCCAGTGTGGTCAATGGTGGGACAACGAGCGCTCCACCTGTATCTTTCCCATTTGCGGGCCATAATCAAAGCTTCAATCAACGTCCTGGGAATTCCGGCCCAAGTCTATTCTCTGGGTCTACACTTCAGCCTCCTCGAACTTTTACACCCAGCACGTTCCGGTCTCCCTCTACTCGGCCTGTTCCATCCCGTGCACCCGACACTCGTGATCACGATCGGTAAGTATACGGTCTTGGTCTAAAGTCTTCTTGTGTGAGAAAAGAGGCCAATATGATATGTTTACTTGATAGCAATTGGTATTGGGAGGAGAGGGACATTCGCAATACTGGAACTTTCGCCAATCCTGCAACTTTCACCAATCGATACCACTCAATTTGTTACCACGAGCGGTACAGAAATTTCTCACCAGAGGTAGGAAGCTCGTGATGATTGATTTGAATGACCACTGACTTCAATATAGGAGCTGCGATTGGCTGACTATGAGCTCGGCCGTGAGACACCCGAGCAGATGAGAACAGGGCCTATTGCGAGAGCGATTCGAGAAGCTCAGGCTGACCTTACGTTCAGAGCACCATCTTTGCTTTGAGAATTGAGAGAGTTCGACATTATGGGGGAAAAAAGAAAAAAAAGGCGGATGGCAAGGAATGAGCGAAGGGAATCGTGATGATCTACAGGTTGAACATGTTTCAATCTCAAATATGTGCAACGAGTATGTTTGATTATGGACGGAGTGCTTTTCAACCAAAAAAACCAAAAAAAAAAAAAAAAAAAAGTTATCCAGCTAGGAGCAATGTCAAGAAGTTGTTTGTGTAAATTGTTCTATCAAACTTGATAATGTCCCTGTAACTTTTCCACCACGACACATACATAATTAGGGAAGAGATGCATGAAAGAGACAGTAAATTAAGACAAATCCCAAAACAAAATCAACAATGCAGAGAGGCCAGCACCACATCGCCGTCTGGGTATTCGAATAACCATTAAGATGAACTAGGCGAACCCAATGGCCATTTTCGTTCGGTATCCGGGTCTTCTATCTCGATGAATGCCAAAGTCCGCTCCTATCGGCCATGTCTATATCGAAATCGATCTCCCCTCAATACGTATATCCTCCCCGACACAGAGGCATGCGCTTTATACATCTAGTGCAAGGTGCCAGGCTGTACATATGTAGTTGTTCAAGAACCGACATACCACACTTCCACCCCAAGGACATCGAACTTGACGCCTTCATCGGAAAGAGGCTCGTTGCCAAAGGTCTGGCAGGATGCACTGATACCCTTTTCAAGACTGTCGTCAAGCCACAATCCGTAGTGACCATCACTATCCCATATATTAGCCAAGAACAATAACCATCCCAGGGAACAGAAATCACTTACCCGCCTCCTAGACTGAGAAATCCAGTTTCACAGAAAATCATATAATCATTAACGCCACTGTACGGGAAAGCTTTGAAGCGAATGCGTTCAGGGGTACTCGCGCCACTCCGCGAAGGGGTATGAATCGAAGAAGGCGATGGAGGTGCCAAGACACCACCACTCGCAGCCGCGAGATTAGACTTAATATTCATATTGAGATTGTGAGTCGGTGATTCCGCCTGTGCGGGCTTCGACTTGTCATTGCGGAGAGTACTCCATCGGCCAGCGGTAGTGGTATCCGCGGAGGGTGGAGGCGGGAGACCGGCGCGCTCAAGGGCTTCCTCGGACTGTGGTCCTTCGCCCGGTACAGGGAAACTTGCGGGCGGGGGGAGCACGCTTGCGCGCCAGAGGAAACACTCCCCCGTACCGTAGAACTGCGACTCCGGGTGCGGGGCGTCTGTCAGGTAGGCGCCGAAGACGGAGCTGTAAGGGGATGAATCACGGACGACGAGGACGTAGCCCGCCCGCGGGCTACGGTGGGAGAACTCAGCGCAGTTCTCGTAGAGGGTGGAAAGGGAAGCGCCGTCGCGGTCGAGGCTGTAGGCTAGACGCCAGGTTTCCGCGAGTTGGAGGCGGGGAGGGACTAGCAGGCGGATTTCTTCGGCTAGGGCGCGGGTTAGGAGTTGTTGTTGGAGGAGGTCTATCCCTCTGGGGATCTCGAGGGTGAGGGGTGTGAGTGGTGGTGGTTGGAAGGGGGAAGCTGTTCGGCGCGGTGTGAAGACTTCGGAGTTGGAGGAGGAGCGGGACCATGGCATGACGGAAGGCATTTCTTTGGTTATGTCTGGGTCTGTTATGCGGCGGTAGAGTCCTGAGACAACGTGGCTGACTGGGTAGGAGAAGTAGGAGGCGGCGGATTGGTAGGGTGGTTTTTCGGGGGGTGTCTGGGATGTTGATCCCGGGTTGGAGATGGAGGAGGTGGGGGTGTCGGAGGGGATATTTTCTTGTGGAGACGACATGCGAGCAATTCAAATCAATTGATGAAAGATGTTGAGCTCTGGGGAGTACAAAGTAGAGATGGACGAATGCGGAGTGGAAGTTGAGACGGTTATCTATGTGGGGAAATAAGCCAAGCTGTCACACACCTGGATATCCTTGTAAGGCGTGGCATGATTACGAGAGAAGTTCTTGGCTCTTCTAAGGTTGTATTGGATTTAAGTGGCAATGCCCGTGTTAAATAGTATCAATAGTATCTAAGGACGCTTCAAATGTTGCTAAATCCAAGCATAATATATCAGCTACGTCAGTTACGTGAACTACGTCAGCTACGTGCCCATCCATGGATGTCTTTATAGCAGGAAATATTTCAATTGCAAACACATGCGAATAGCTAGATTCAACGCTATTGACATGATTGGCAATTCCATGAACCTTCTAGACAAGAAAAAAAGAAACTTATTGATATGAAATGCCATACCAAAAGCCCAAATCAATGCAGACGATGATGGTATCTTAGTGTGTATCGAAGAATTTAAACGCAAGGCAATTAGTTCTTTAGGGCATCCGGCCGAAGATCTACCGTCTCGAATTCTAACCCACTGACTTCGAAGACATGTCCTGGTCGCAAGGCCCCAGTGTAGATATTGTCCTCGGCATGTGGATGGAACAGACCAGTCTGGTTGCAGTTCAGAACCGTCTTCAACCCCGGAGGATCAGTCAATCGGAACACGCCCCAATCTGGGTTTTTGCTTGGAGCGCACACGATAGCAATACTCTCGGGGAGCATCACTTGGTAACCGCAGTGCGTGTGTAGGTCACGGGAGCTCATGAAACATGTCTGTGACGGATGTGTGTGGATCCAGCCGAGTGTCATCAAATCCTCGGAGTCGCAGTAATCGAAAAGAGCGGATTCATTGACCGTTTCGCAGGTGTCAGACGTTGCTGTTTGCTCGGGAATCACCAGCTTCGATATGAAGAGCGCGTTGGAAACAAGGGTACCACAAAGAATACCGCATGTCTCAAGATTGGCGCGGGTGTGAGGAGCAGCCAGGGATAAGAAGCGGGATCGGAGGTTCGCTGGCAAAAATACCGAGCGCAAGGGGGTACCATTTTCGAGATAAGCTGAGGGTTTAAAGGTGTAACTGGAGGGATCGAGATCCGAACGTGTGGCGGTGGGTTCTTCGGAAGGTTGAATCTTCTGAGGCAGGGCCGGACCTGGTAATACCTTCGCTGGCCGCGATGGCACTACAGCTGTTGCAGGGTCATCGACAATGGATGCCCGGCTAGGCTCCAGGTGCTCCTTCGGGGGCAATATCGGAGGCGCCTGCCGTTCTGCATTCTTGTCGAGGATGGCAATTTGGCCTGGAGACACAGTGGGCTCCAGGGGCTTCTGGCGCGGCACAGTCGGATAATTATACGCAGAAGTAGCGGACGAAGGAATCTCGGGCTCTTTGGCACGTTGGCCATAAGGTTGATTTGTGTGATCGAAATCGGACCCGATGTTCTGAACACGTCGACTGAGGTCGCGACCACCCGTGCGAGAATCTGATTTTGAAGAATAGTCCCAATCTCCCCATACGCCAGCTACGCGACGAGCTTCTAGCTCTTCGGCAGATGGCGCAGAAAGATTCTTTGAGCCACGGACGGTGGCTCGACGGTTGAGTTCTGATTGGGCTAACTGTACGGCGAGATCTCGATTCTCCCCAGCTTCCAAAGGCTCTGCTACTCCGGCAAGAGCGGGATCCGGGACTTGTTCACGTGGTTCGGCGACGATTTTGGCCTGTGAGGGCTGTTTCCGAGATTCGCGTTCCCGCATCAACTGAGTGTAACGCTCATATCGCTTATTGATGCGTGGCCTCAGAATCTCCAGCTTGCTAAGGTTTTTCTCAACCTCTTTCTCGGCTGCGACCAAGGCCTTGCGATCTTCCTCATTTTTCTTGGTATCGGGGTGTTTGGAAAGATGGACCAAAATCAACTGAGCATGGCGAAATAGAATGAGATAGGCTTGCTCATCATGTCCTTCGCGTTCGTAAATGTGGGCCTAGCAAGCGAAGAAAAGTTAGCAAGTCTGAAGTAGTGATGATCCAAGTGCAGGCAACAAGCATAACAAACCTCACGTAAAAGCGTCGCGGCGGTCCTCAGCCAATACCGTAACGGAACGGAAGAGTTGTACTCGTAGTTCTGCGCTATTCGCGTAATATTCTCAACACTTTGAGGGGCAGTGCCTCCAGTGGCAGCTCCCATCGCATTGGAAGCCATGGCAACAAGGTACGCAGAGGCAAGGGTAGGTGAGGATTGGGAACCCAAGATAATGAAGTTAAGCGAAGATCAAGCCTCAAATAGCATAGTGAGATGATAGGAACCTCCGAAAACTGGAAACACCAGCGGCAATTGTGAGAGCCGCATCTAGGGCGACCTGGAAGATAAACCTAGTGAGGGGAGAGGTGGGATGAGAGCGGGCAGGGTAGGTCTCTCCGCTCTCCTCTCCGCTCTTCGATGTAAATTGCAAAAAAAAAGGAAATTCCACTCTTGCGCATTATCTCCTTCGATTGGTACTCACTATCCCTCCATGCTATACTTAGGATTATCCTCGGCATTTGCCAGATCTTAAATAATGAGGAAAATCAACCCCCAACGAAAAACGTTGGCGAAGTTTCCGGAGACGACGAGGCTTTACCCTGTGATCATGAAACAACGCGGGAAAGTCAAGCCACGACCGCAATACGTGAGTGATGGGCTACTCGGTAAGTCTTGAGTCTCAGTATCATACACAATGGGTACAAATATACTCATGCGCTTTGAACTTTGCAGATGATGTTCTCAAGCGCGTATCGCCGTACCTTCGCCGAAACCCACCGGTAGACATTCTGGACCTCTGGCCTGGAGGTGGCTTTTTGTCCTCTAAAGTCAATACACTTCTGAAGCCACGCCGTCATGTGCTTGTTGAACCAAACATGCATTTTCGCGATCTTCTCACGCCACTCGTCGAGAGCAAGTCGTGTTATAAACTCGTCCAGGATCACATCTATGGGAAAACCGACTGGGCTGATTTCTTCGCGGATAATCTTCCAGAACAAGGTCCTGGAGACCAAGCAAGCTCTGAGATTATCCCAAAGAATGATACACTCCTTGTCCTGGCTAATCTGCCTGATAGTTCCTCTGCGGCGAATCATTTTAAACCCAGCCGCTGGTTTCTCCACTTCTTGAATAGTTGCTTAAGACAAACTGATATGAATTTGTACGGGGCTGTACGAGTCCTTGCAACAATGCCCTCCGCCGATATCCCGCATATGCTACCTCGGTCCGCTATGGAGCGCGGACGAACTGGCGTATTCGCCGAGACCATAGGCTTACACACCATAGAGCTCGCCAGTCCAGCTCAACCCGAACGCTCTCATCACTGGCAGGGCTGGGATTACATAAACGACAACAGCAAGCTTGTGGCTACAAGAGCTGCAGAAAATGACATTATCACACCACCCAACAGAAAGCTTCCCCCTGTGAAGCTGGTGCCAGAAATCGCTCACCGCGGGAGAAATAGCCAACCATATGAGCGTCGGGTTCAAACCCCGTTTCACGACAAGCTCCTCGAGGACGTCGATGCAGCAGATAAGCTGGGTATCAAGTCGAGCCTCGACACCACAGACCCTAAAGCTAAAGAATTAATTCGAAAGCGTGGACTAGCATTGACAAAACTTGTCAGGGAGAATTCAGCAAGTCACTTCCGCCAAAAGCTTGCCAACATAATACTTGAGCTTGATGAAGTCGGCTGGGCATTTGCGCGTGCGGCTGCGGATCCCCAGGAGAGTATTGAGAGTTTGAAGGCTCTGGAAGATCGTATGGTATCTCTCAAATCGAGTTATACCACTTTGTGCGCAAACCTTCACTTCGTCATGTTGGACAAACATGATCATATAATCGATGATCTCCGCTTGGCTAGACTCTCCAACCATGTCGATGATGGCAATTTGCTACATGACCGACGACCCTTTGAACCTCTCTACATCCACCCGGACGAGATTTACCCTCGCGTGAGCGGAGATGAGCGCTCAATCATATATTTCGAACCAAACCCCAACCCGCCCCTTCTGAAGAAGGTCTTTGACCTACCGACCTCAATGGTCCAACTAGTTCTCGATCGGCATTTTTCACTGCTAGCCTTGATGGGCTTCCGTGGTAAGATGTCGGTCGCCGAATTCCTTGAATCCACTTTCCCGTTAGAGCCTATCAATAATCATGTGCGGGATATTCCAAGCCTTGCCTACTTCGCCGAAAGACGACTCAAGCCTGGATATGGGCCGATGCCCTTGCCGGATGGTTCGACGTCGGATCCAGCATTCACCTATCAGGAGAATGTGGACTATGATTTAAGTGGTGTTCGAATCCGCACTCTTTCTGCACAAACCATGGTGGAGATTGCAATCAAATATGAGAAGCTTTCGGATAAGCTATCTACCATCGGGCTCAGCCGAGTTCTAGGCGGGTCATTAACCCAGGCTCAAATAGGGGATGATCTTGTTAAAACGAAGATGAGATAGGGCCAGGTTGGCACTGTGTATAACTCTGTATATTACTTTGTATATTAGCATTTTGTGCAAAAGGATATGTATAATTTTAGAAACCCGGGATGGGAATACATAATTGTGAATCTAACTAGGAGTATTCCAGGTTGTATGTGGTTGGTTGCATGCGGGCACGAGGTCAAAGGATTGGATGTCGCGTTGAGCCATGTAGAATAAAGTGCATTGAGTAAAGATAGTCAGAGAATGGTCAAAACAAATATAAACATCAACATCAATACAAAACACAGATATAAAACTAAAAATAAACATATACATAAACGTTTACAGAATGTCATATAAATGACAGCCGTTGAGACGCATGCGGAGTACCCGACCCGGCATAGGATGGGTTCGCCTATTAACCTCGTATTGTCTATTTACCCTGACTTGCCTCTGTATACTTCGTATAGGTAACCAGATAATAGATAATGCAACTAAATAAGTTAGGTAAACTAAATAATAAATAATAAATAACCCTAATACCCTAATCTGAAAAACAAATTAAAAAAGAAATAAAAGGAAATGAAGCAGAAACCCAATCCCCCAATTTAATTTCCCGTTTGCACTCCACTGCCACCGTAGTATTTTACTGTCACGGTCACGCTCTATCTTTTCTATCATTTTGCTTATGTTCGAGACCGGACAAAGTGGGCCGGTTTTGTTTTTTTTTCTTTGCTTTTTGTGATTACTTTTATAGCCATGGCCTTTTTCCCAACAGTTATTCTTTGTCTATATTATACGGCCTATAGGCCCAATCTCATAAAAACGTGCATTTGCCACCCCGTCATCATTATAGATCCAACCGTGGGTGAGGCTTAATTGCCTATCGCGAACTGTCCCGGTGGCGCTACTGATATCAAAACGAGTTCACTAGTCTCGGCGCTTCCCCCAGAGAATATAGACCCTGATTTGCCCGCAAATCCTGCTGTCGAAGTTGCGCATTCACACTATGGCCAATCCCCCAGTCCAGTTGTCTCTCCAGACAGCCCAAGGCAAAAGCCCTCCGCTATCTACTCAAGTCCCATCGAATCTCACTCCACCCGTGACTCCCATAGCCAAGGAACGGCCCCCAAGATCAACTTTAAGCCCATTCCATGACTCAAAGACAGAGCAAACGCCATCTATCTCCAAAGATAATGTCAGCACTCTGCAATTCACAGACGACCTCGAAATATGTCGTGACGAAAACGACCGCTCCTTCGAGTTTGGCCGCGGCGTCTGGAGCATAGTATACAAAGCGCGCTCATTGCCACGCCCCCAAACAACCCTCCCAGGCACACCCCCAAGCTCCCCAACCTCAAGATCGCAAGTGCTAGCCGTGAAAGCACCATTGCGCCGAGATGCGCGCCCAGTCCTGAACGCCGAAGCAGCAACCCTAACCCGCCTCATGTTCACCCAAGGCCACGAACATTACATCGTCCCCTTCCATGGCTACCATGCCGAGCTAGGCGCACTAGTAATGTCCGCCATCCCAAATTCACTAGCAACATACATCGAAGACCAAGCAAAGATTGCGCGCACTCGTCAGCCCGTAACCGCAACTATGTTCGACCCAGTCCAGGGCCCAGCTTCATACCAGGAGCTCGCGCGCAAGCTAATCACCGGCCTGAACTGGTTGCATCAAGTCGCTGGTGTCGTGCACGGTGATATCAAGCCACACAACATCCTTCTCCGGCCCATCGACACAGATGACTGCACGGATGATGTCGCTTTCCCGTATGAGCCTCTCTTCGCGGATTTCTCTGCTACCGTTGATATCCCCGAGCACGAGGATGCACCGGTTGATACGACGCGCGCGTCGATGTCGTCGTTCACGCCGCCCTTTACGGCGCCGGAAATGCTTGCTTCGCTGACATCAACTGAGATCGCGCCGACGCCTGCGTCGGATGTCTTCTCGCTGGCGGCTACATTGCTGGCCGCTGCAACTGGCGATTTGCTGTTGTATCCTAATATGAATCATCGGTTGCGGTTGGAGATGGCCAGGGCGGGCCATCAGATTGTTGATTTCGCGAGGTCCGGAATGAGTGGGAGTCGGGTTCCGAAGAATGGGTTCGTTGAGCGGATTGTTAAGCCCGCTGTTGTTAAGGATCCGGCGATGCGGATTACGACGCCGGATTGGGTCGAGCTTGCGTCTTCTGGATGCTCTTCTTGATGCTGGAGATTTGTTGGGAACTTTTTGGTTATTTGTTTTTTTATTATTTGCATTGTCCATATACCCTGTTTAGATGGAGTTCGGTGGAATGTGTATGATATTGGAGGGATTTGTATAATATTTTATCAAATCAAATAATACCTAATGGGGCATACGGATATCAATGTTTCATCCCAGAGTAATATCTCATCATAGTAACGATTTCGATTCGGAGCAGAGTAGTCATTCTCGAGTAGAGTAGCGAGTAGAAAGCAAACAACGCCAACGCCAGATACCCAAAACAAACCCACGAGAACTGAGTACATTGACTTCAATTAATCAAGAAGAACCAGCATTACTGCCCCCTTCAACAAATCCCTTCAAATCAGCAACCCACATCTCAAAATTCGCCTCCAGCTTAGCCTTGTACATCCACCGCACCACATAAACCAACCACCCAACCTGCGCCTCCCAATTCCGCACTTCCGTCCCACCCTCAACAGCCGTAATCTCATGCACGCGCTCCGCCTTCAAAAGCGACGGCGAGAATGAACCCGATGCTTCGTGGTCGGCGCACCAGACAATACGGCCGACCTCGCCAGTCTCCGCATTCGGCACTCTGAATTCACTGACGTAGACATGTACATCTGTTGCCGGCTGGGGCTTGGTGGAGGTTGAGTCCATGCGGACGTGTAAGGTGAATTTTGTTCCTTTTTGGAGAATTGGGGATAGAGCTGTGTTTGCATCTGTACTTGTTGATTGGGTGGTTGGTGTGGCTGTTGATGCAGGTGTTGGGTCTGGTGCGGAGGTGGATGGAGATGGGTCTGGGGCTGGCTGGGAGCGGATGGATACGCGTGGTACGAAGGTGTTCCAGCTTGGCCAAGTTGAGGTGTTTGTTAGGGCGGCCCAGACTTCGTGAGAGGGGGCGGTTATGAAGGTTGAGCTGCCGATGTGGAGGGTTGCTTTGTCAATGGGGATGCTGGGGGTTGCGCGGGTTGCGTTGGTTGGGTCTGTGAGGGTTGTCATGATGGATTGGGGGGCTGATTACGATGGTTTGAGATCGAGGAGGAGGAGAGGTGAGGAGGAAATGAAGGTAGGCAGGTCAGAGTCAGAGGAGGAGGTTGTGCAACACTAGGCTCCCAGAGTAGTAGCTCGGATGTCGTTTGCGTCCGGGCCGATAAGCTTTGATATTCCGATAAGATGCGATATGATAAGAGATAAGATTATAGATAAGATGATTGAAGTATGAAGCTTGGAGTGCAAATGAGAAAATAGCCCTACCTTAGTAGGCAGTATGTATGACGTTCTACCTACATATAGGTGATGGTGATTCCAACACTATCTTTGGGAGGATGTGTGGGATTCGATGCCATTCGCATTACAAACTACCGTATATAGATACGTTACTACATGCATCATTGAATTTGATCTCTTCCCGTTTCTTTTGTTACGCCGATACGTTTGGTCCAGCTGTGAGAATAAGATTCAATATTAGACTCGGGCTTTGAATAAAGTGTAAGTTATTCCCCACTATCTACTAGCACTCACACGAAACTATGGCATATTTAAATGGCCATACTGGAGAGCTCTAAGATGTACGAAATCATAGATTTATTTGGAATATATCTGAAACTATCCGTCCTTTGGGTCCAAACAAAATCATAAGCTGTACGAGCTTGAATGCCGGATCAAAGTACTAACCCTGTTTGAAGAGGACGCCCGCTGCAAATCAGATGAACCAAGCCATTCCAAATTGGTACCAAATGGGACCTTGGAACCATCTATGGATATTAAATACCTAGGTATGATCATACCTCCAGTTCCCTTGATATGAGACATCCTTTGCTCTTTCCTTTTATTCATATTTGGCCCATCTCCGCTCCTTCCTATAATCTTGTTCCTTCCACAGAACTACTGTACATGAACAAAACTCCATCATCCCTCCTCTTCTTCTTCCTCTTCTTCCTCTCGTTTCATACACTCTTTCATCCAACACTCTTTAATTTATATATTCATTGTTCGACTACACTCATTCTAATCTTCTTCCTGTCTCTTCAACATGCAGCATTCTACCCCACCTCCAGTCTTTGTCCAAGCTTCTCAATTCCCTCCCAACTTCATTCTCCGGCCTCGACCCCGATTTTGCATCCTACGTCCCGGAGGTTTCTGGACGCCTCTGATCCCACTTGACGAATTACCTTCTTGGTTGGAAATTTGCAACTGGGCCCCTGACATGTACATGGGAATGTACCCGGCGTCAATGACCTTCATACCACGAGAAGGGGAATATGACGTTCTCTGTCATCACTGCTCGTACGGTGTAGACTCACTGCACCAGAGCGTCTCCGAACGAGGAACTTCTTCTGTTGCAGCCGACAATGATGCCTCGGCCAAAGACTGTCCTGTCTCACCAAAGGCCGATAGAAGTGGTGCTGCTTCCTTGCCTACCGTGCTTCATCATGACCCACCAAGCCACTTCTTGGAGCAGCCTCCTTTCGGCGCAATTCTCCAGGCCCCATTTGTTGGAATGTGTATGGTCGACATGAACTCGCAGTATCCGAATGTTGCTCCAGACTCTTCTGGGCTGAAGCGACGCCTGAGCATAGAGAACTCGATTCCTCGTCAGGTCTTTGGTGCAGTCGGCGTTGGCAGCCCTCCTCTTTCTGTAGCCAACTCGGGGAATGCTCGCAGTCCTGAGCTCTCTTATACACATGCACATGATGCTGGATCGTTTCCCAAGCCCCAGCGCGTTGCATCACTACAAAACGAAAGTCTTGTATCAATGCAAAGTGGCAGTATTGCCTCCACTCGATCTCTCACAGTTGCTGCCATTGAGCACATGAAGAGAATGCGAAGAAGAAGGATGTCCCGTGGAAGCAGTTTGCATGCAAGCATCAGTGTCGCAGAAGCGAAGAGTCTGTCCCAGGTCTCAGGCTCAAAGGTTTCAAAGGTTTCAAAGAATTCCAAGGTTTCTCAAATCTCCTCCATCCGTGTTATCTCAAAGCATCGTCGAAAGGTTGTACTGCGTCGTCGACGCGCGGAAGAAAGGAAGGCTGATAGATCACGGCAACTAGCGACCTCAATGGAGGCACTGACGCTGAAGCCAGAGCAACCGAATTCGGCTACCAAGAGACGCGATCGACGTGAGCGCATGATGCAACGCAGAAAGCAGTCTGATCGTGGCAAGCAACCTTATCGGAACATGATGCGGATTCCTAACTGGAGCCCGGGTATGTGCAAGCACTAAATGATGATCGAGAGTGGTCTGTACAAAACATGAAGCTGTACCACTGTCTTTATTACTGGACTTGATACAAGTTTATTTTGACAGGGTTTTGGTCTATAGATAGATGTCCTTCTTTTCTATTTCGCTTTGGTGGGTCTAGCTTTCTTCGATTCTTACTTTCGGTTGCTTTTTTTGGGTTCCCAGCTGACGCCTGGTGAACTGCCTCTCCTTCCCCTTCACTTTTTTTGGCATTCTTGTTTTCGGCAAGATTTTGTGTTTATTTGGTCATTTTGCTTTCCTCAAGTAGATAGTTGATGACCTTGCGTCTTGTTTCCCTCGTGGTTTTGTTTCCAGCTAGCTCCCGGCGACATTCCCTCTCGTTTCCTTTTGTTATTCAAAAGTGGCTTTCGGTTAATAAAATTGTCTTTCGTTTGCTTGTTTTGTTATTTTTGACTGTCTCCCAGTTGGTGATATTGTCTCTCGCTTTCCTTCTCAGAATCCAACCGGAATTGAATCCAAGTATTCCATCTTTCCAAGTTCACTGCTAGATAGCTACTGACTCCTTTCTTGTTCTCTCGGATATCAAAGGATGTTGGAAGGCATTGGATGAGAACAAGATTGGAGATAAGAAAAAAAAAAGCAAAGAAGATACGAGAGCTCCCGAGGTCCACCTGAGCTCAATCGGGAAAGTGTCCGCAACCCCCGCACTATACTCCAGGGATTAATTGATAGCCTTCCCAACCAGGCCACTTCACACACCATGAAAGTGAAAAAGCCCCGGGGCATCCGGCATGACCGAGACTGTGGTCGCTGCAAACTCCGAGGGGTCAAATGTGACCTGAACCGGCCTCGATGTCAAGCCTGTCTCCAGAGTGGAGAAGCATGCAGCTATCCGCACCGAGTTGTATGGGTAGATGACAAGAAATTGAAATCACCAAAAAGCACTTCAAAAATTCCCAATGAAGAAACACACATTGAAGTTGCCAGCAAGTCAGCATCGATTATCAATCTATATGGCTTTGTCGACCTACTGGACACTTTCTGCCAACAACTTCAATCCAGCAGCCGTGACATCCCAGAAGAAGGAATCCAACTGATATCACGCACGTTAAGCTTCGCCCGCTCGCGCATCCAAGATGCAAACAACAAAGAATCCCTGCAGTCGCATCTAGTGGCCTTGACAAACCTGAGTCAAGTTATCCAGTCCGCGCACCCAATCGCGCTCTTTGGCATCGCCACTTTCGCCATGTTTGAAGTATGCTGCGGATCCTTTGGCAACTGGCATTGCCATCTCCAAGGCGCACGCTCACTGCTAGACCTACACTGCCAAAATAAGGCCGATCTGGACAACCTCTGCGACGAGATCGCCGGTCTAGCCGATGTCCTCGCATATCTAGTGTGGTTTGATGTTACAGGCGCTCTCGTCAGAGAAAGTCCATTAATTTTCGAAGACTGGCATCGCGAGACCTTATCTGCCGGATTCTTCGATTCAGTCGGATGTCCACCAGATACATTCGATCTATTAGTTTATCTTGCAAAACACCGCGACCATGATGGAATCCGCACCATGGACCTCAGCTCCCGAGCAATGGCCCAAATACTCCAACTCAACACAGGCGACTCCACAGACCGCAATCTTGCTGCGACCGTGTATAGAGGGGCCGCGGCAATCATGGCGTTCAGTCGCGCGGGAATTACTATGGGCGGCGATCCCCCCGCATCCACATATCATTCAACCGTAGTCTCCTCCATGGTAGATCGGGCTTGCCAGGCTATTGCAGACATCCCTTCTACATCAAGGTTCTACGTACACTTGGCTACCCCCGCATACCTGACAGCGATGAGTGCCTCGACAGCACGACAGTGCGAGATAATCCGAAATTACTGGCGGAACTGCCAGTCGTGCGAGTTCCCTCGTTATCCGGACGCCGAGGCCCAATGTGAGAGGAGGTGGAGGATGTTCGGTGTGGGGGTTATCGTCGATTAGATAGCCTTCCTAATCGGGTAACCCATCTTACTTCTTATCTACCTACATAGTACCTAAATAGGTCTTGAACGCATATAAAGGCCCTGTTATAACCCGAATTTCCAATTTTTTTAGCTCTTCTAGTTCGGCCATAAACATAGGAATTCCTCGATGGCTACTTCGTACCAAGACCGTTGCGCTCAAAAGCGCGCTGACCAACTCTCCCTCATCCTCCCCGAATGGCGCTTAGATCCCGTTCCCTCCATAGAATCCGCCCCAGACGCTCTGGAATATCTGCGTCGCATCCTCAGTCCAGAGGAACTCGCTCTCACGGAAGAGACCGATATCGCCGTCCTTCTCCGCAAGCTTTCATCCGGAGAACTCTCATCTTTAAAGCTGACTCAAGTCTTCGCTAAACGTGCCGCCCTCGCTCACCAACTCACAACATGTTGTACGGAGATCTTCTTCGAGGAGGCCTTCGCTGTCGCCCAGGAACTAGACGACTACCTCGCTAAGACGGGGAAAACTATTGGTCCTCTACACGGATTACCAGTATCCATCAAAGATTTATTCTCCGTTCAAGGAGTAGACACTTCAATCGGTAAATTACACCCTTATTTCTCTCACACCTGCCACATAGAAAGAAAACCCTACTTCTTCGTACATTATTTTTGAATTTACATACTAATAACAAATTCAAAATCCAGGCTGGGTCGGCCTCACCAACAACCCGGCAAAAGCAGACAAATCCGTAGCGCGAACACTGCGCCGTCTCGGCGCCGTCCTCTACGTGAAAACTAATCTCCCACAATCAATGATGATGTCCGACTCTTACAACCATGTCTTCGGTCAATGCGTCAACCCCTTCAACCGCGAGCTGATTTCCGGTGGGAGTTCCGGCGGCGAGGGATCACTTATTGCTGCGCGTGGAAGCGTGCTTGGGATTGGTACCGATCTAGGTGGTTCGATTCGTATTCCTGCTGCGCTTTGTGGACTTTATGGATTGTCGCCTAGTCCCGGGAGACATCCGTATGAGAGGGGAAAGTGAGTTTATTCATTTATTCCCTGGTTTTGATGTGTTGGGTGGTTAAAAAGAAGAAGGTGCTGATTTCAATAATTTATAGCCCTGGACAGGATATTGTGAGATCCGTTGCTGGGCCTATGGCCTGTAGTCTTACAACTATTGAGAGATATATGGAGGTTTTGCCGGAGGCGAAGTCGTGGGAGGTTGATCAGCATGTCGCACCTGTGGCATGGAGGAAGGAGCTGGCTTCTCCTGGTGCGAAGAGACTGAGGATTGGATTTCTGGTTGATGATGGTGTTGTCAAGGTTCAGCCGCCAATTGCCAGAGCTATGCGTGAGGTTATTGAGGCGCTGAAAGCGGCAGGACATGATGGTATGATAACTGAAAACAAGCTCTCCGGCGGCTACTTTGAAGCACCTACTAACAACTTTTAGTGTTTGAGTGGGATGCCTCCTCGCATAGTTATGCTTACGAGCTCTGGGCAAAGGCTATCTTCTCTGATGGTGGGGAGGGCTGTCGAAGACAAATCGAAAAGACCGGCGAGCCGCTTGTTGAGGGTATGCTCGTTGGTAAACCCGAGGATACTTTGACTACTAGTCAAACGCACCAAGTGAGGAACTCCTGTCTTAGGATTTTGGTTACAGCCTGCTAACATATATCGCAGCTTAATGCGGATAAATACAATTTCGAATCGGCATATCTCGATAGATGGATATCCTCCGATCTCGACGCTTTGATCATGCCCAATACTTCATGGGTAGGATATAAACCGTGGACATGGGTTAAGTCCAGTGCATATGTGGGTTACACGAGTATCTGGAATTTCCTTGGCTATGCCGCGCTGGCAGTGCCGGTGACTACTGCTTCAAGGGCGAAGGATATTCCGGATGAAGAATGGCTGGCTCATGTTCCGAGAAATGATAGTGATAAGTTTAATAAGCAGCAGTGTGAGTACATCCAATATTGGAGCCTTCCTGAACGATGCTAATCCGTGTTTAGATGATATCAATCTGGTCGATGGTATGCCAGTTGGCATACAAGTTGTTGGCGGCCGGTTTGGTGAAGAGAAATGTGTTGCTGTGGCTAAGGCTATTGAGCAAGCTATGCAAAGGAAGATTATCTCACGAGCAAATCTTTGATATCGTACATAGGTTCATGGCCATCTGTTTCTTATTCACACTAGTCACGTTTACTAGTGCCATTTCCGCATAGATCCTTACCTTCAGTTTTGACGATAGGGTCATGACGGGACACTATATATATCAAGCTTTTTAAATATTCTACGTGAACTAACTACAATATGATCCAAGCTGTAAGGTTAACATCATTATTCATATCGTCACTATATGCAATTACATCCCTGGCTTTCTTGATGCTTAATATATACAATCCGCAGCAATTTCAAATAGGAGCATTCATCCTCTCCTTATAGTCCGGGAACTCGAAGTCCCCAAAATCACCGAAATCCCTCTCGACACTAGGATTCGAGCATGGCTTCGCATGCGCAGTCCTACTCCTCGTTACCCCCTCCCCCATCTCAATGTCGAAACGAAGACTTTTCGCAGAATGAGCCCTGACAACAGGGGTAAGGGTATCAGACTGCATCCTTAACTCTCGTTTAACCCGAATCCCCTCCTCGTTCTCATGCTCATCTTCATTCGTATCGACCTTGGAAATACTAGCAGAGTAACTCGCTGGCCCGGGACTGAAGAGTTCATTACACCAGATACTACCATCCCGGTGGAGAGGCTCGCTCATCTGGGTTCTATTGGAATGAACCTTTGAGGGCCGGGAGGGTATCGGTCGAGGGAGGAAGAAGAATGAGAACAGGCGGGAGAGGAGTGGATGGAGAGGTGGCAGACAGACGCAGATGATGGATACGTTTGCTTCGAGGAAGGACCAGAGGGCTGCTTGGGCATTTGCATCTGTTGGTGTGTTAGTTTTATTTTTCTTTTCTTTTCGCATGTTGCAGTATGTGAAAATGAAGTTGTATACTTACAGGTAAAGTCTCCTCCGGCAACCATGACGCTCAATGGATACATGCGAGCGGAACTGGTGGCAACAATACTATAAGAAAAGTCAGCTTGGTTCCTGAGATCAACCACAATGATTCAGTTCGACTTACATGATCCCAAGACTGAAAACCACAATTATTCCCCATTTTTGTCTACTCGGTAGTTGTAGCTTCCATAACAGCGGCATGGGCAAAATCAATATCACTATGTCGGTAATCGTCTGGAGTGCCGCATTGGTAAACCACACAGGGCCGGAGGGTAGACATTTCGTCTCGCGGACCTCTGCAGACGGACTCCAGAAGGCGTGGATAGGGACGCAGAAGAAAAAGCCACTTAGGGTCGTCCATAGGCCTATGATAGTGAGAAAGCCCATTATGATGTAGGTAGCCAAGCGGAAGGGACGGGGACGGAAGAGACGGGTGAAGAGAGTCAGGGCTGAGAACTTGGCTAGGATCATAGTCATGTTGTAAAAAGGGACAGAAAGCCATAACCACTGCGATTTGGCTTTATTAGTGACTTATCTCATGGCAGAAGGGATTTTATTCGTACAAATAGTTGGCGTTGAATCTCATCTTCCGATAGTTCTGACACGGGGACGCCAATGCCATATTCTCGTTCTTTAGAGGAACTCGTTAGATTGGAATGTATACTAATGGCATTGCTGGGATGGACCACTTACCAAGAATTATAAAGGCGAAGAATGCTAGGTCGACGAGCTTTATTAGACGATTAGCGTTGTACTCTCACTCCCCACATCGTTTGAGATATTTATGTTGTTGTGGTATGCATAGTCGATAGAAATACATACCAATGCAGCTATTATAATCAAATCATCTAGTCCAGGAGCCTTCACCACGTAGACCCGAGTGTATAGCCGGAGGGCGACAGTCAAAACCGCCAGCCCCATAAAGGCCGAAGTGACGATCACAACGTACATCCAATCGGTAAGGGGATCAATTGATAAATTTAAAAAGATATCAACCGGATTTTAGTGGAAAGCCGTAGAGTAGACATCTGACATTATATTGAACGAAATGCAGTGGGAATATGCACCAGTACCGCCATCAGACTGCGACTGAATACTGAGCAGGTAGAATCGTCGAATTGTAAGTAAAGAAGCTTAATTTAAGTAGAAAATAAAGCAAAAGAGAGAAAAGAGATGAACAGTCTTAATCCACACACATCTCTACCCGAGACGAACACAAGTTTGGCAGCAAAATCTGCGTCAGCTTCTATGAATTCACACCTAACCCCCGTTCTTCCAATCAAGATTCACTCTCCTACTGTTGGTACAACCATAAAAAAAGACCAAAAAGACGAAATGGCCGGATTAGGAAACAAGGACAACCACTTGCGTCAAGACCTCGCTCTAGGTCGATCGCTACTAAAGCCCGAAGCAGATGATTGGCTGTCCGAATAGAGTTGTGGATCCCCGTAGCCGACCCACATCCTAATTGGTTCGAAGGTTTGGGATTGTTCGGTAACGACCTTACCCCGTAACTCTGGAGAAGGTAACCAGGGCAGCCTAGCCAGATATCACATTATCAAGTTCAAGATCCTTGTTTGGCTTTTACTTGGGACACCTTCTCTATGGATGCTTTCTGGCTTAAGGTTTGGAATTGATTTTCGGTTGTTGAAGATGAAACTATCATTTCCTTATTGAGATCCGCGTGATTCGTGCTAATATCGACTTTACACTTTTCTGATTCCTAAACACAATGTGGCGTTGGTGACGTCTGGAGTGGTTAAATGGTATGTCCCCTGCAATTGACGAAGGAAAACTTTTCCAAGGTTTGCCCCTGTGGGAGCGAGGTAGCTATAGACTGGTAGCACGTGGAATAAGCATGGAACCTAAAATTATCACGACAAATACTAGAAACTAGTTGCCTACAATCTACTTCGGAAGAAAGGTATACAGAATGACAATTCAATTGCAAACTATACAAAAATGACCAATCAAAATTAGGCCAATGTCTTTCCGCTAGGGATTCTAAAACGGGAGTATCTCATCAAATTTTGCAGCAAATGGGAAAACAATCTACAGGCGAGCCTTGAGGTTGGCCTTCAGCCTCCGCTCAACGGCAGCCATGTACTCGCCAGTGGTAACCCAAGCCTCGCGGTCCTTGCGGCCACAGGCGAGAGCCAGATCCTTAGTCATAATAGCCTCCTCGTTGACGACATCAACGCAGGCACGCTCGAGCTCCTCGGCGAAAGTGACAACCTCAGGGGTGTTGTCGAGGACACCACGCTGGACGAGACCACGGGTCCAGGCGAAGATGGAGGCGATGGGGTTGGTGGAGGTCTCCTTACCCTTCTGGTGCTCGCGGTAGTGACGGGTCACGGTTCCGTGGGCGGCCTCGGACTCGTAGGCATCGCCGTTGGGGGTGGCCAGAGCGGAGGTCATCAGACCGAGAGAGCCGAAGCCCTGGGCGACGATATCGGACTGGACATCACCGTCGTAGTCTGGAAATACGTGTTAGATAAGAATTAAAGAGATAAACCAATACGGGATAGACGGGAAACTCACTCTTAAGAGCCATGACGAAGCCACCCTCGGACTTGATCATCTGAGCGACCATGTCGTCAATGAGACGGTGCTCGTACCAGATGCCCTTGGCATCGAAGTCCTTCTTGTACTCCTTCTGGAAGATATCCTCGAAGATGTCCTTGAAGCGGCCATCGTACTTCTTGAGGATAGTGTTCTTGGTGCTCATGTAGAGGGGAAGACCCTTCATGAGAGCCATCTTGAAGGAGGAGTGGGCGAAGCCAGCGATGGACTCATCGGTGTTGTACTGGCACTGGGCGATACCACCACCCTGGAAGTCGTAGACCTGGACGCGCTCGGGCTCACCACCGGTAGGGGTGTAGACCAACTCGAGCTTACCGGGGCCAGGGATGACGCGGTCCTGGGCACGGTACTGGTCACCGAAGGCGTGGCGGCCAATGACAATAGGCTTAGTCCAGCCAGGGACCAGGCGGGGAATGCGGGGAATGACAATGGGCTCACGGAACACGGTACCGCCACTAGATAGATCATTAGTGAACGGTCAAAGCCAATCGGATTGAGTTTACTCACAGGATGTTGCGGATAGTGCCGTTGGGGGAGAGCCACACTAGAAATAATTAGCTATTTTTGTGCTACACAAAACGGGCTTCGGCCGCTGAGCTTAATGAGCTTACTCTTCTTCAGGTTGAACTCCTTGACACGGGCCTCATCGGGGGTGATGGTGGCACACTTGACACCAACACCATACTTCTTAATGGCCTCGGCGGCATCAATGGTAACCTGGTCGTTGGTCTCATCACGGTACTCAATACCCAGATCGTAGTACTTGAGATCAATATCAAGGTAAGGCAGAATCAACTATAGGCAGCCAATTAGTATCAAAAATTCGAGCCGGCATGTAATATGATGCATCAACTGCATGCACCCTGCAACAGTGGGGATCATGCAGATCAAGCCCGGTCGAGGAGGGGACGATGAGCTTACCTTTTCTCTGATTTCTTGCCAGATAATACGAGTCATCTATGTTCACGAAAATCAATTGGTTAGCATGTGTCAAAAAATGAGTTTCAAAGCCTAGGGCGGCGTCATCGTCCGATTGACACATGTGTTATCGCGATATTCCCCGTGTTTCCCCGCGTTTTCGACGAAAACACGCAACCCGAGCACGAGGATGTACGGGCTTGTGAAACAGGCTGATTGAAACTTTGAACTATAAAAGGAGGAGTTGTCCCATACCTCATCACCATCCAACTCGACCACAGGGGTCTTGACCTTGATCTTGGTTTCGGTAGCCATAGTGCGGGTTTGAGTGAGAGACGAAGGGATCGATCCGGACCAGCGGGAAGAAGCAGCAACTCGATTAGTTCGTTGAGAGAGAGTGGTAGAGGAGATAGTTCTCTTGGAAGAAGAAATAAAGGAAGAAGAAGAAATAAGACGAGAAGTAGAAGAGAGAGGGGCAGGAGGGGTCGCAAGGGACCGACGAGCGAGTGCGGAACTGGACCGGAGAGCGTTCATCGTGGGATAGCTAAGGACGTCAGCGCCAATTTCGCAGATTTTGTTTGGCTGAGCGGGATATGAGTCGCCTCACTCGCTGATTACAGCCGAGGGAATGAGGTTCGGCAGAAAGGAAAGTGTGGAGTCGGGAAATTTCCCGGAGAAAGGGTAGAGAGAAGATGCGATTTCCGGGACTTGGGTAAGAGGAAACCGGGGCAATACGGGAATTTGATCGGAATGAGATGAGTAAGGCAAATAAACTAGGGGATAATTACCGGTAAAGAGATTGAAGTGTGTTTAAAGAAGGGTAGAAGAGGAAAAAGCCTTGTCCGGTGTAATGGAGGTTGGGGATCTTATGAACAACTCCGCAAAAAGAAGCGCCGAAGCCGGACAGTCACGAGATATTGAAGACTTTTGAAACGGTTTGGAATATTTTGGGGGACAATTTCACGTGGATTTCTTTAAATCTTTAAATCTTTCTATTCAATTTGTCCTGACTCATCGATCTAATCCTTTCTCAGCTAAATTTTTATTTTCAAGCTCCATCAACCGACCCGCTGAAGAAGGCTATATGCGGTGATAGAGCGGTTCCCGGAGAACGGAGCTCAACTCCGGCCTTGACCGGCCCTCCCTTTTTGACCCCGGAAAAGCTCCAACCGAATTGTACGATTTATATGGAGACTGAGAAAAAATTATATTGATTATGATGAATATTGTCAAAATGAATTTCACATGTCCAATTGCCCCGGATTGCGCTATGTTGAAAAATCTCCATCTAAGGGCCCGATCAGACGCCAATTATCGTATGTGTTGAAAGAATCGAAATTCTGAACAGTGGTATATGCAAGCTCCAAATATCTCCCTATCTATATCGTAATCTAGAACAGTCCATCGATGTCACCAGTCTCGGTGTCAATGTCCACATTGAGGTAGCCGGGGGCAGTGGGCAGTCCGGGAATGGTCTGGATGTCGGCAGCCAGAGCGTAGCTATAGTTATATTATTAGCGTGTTGAGTTCCCACAAAATCCAGGAACAAAAACTTACAGGTATCCAGCGCCCACAGCCAATCGAACGTCCCGAATCGGCACAGTGAAGCCGGTGGGGGCGCCCTTAAGGGCAGGGTCGTGACTGAGTGAGTACTGGGTCTTGGCGATACAGATCGGCAGGTTAGAGAACCCTTGCTTGGTGTAAGTGTCGACCTTCTTCTGGGCCAATTCACTGAACTCGACCTTCTCAGCGCCATACATGGCCTGGCCGATGCGCTCGATGCGCTCCTGAATAGTGCCATCCAGTCCGTAGAGAAGCTTGAAGTCCTTCTCCTTGGAGCTGGCGGTCATGACAGCCTTGGCCAGATCAACGGCACCGGCTCCACCCTCGGCCCAATGGTTGGCAGGGACAGCATCCTCGGCACCAGCAGCGATCGCCTCTTCCTTGATGACAGCAATTTCAGCATCGGTATCAGTCTCGAACTTGTTGATCGCGACCACCACCGGAACACCGTACTGCTTGGCGTTGGCAATGTGCTTCCGCAGGTTAACACAACCCTTGCGGAGAACATCCACATTCTCGGTGCGGTAGACCTCCTGGAGAGGGGCACCGGGCTTGATCTCGGGGCCGCCGCCGTGGACCTTCAGCGCACGGACAGTAGCCACAATAACGACAGTGTCCGGAACCAGACCAGAGGAGCGGCACTTGATGTTAAAGAAGCGCTCGCCACCCATGGTGAAGTCAAAGCCAGCTTCAGTGACCACGAAACCGGTCTTGGCTTCATGATCCTCATCGGGCTCAGTACCGGCAAGCTTGAGGGCAAGCTTATCAGCGATGGCAGAGCTGGCGCCAATACTGATGTTGGCAAAGGGACCAGCGTGCACCATCACAGGAGTACCTTCCAAACTCTGCATCAGGTTTGGCTTAATGGCATCCTTCATCAAGGCGGCGAGGGCGCCACCGGCACCAATGTCGTCGCAAGTCACGGGGTCGCCATTTCTAGAAGTAGCAACCACCATACGACCCAGTCGCTCACGCATATCCTCCAAGTCGTTGCTCAGGGCAAGAATGGCCATGCACTCACTAGCGACGGAAATATCGAAGCCAGTCTCGCGAGACAGGCCCTTCTCAGTAGGGGCCACACCGACAGTGATACCACGCAGGTGACGGTCATTGACATCGAGGACGCGGCGCCAAGTGATGGTCTCTGGGTCGATATCTAGACGGGCAAAGCGGGTAATTTCCTCCTCGGTAAGATCGTCTGGGTTGGTCTTCTCGATACCCAGCTTCTTCAGACGTCGGAACATGATGGGCTTGAATTCACGTTTACCCTTGCTGACAGGCACAAGACGCTTGTAAAGAGGTCCGTCTTTCTGAGTGGACTCATGGAACATGCGAGTCTCAATAGCCGCAGCGAGGAGGTTGTTCGCAGCGGTAATGGCGTGAATGTCTCCAGTAAGGTGGAGGTTGAATTCATCCATGGGAATAACCTGACTGTAGCCTCCACCAGCGGCGCCACCCTTGATGCCAAAGGTAGGACCTTGGCTGGGCTGACGGACGTTGGCGAAGGAAATACGGTTCAAGTGGGCACCAAGTGCTTGAGTGAGACCTAGTGTGGTGGTGGACTTGCCCTCACCAAGAGGTGTGGGTGTGATACCGCAGACCAAGATATATCTTCCGTTGCGGCGGTGGGAGAGGCGGTCCAGCACACTGAGGCTGACCTTGGCCTTGGTGTGGCCGTAGGGCTCCAACTCATGAGGAGCAATGCCAATCTCAGTGGCAACCTGGGTGATGGGCTTGGGGTACTGGGCCCGCGAGATAGCAATATCGGAAGGCACAGGGGTCTGTAGGCGAATGGGAAGAGGAGTAACGTGGCGGTCTTTCTGTTTCTCAAAGTAGCCCTTGGCGGAGTGGACCACATTCTTCAACAACATAGCCACTGTCATAGGACCAACACCACCGGGAACGGGAGTGATCTGTGAGGCCACCTGAGAAGCAGACTCAAACTCCACATCGCCGACCAGTCGCTCGCCGGACTTCTTGGTCGCGTCAGGCTTGTAGTTGATACCAACATCAATGACCACAGCGCCAGGCTTCAGCCAGTCACCCTTGACAAGCTCGGCCTGGCCAATGGCCGCCACAACAATGTCGGCGTTCTTCACAACACGGGCAATATCAGGTGTCTTTGAGTGGCAGACAGTAACGGTAGCATCGGCGTTCTTGAGCAGATAGCTGACCGGGCTGCCGACAATGTCGCTACGTCCCAAAACGACTGCCTCCTTGCCGGCGGGGTCTACACCGCTTGCCTTGAGTAGTTCCATCACCGCCAGAGGGGTGCAAGGAGTGAACAGCGGGCGACCACCTCGCTTAGCCAACTCGCCGATATTAATTGCGCCGAACCCATCAACATCCTTCTCGTCTGCAACGGCGGATGTGATGGCATGCTCAGACATGTGACTTGGGAGGGGCAATTGAACGAGGACACCGTGGATCGCGGGGTCATTGTTGGCTCTGGTGATCTCTTGGATGACCTGCAGCTCCGTGCTCGATTCGGGGACGTTGATCAGGGTGCAGATGATGTTGGCCTAGTGAATAAAGTGAGATAATGCCTCGAATATCGCAAACAGCAAGTCTTACCTCTTGGGCGGCCTTCAGCTTCATGCGCACATATGTACCTAAGTAACATTAGTCCAAACGATCTTTTCCATACTATTTCTAGATAAACCAACTAGAGTCGGATCGGTTGCCGACTAAATAGAATCATCATGTTAGTATATAGCACTTCTATAATCACACTCGGGGACGGGCATGCTTACCCTGGAAGATGACCAGGTTCGGCTTGAATCTAGGGTTGGTCACTTGAATCTGTTCAATCTCGGACTTCAACCCCTGGCGGATGCTCTTCGCGATGGCAGTGCCATCAATCTTGGCGGCAGCCATTGCTGAACCGGAAAACTTTCGGAAAGGTGAGATAGCGGGGCTGATAGGGGAAAAATTGATGTTCACTAGAGAGGACTCGATTGACGATGAACGAGATCGTCTAACTCCTTGGACAGAGGAATAGTTATAGGAAAAAGAACGAGATAGGAGAGGAAGATTTCGGAGACGAGTGCCCGCACGCACTTGGAGATAAAAAGTGCAGCGGGGTAGGGCAGCGGGGACGAATGGCATGAATTATTGCTTGTTTGGGGCGAACCCTCGGAGTTGCTACCGGCGTTGCGAAATGATATCAACCAATTTAGGCCTGGATTTCACATGCACCGCTCCGGAGATATACTGAGGTCAAGCCAATCCTTTCAATTTCGAGATATCCCCTCACATTCACCTCAACTCTTCCTTTGTCTGTAATTAAGCTCATGCGGAGAGTCGGGGAGTTTCCCGGCCATCTCCTGGTTTATGCCTGAGGCATAACTTCCTATCTGAGCCGCATGAGTCATCCGGGACGCATTAACCTGTTCGGGACCACCAGTTAGGGCTTAGGGGTCGCCAGATACCAGTCACGTGTAGATATCGGAATGCGGATTATATTGGCCTCCGATTAAGGCTTGGCATTGAGGGACGAGTGTGCGATGAAATTCACTAGTCAAAGAAAGTGAGGTTGACGAGGTTGACCCCCCCCAAAAAAGCCACTCCGCCTTACCCCTTCTGAGCCGAGCGTCTCAGATTTTTCCCCTCCGATACTCCATCTCGAATTTCCTAGTCACCTCACCCTTCAAAATGCGGCCTATTTTGCTTTCCGGCCATGTGCGTTGACTTCCTCGAAATCTTGCATGGATCCACAGAGACTGACCGCAGCCAACTATAACAACAGGAGCGGTCCCTGACCCAGATCAAGTTCAACAGCGATGGCGATCTCCTCTTCTCCGTCTCGAAGGATAAGATTGTGTGCGCATGGTGGTCCGCCAACGGCGAGCGTCTCGGTACCTACAATGGCCACCAGGGTGCTGTCTGGACAGTCGACGTCAGCCCCAACACCATTCTTCTTGCAACCGGATCAGCAGACAACACCGTTCGTCTATGGAACATCAAGACTGGCGAGTGCGTGAAGGTGTGGGAATTCTCGACAGCCGTCAAGCGCGTGGCATTCTCCCCCGATGGAAGCAGACTTTTGGCAGTGACGGAAAAGCGCATGGGTTTCAATGGTACTATCGCGGTTCTCGATATCAACTACGACGAAAACCTCAGCGCGCAGGCCGCAGAGCCTACCTTGACCATCGTTTGCGAGGAGAGCAAGGCCACCGTGGCGGGGTGGAGTTTCCTGTCCAAGTACATCATTGCGGGGCACGAGGACGGCAGTGTCAGCCAGTATGATCCTAAGGTATGATTTTTGGGGGGTGATTTTCAGGTGACTTGAGGAGTGAGGAATGCTAATGCCATCTCTAGTCTGGAGAACAAGTCGAGAACGTGCAAATCCACGAATTCGATAGCCAAATAACCGACATTCAGTTCGCACCCGATCGTCTGTCTTTCATTACCGCGTCGAAAGACAAGTCAGCCAAGGTATGTTCTTTTGCAGATCATTCTATAAAGCAATCCGGGCTAATAACATGCAGCTCCTGTCCTCCCGCAACCTCGCCATTCTCAAAACCTATATCTCCGACACTCCTCTCAACACTGCTAGCGTGACACCCAAGAAGGACTTCGTCATTCTGGGTGGTGGTCAAGCCGCCATGGATGTCACCACCACCTCCGCCCGCCAGGGTAAATTCGAAGCTCGCTTCTACCACAAAGTGAGTACAGATATGCATTCGATCGACTTGATTCGCCACATACTAATAATGTTATTACTCAGGTTTTCGAAGACGAGTGCGGCCGCGTTCGTGGCCACTTCGGTCCCCTTAACACCATTGACGTTCACCCCGCCGGTACCGCATACGCCTCCGGTGGTGAGGACGGATACGTCCGTGTCCACCACTTCGACAAGTCATACTTCGACTTCATGTACGAGGTCGAGCGGGAGCAAGCGCGGAAGTAAAGAGGGGATGTGGTGAAGAAAGTTGGGATGCGTCGTGTGTATGTGTTTACGAGGCGAAAAGACTTGGGGACAGATCCCCCGAGTCCCGCATACGGAATGGGATGACCTTCCGGTCCACGATTTTCTCATTTCATTGATTCCATGATCAATCGGAGTTGGTACCTTGTGTTTGTGTCTTTGTTTAATAAAAAGATGACATGGTTCATTTTTGAGCTCTTATGTCTGTCCTCGTCCTCCGCGAAAGAGATGAAAATCGGGTAAATAGACAAAATCAAAGCTTTGCAAATCTTCAAATCGCGTTCGGACAGCCCAGCTGGTATCGAAAAGAAGATGAGGATAGGAATTAGTATAGTTCTGCATCCTTGTGTAGGAACGAGGTATGCATATTTCCTGTGCCTACTTTGTATTTACGCTAGGCTTTCCTATGTGTGCAATGATGTGCGAGGTATAAAACCACATCGATCTACTCGAATTTACATTTATATGCCAGTTACAAGTAGAAAAACATATTGATAATATCAAAAAGTGAGGTATCTCATTTATACAATTTTTTTTCGTGATATCTTCTCTAAACCCGTTTCCCATGCAAGGCCAGCGCTAATCCGACCAGCAGACAAGAAACCCGTAGAAAAAAACAAAAAAAAAAAGTGACGTCTCATGAAAATGGAAAAGGAACATGACAGTCATAGAGCGCAAAAAAGCAAATGCAGAAAAAACTTTGGAATTTGCCCCAGTCTCATTCCCGAAGGGATAAAGACCACGGACTCAACCCCATCTATTTCTTCTTGGGGAACTTTTCAGAGCCGATGTCTGAACCACGCAGCTTAATGTTCAGCACACGCTCCATGGCTCCGAGAACCTTCTGGTCGGGGGCGGCGGTTCCGCGCTCGAAATCCTGGACAATGGTGATGGTGGTGTTGCACTTGGTGGCGAGTTCCTTCTGGGTCATCTTGTAGCCCTCCTCGGTACGGCGTCTCTTGATAGCATCAGCGACGGCGTGGCCGATGGTCTTGGGCTTGACGATGTCGTCGCTGCGGTCGACCTTGGTCAAGTGTTGGCCTTCGGGGGCACCTGCCTTGGCGCTCTGGGGAGTGCGTTAGTTGATATTCAAGGTAATTCTCGGGGGTTCAAAGGAGATTTCACGTACAATGTTACCGGTGGTGTACTTCTTCTCGGTATAAACGTTACCGGAGCGCTGGGCAGCGTTCAGGGCACTCTTGCCCTTGACAACGGTCTCGCGGGGCTGAGCGCCAGCTCCGCGGAACTTGCTGCCGATCTTAGTGGTGCTTTCCCAGTCAGACATTTTGAAAGAAGGTTGTTTTTCGGGTGTGTGAGTGGTTGAGGTTGGTAGGAATGATAGCAGAGCGTGGAGGGAGATGACGTTGGTCGTGTGAGGATTAAGAGAGAAATGCAATTTATATCGATGACACAGAAGCTTCTCGAGGGAGGGGAGCCCGCGCTAGTCTTCTTTGGGTCTAGCGTATATCTGGCTCAAAAGCGTCTGCCCTTGTTCATATTGTGGCTCAGCTCTCTTTCAGATTTCAAATCATTCGTTATTTCTATCACTTCTACATGACTATTTCGGTGTGTTGCAGGGCTTTGCCTCTTTTCTAGGGGTCCTCAATTGGGTCTTGGAGGTTCGCTATACCCATCGGCAATTCCCCCACCACATCGATTGCCACAGCCACTTGCGTTATACACACTATTTTATACATTCCAGACCCTTACTGCGACAATTGTCGGATTTAACACAGGATTAAATGGTTCTTCGACAATACTATGTCCCCTAATCATCTTTATATAAAACATACAGATATACTCCGCTTCAAACCACCGGCAAGACAATGATGTTATTCGACCCACAACTTGATGTCATAAGGCCTTTTGCGCACATTTCCAGCCCTAATCACAGATATCATAGGGGAAGGGCAACAAAATCTGCTTTGAAAGAACCAATCGCCACTCTCAAACGGCATGCTAGGGGCTCGTTGTACCAAAGTAAGCACAACAGTCATAGTGAGTGTGAGTCTTCAACCAAGGGTCCCCACGATGAGGCTGAGCGCATGATCGGGCACCAGGATAGGCTTAGCCTCTCTGCTCATCGTATGTTGTACATTATTGTTTGCCCTACTTTGTAGAGACAACTTGGGCCTACGGGCTTTTTGACCTTTTGTCAACCCAATTTAAAAACAAAATATAAGGGATGTTAATCTCTTGTCGGTCATATACTTTCCATTCTATATCAGCGATTCCACCTTTGGATGGCATGTTCAGATTATGTATATATATAGAGAGCAATATAAAGTTATGTACATTGAACAGCTCGGTCTGAATTCTATAGCTTATATAAGAAAGAAAATATACGACAGTAGTATCCCCAAGTCGTGCAAGACAAAATAGCTATCCTCCTTGGACAACTCGCTTATAGAACTGCCCGCACCTCTGTGCATATTGCCGTTCAGTGTGCATATTGAACTGTAATTTTATCGCATCGCATATACAATGGGTGTTTTCCCACCAGTTGGTCCCAACTTGCACGATGTTTTAGACGAGAGATGATCGTGTTTAGACCTAGACCTTGGAGAATGACAAAAAGGCAGAGAGGGCTAGGAATTGACGGGTCTGTCTATATTCGCTGCAACTGAGGTCGTAGGACTCGATTAATAAGGGCTTTTCTACCCCAACTCATCCTTTCTGTCTTCCTTTCCTTCGTTGGATGTTGGAATCAAGGAATGAACTTGTGGCGAAATATCTACCTGTTATCTTTTGTTTCGTTTCGATTAGGTGATCTACTGACCTACCAAGGTAGTTTCTTCGTGGCTGTATTATTCAAGCTTATGTCAATTCTGATATGATCCAGATCATCAGGAAAGTTATTGGCTAAGATAGGTATGCATGTAACCCCAAGTCAGGATCGTATCGCAATGAAGAGCTAATTAACATTTGAACACTGGGAACCCTGAAATGTTTGGCCATAAGCTCGCCAATAAGCGATGCTAATTGAGCCCAGTCAATCCATTCAAAGCAAAAATCCAAGCCGCCAACGCCGTATCAATGAGAGTGAATACGAAGCCAAATGCCTAGCAAAATAGCCCGGCCGTATGATTAGAAGATGCTGTTCACGATGTTGGAACCAACGGTAGCACCGGCACCGAAGATTGCTAATATCAAGTTAGAATACCAAATAACGAGTATCGGAAGTATACAAGACGTACCGGCATTGCCCAGTTTCTTTCCGAACTTCTTGCCTCCTTCCTCGAGCTTGCTCTTCTTTGGGTCCTCGGGGTTTTCAGGCTGCCCACTCTGGCTGACTGCAAGAGGCATGTTTCCATAGTTTGTGGGCGGGGGCGAAGCAACACCAGCCTTCTCATTCACAATGTTCACATAGCTTCGAGGGAAGATACCCTCCTGGCCAGTCCGCTCGTTGCGACCACGCCACCCTGTTTATCATTAGCTTCGTATCCATATCAGGGGAGAGGGGAATACCATACAGTCGTCATTCATGTGCTCGGTGACCTGGATGCGATCTTGCGGCTGCAGGGCCAAGTCACCAGCATCAGTAGGTGAGTATGCGTACATGGCCGAGGCGAGACCGAGGACCGGCGGGACTTGGGGATAAGCTGGCGGGGCCTGCGGGGGCTGGCTTGCATATTGATTCTGCGAGTAGGCCTTCTCATTTACTGACGCATTGGCCATTTGTGAGACAGGAGGCGAGTATGAAGGCGTGTAGGGGGCCGGAGGGGGCTGTGCTTGAACTGGAACATGTTGAGCTGGCGCAGGCTGTGCTTGCTGTTGGGCCGGCAATGGTGATGCGTGCGCCGCCCGAGTGGCCTCGGAATCGGTGGGTAGCTGTGATAAAATGGAGGAGAGCTGGCGGGGAGTGATCACCGAGGCATCGGCGAGGAATTCCAGTTCCTGGTTGAGGTTGAATTAGTACCTGGATCGCATTTCAGGAACAGGATGCCGGGAAGCCATACCGTCCGGACCATGCGGAGCGACCGGGTGGTCATGGCAGACGCAAACTCGCTGGGGGCCGCCATTATGAAATGACACGGGTTGTAGAGATCGAAGGCAACAATTGCAGAATGACAAAATAAATGAAAAGCCAAGAGTAGGGAGAGTCGGGAGACACAGGGGGTTGTTACAACGTAGGTCAGGTGTTATTAAGTAGCCTAAATCATTTGGCCAAGATCTCAGAATCTCCGCCTCGACATTGACTTGACATTTACATCAACTGTTAACAATCATCAATTCCCTATCTAACTCAAGTCCTTAAATGGATTGGATTGCTTCTTGTATCCAGTCTCGGTTTTCTTTTGTCGATTTGACGAATTGATCAGAAATATATATAACGTGTCAAGAGTGGAATCGATCTGGACATTAACACTGAGTGCAATATACAACGCCTCTCTATGTTCAACTTGAAACTCGACCTTAAAAAGGCCAATTCCTTGAAATATTCACCATTCTATAAGAACAAGAGTTTCCTTCTGCCTGCAACAATGCCACCACCATCAACCTGCCAAGACAGACCATATGGTTGTCATAGCCGCGAGTTCCGTTGCTCTCAGACATGTTCCACACCCCCGACCCTAGTGCAGGAGAGAACGCATATTCCTGGTCCTAGACTTGTCTATCTTCTTATCCTTGCTAGGGGGCAATGAATCCTGCATCCCACAGCCCAAAAATAAGAAGCGAAAGTACCCAAAAGAAATGATAGCCCGATAACCAACCATTCCACACCACCGACATTACTTCCTCCTCTCCCCGCATAACAGCTATCCTATATATATTAAATTCCCTTAAGCCCCTCATGCATCAAGAATAAGTTACGCGCCGGTCAAAGAAAAGCTCCCATCGAGACCCGCAGTCTGTGGTATAGCGCCATGCGGGCCGGCACTAGTGCAGTGTCAACCGGGGCACTCGCCAGCACAGCCAGCGCTTACACGTCTGCACTAGGTAGCCTAGTGGGTTTCAGATCCCGGCAAGATTAAAGCCATGGTTATTATGTTCTTGATATCATTAGCTGGCGCTCTATTATTGCCACGGGGGAGGCGCCTCGCGAAAATAGGGCTCTGTACTTTGCTCTGAATCGAGTGGGGATCGGCAAAAGATATCCATCCATAGCGCATGGATAATGGAGGGGTGTTCTCTTAAGAGAGCGCGGTTTGGGCGTCTGTTTGAAGATTTTCTGTTAATTCTGTGAGTTTTATCATATGAACTATGTTGTATTATGAATTGATGTGTTATGATTTACGATGTTTTCCATGATGCTTTCTATACTGTTTTTTATATCTTTGTTTCCTCTCGTTAAGGCTGATGATTGGGATGATTTCACGAATAATCTTGCTACTGACTTGGTATGTTTTTATTGATAATGTCTGAACCAGACAGGCCCCGAGCGGATGTGCTGATATTTCGATCAAAGGCTCCTTTAATTACCTTGTTCGGTGAACGACTCACGAAACAATTTCTTTCCGAATCCATCAGAACTCTCGATAATGTCATTTTCGCCCTTTCACCGCTAGGAGTCTTAACTTCCGTTGTGTCGGTAATCAGGGTATGCGGAAGTTCTTCACTCAGGGCATTCGTCGGACGGGCACAAGAAGGTCCCGCTGAAGCCGAAAGCGAGCTCCTTCCTTGCGTCTCAGAATCCACTGCAGAGCTCTTTAACGATGGCGGTATTACACGAGTCTTTGGCCGGCCCAAGATCGTGGAGATAGTTGCTTGGGAGGATGTGAACCCTCAGACTGGAGAAAAGGGGACAAAGATTGGCACATTGAAAGATGCCCTTGAAGAAAAGGCTTGGTCTTGCAATGCCAAAGTTTCACCTAGTGAACTTCCAGAGCTGAACATTCCTAATCTGTCATTGAACAAGGGGATCAAGAGGAGAGATCCAATTTGGTTTCATTGTGCTGCAATACTTGGTGGTATACTGCAGAGTGGTGAGTACTGCTCCTTCTTTAAATTAAGCACGGAATAATATTGATGATCCAACCAAGGCACTATTATGTACGCTGTACTTACGGTGTTTGTGTATCCCCAGCATTTTCAGAAAGACGACAAAGCTGTCGCCTCATACGCATTCCCACTCTATCTCATCGGGACAACTCTTCTGTTTCTCGGAATGTTCTTCTGCGCATTCATTATGAAGCGGTCTTCAAAGGAGTTCTACCTCAAAGCGGAAAAGTCAAGCAAGATATACTGGCTGCAGCCTGGTAACCAAGATGTGGGCGACCAGGTCTTCAATGCTTTCTTGGCTGTGGATGAAGGGTCCAATTCTACAATGACCAAGGACCTTCGTTATATTAAATCGATCAGGGATCGAAGATTTGAGAGGAAGTATTTGGAAATTTACTCTACCCTCGCATCGACAATTTTGGGATTCATCTTCCAATTCATCGGACTCAGAGGCCTCCATGCATCTGTCACCCTAGCCCAGCTGGGATCGACATTTCTAATGTCTATTATACGAACTTGTCTGCGCACAGAAAGAATGACGCCTGACGAAAATAAGATCAAAGATGACCGGGAGCTCACGTCTCACAAACAGCAAGAGATGGATTGTTTTGCATTTTATCTCGAGAAAGTAGAGTCTTTTGAACTCGCCTCGATCCCTGATCAGCCAGCAAACATGCCTTCGCCGATATTAACGCCCGATCTCGAACCTCCTCTGGCCAAACAATTAATTAGAACTAGGACCAAGTTGGCGGATCTCACGACTAGCTCAAGACAGAGTCTGGGCGCAGATTGGGACGGAATGCCTATTCGCCAAGTGGCCTGCAACCTCGCAGAGACAATCGAGTCAACAATGGATTTGATGTCTAGTTGGGGAGTTAACCTCGGAAAGACATTTGAGTTCCGACTGGGTTTTAAGTGCAAGGGAGCCTCTCCAGGCTCTGTCACTCAAGCCCCGGGAACGTATTCAATTGGTCTCATGCGATGCGGTGATGCTCTACGGTGGAAACTGGATGCCAGCGAAATGGAAGCGATTCTAGGCTTGTGGACTTGGTCACTCTATAAGTCGAATAAAAACTGGCGGAACTCAACCCTTTGCCGCCTCATTGGATTGAATGAAGACGAGGCAAGTAGAGAAGAAACATTTCTCTACTTTCACAAATGGATCTTCAGACAAACGGAAGCGAGATTAGTGCAATCTGCAGGGTATGATAATTCATCACGCCTATTCGGTTTCGAGCCCAAGGACGTTTCCTACGATGGGAAAGTCTTGGCTGTCAGGACAGAAAATGAGCTCGAGACCATGATAGCCCAGGATATCTACATTCAATTCCTCAAGGAAGTGTTCATCAACTTGCATGAGTTAGGTGGGGATGTTGATCTTATTCCTGGATTGCAAAGTTCATTTTTAGCATCCAGCACTCGGATTGATGATCTCATACGTTGCTTTGAGAATAACAAATTGGGATCAAGAGAGGATGCATTGCTATGCATAGTTCCTGTTCTCAGGCGTAGAAATCTGTTACCAGATCTCGCGGCAGACTCGGTCAAGATCAGGGCGCGCAGGGAGCAGCTCATTGGGCAAGGTGATTGGAAAGGCGCATTTTCACTTCTCCGATGGATTTGCCAGCGGTCAGAGAGTTCCCAGTTCGAGCGGTCAGTCTACGAACTGGGGTTCCTGTGCCGCCGGGCACTTTTCAGCACACACAAGCATGTCCGCAAAGAAGGGCTCGAACAGATATGCGCGCTTCTAACATCCGACATCAGAGATGAATTTATTAAGTCACACACACATTTGTCACCCTTGCACAGGTCCGTACCACAGGATCGTGTAGAATGGTGGAATTCATTCTCGCGCCAGCTTGGATGGATTGCGTGGAACGTTTCAACCAATGTTCCAGGCATGGCATTTTGCCAACCTACTTTGAGATCGCTCAATGTGGCTGAGGATCTGCCTGGATCCCACGATCAGAACCAAGACCCAGATGCAGTCCAAAAGGGCGTTCGCGCTGTTAAGGATTGGCTCACGTTGCAAAAGATCGATAACATTAAGCGCGAAGAATATTCCGAGGACGAAGTTCTCGGTTTTGAATGGATGATTAGGAACAACTTCCATGTTTTGTTATATTTCCTTTTGTTGCGATGGGTGGAGATTAGTGAAGAGCTTCCCGCCCTTGTTCGGATCGGATACAGTCTTGCAGCAAGGACAAAATCAGAACGAGCACTTGACATACTTCGCCGACAGGGTGCGGATATTGAGACAATAGGTCCGGACAACCGTTCAGCGTTAAACGATCAGGTCTGTACCCAAGACCTAGAGGGAAGCCGACTGCTACTGCAAATGGGAGCCGATCCAAATGGCAACATACAACAGATGAAGATCAGTTCACTTGCAATCGCTGCCTATGAAGGCTTTGACGACATTGCTACATTACTTCTACAATTTGGAGCATACATGGAGATTCCAGACCATGTTGGTCTCCGTGCCCTACATTGGGCAACCAAAAATAATCATTTTGATACCGTCCGGCTGCTGCTATCCCATGGAGCAGAAATTGACCCGCTGGGGCCAGACGATTTAACACCGCTCCACTCAGCCGCAATGAACAACCAGATACAGATGGCTGAAGTGCTCATTAAAGGGGGAGCCGATGTCAATGCTATAGGCCAAAACGGCCAAACCGCAATGATGCTATCTATTCACGAAAGGAACCCAATCCCGATGTGGCGGTTGCTTGTGGATAACGGAGCCAGCCTTGATTTGGTTGATTATAGTGGATCAACGGTTTTGGATCAGGCCAGGCAATTCCATTATACCGAGGCAATAACGTTTTTATGCCAGGTGTTAGAAGATCGAGGTATGAAGAGCGATGAGATGCAACATTGCCTCAGTCACTAGTTACCTTAAATCCAGAGGTACTCGGAAAATGCGAGAACTCGTATGCAAAAGCAAAGAATCCACGCTACTTTGACGCGACGTTATTCATATTGCCTTCTGATAGTCTGAGAATTGAAATTCTAGGAATTGCGGACATCTTGATGCTTCATACTTGGTATCGAGTCTGCTGATGCAAAGTGTTAATCTGCCCCTCATATTTGCCCAGGCCTGGGCAAGGTTTCTTTCGATCTTGGTAGCTCTGTGGCATAAATTGTATGATATTCCGACGAATGAGCTACGTACATCGATGTAGGCTCGGCAAAGATGGCACATAGGACACACCAATCAAGTTGTGCACATGCAACCTCTCTTAGCGCCCGGTGGAGAAGATCAATATGCAATACTCCGTACTATACAGTAGTTCTGTGTGACTTGTGATTGATTGACCGTGTGCTGCAAGTCTCGTCACACGCCTAATCTTTTGCTATAAAAAAATTCCGTTCTAAGAATAGTGTGCTCATGAGGGGAAGCTACCTCTCTCCCCCTTAAAAGAGATGACCCCGCGAAACCCACTTTGAAATCCATTTCACGCGTTCTTACAAGCACCAGGTCATTCGAATAGCCATTACTCTATTTACTCGAAATAATACGGGAAAAGCTACAAGTTGTTGACTTGACAATATTTTCCCTACCAGTGAGTTTGATCTTTAATGCTTTCAATCTGTCCGTGAACCCTCGGATTCTGACCCCAAAAGTACTTCTATAGGAAAAAAAAAAAAAAACCATCTCAATCGGACACTAAGATTGTACGGAGTACCTAAATCCGCAAAGCAAAATGTCCCAGCACAGTTATCCTCCACCACCCATGTCAGGTCAGTACTATTCAATCCAAAGAAATCTGCATACTGACCCATTGTCTAGCTCCGGCCCATGTAACCAGTAATTAATCCCAATGGTGTCTTTATTGTCATAGTACTAAATATCATAGCATTTACACATCCCCAGATCTCAACAGTTGCAGCTCCTAACCCCCAATATCCACCTCCCCCAAGACAACCGCATCCAAATGGAGCATATACCTCAGCCACTCCGCCGGCAGAGAGCCCACAGCCCCATCGACACACCCCTTCAAATGGGGGATATGCAGCTCCCCCGCAGTCAATGAGCCCGCCTCAGGATCCAATTTCCCAGCACAATCAAGCTGCGTTCGATTACAATGGCACGATTGGAATACAAAAGATGCCCGGAGGTGCTCCGGCGTATGGGGAATTCAGTGGAGCAAAGGAAACCCTCCAAGATGATACTGGGGTGTTCAACGGCGGAAGTTTCAGGATCAGCCACCGAGATACCAACTCCGTTTTGACAGTGCAACTGGCAATGGGTTGTCCTTTGACTGTCAGACCTGGTAAGTCATTCCTCCAACAATCCTGGTGCACAAATGTGCTCTGGTTGATAGCTTTGTTCGAAAGATGTATTGGCGAGGAACTAATATCCCTTTGATTCTTAGGCGCGATGATTGCAATGTCTCCAACGATTACACTGAGAGGAAACATCTCGTTTTCATGGAAGAAACTGATCATTGGGGGCAGCATGACTATGTCCCACTACACCGGTCCCGGGGAGCTCCTGCTGGCACCTTCAATGCTGGGAGATATCATGGTCATTCGGATAGAGGACCCAGAAGAATGGAAAATCGGACGTGACGCTTTCCTTGGACACACTGCTGGTGTCGAGCATAAGTACCAGTCTCAAAGTTTGTCCAAGGGTGTTTTCTCCGGCGAGGGATTTTTCATCTACAAGATAACAGGTACTGGCATACTTTGGATCCAGAGCTTTGGTGCAATCATTCGGAAAGATGTAAGTCTATCTTACCTGATGATTTGGAAGTCTGAAAAAGAGGGATCCATCTAACACACCTTCTCTGCAAAGCTTCGCGAAGACGAGACATACTTCATCGACAATGGCCACCTTGTGGCGTGGAATTGCAAGTACAAGATGGAGCGTGTGGCCTCTGGCGGTATCATCTCCGGCATTAGTTCTGGGGAGGGCCTTGCCTGCAGATTTAAGGGACCGGGAACCGTCTATCTACAGACGAGAAACCTGAATGCCTTTGCTGCCCAGATGAAGATAAGCACCGCAAGTGGTTAATGCTGGTGTGCTTATTCGATCAGCACAAAGCACATCCAGCGAATTCTGTTTGCGAGATGTATACGCCTGACCTTAACTTGTGATCATATGTTTTTGTTGTATACTCATTCGATGCATCGGGCACAGACCCAATCGTGAGCAGGTCTCCGTTCTATACCAATTTGCTATGTTACAGGCGGATGCTCTGATGATCTCAGTATATTTTGTGTGAACTATTCTATTTTTGTCGCAAGGTTACTATCAAAATGTCAATTGAGTCTGACATTCTACTTATAAGACTGTTGCCGTGACTTTATGTGAAGTTCTATAAAAAAAGCACTCTATGCCCATTGAAGATCTTTGATGTCTGCTCAATCAGGTTGAGGGATAGAGCTCACACCCACCTAAGCCTGAGACTTCTACAAGTACTTGGATAATGGGCAACCCATTATCTGTCGATGAGTAGATTAGACTCGTAAACGACAATTTCCCGCGGGGTTTAAACAAAAGTGAAATAAACGTTGAAGAGTGGGCGGCTCTACCACCACCCTGAACGTTCACCTAGAATGCAAGATCACACAGGCCCAAAGGGCAGGATATAGTGATATCAGTCCATTTCATGCGAAAGTACTTTTTATTCTTCAAATCGTTTCCTCATCTCAAGCCCGTCAGGGTAAAAATCAAAGCAACAGTGCGATATTTCCACCCGGCAAAAGCTCTAGTAAGTGACACGCCATAAGGAAGAGATAAAAACAAGCCCTTCCTTCGCAAATTGCCAGCACAGCTCCCTCCACTTAGCCCACACGCTTTCTGCGGCCGATCTGGGAACGGAAACCGGTCTTGATGGCGGCGACGGAACGACGAGATCCGCAGGAGTTGCAAGTAACGAAATACAGACGGTTCTCTCCCTTGTTGAGCTCGGTGTCGGGGCTGCGGCACGTCTTGCATGTGACGTACTCAACAATATAGCGACGCAGAACGGATTCGATACCCTTCTGTTGGAATCTTCCCTTGATGACCAGACGACGGCTACCGTCGACACTGCCTGATGTACCGAGTTCGGCGAACAGGAATTGGGTGCAGTGCTCCTCGCTAATTAGGAACAAAAACAGTTAGAAAGGAGATCTCAAGGAATACATGGGGGAAAGAGTATAACGAACCTTCGCTTCATGCGCTTGCAGATATCGGCGATGTTGGCGAAAATGGTACGACGGTTACCTTCACGCAGGCACTGGGGCGGGGGGATCTTGTAGGACTTGGCGCCGCTGGACAGAAGGTCGGGGTGGTGGCTCTCGATGAGGGAGAAGAAGCGGGAGACGAGGAGCGAGTAGGGGATGGCTTGTGTGGCGTCGTGTGCCCAGATACCGGTGCCGGCCTCGAGATCACCCTCGGGCAGCTCCTCGGGCTGATCCTCGCCAGCCTCCTCAGCAATACCAGCCTCAGCGAGCTTGGCGTCGAAGTCGTTGGGGTCGGCCTTCTTAGACTTGCTGCTGCTCTTCTTTTTCTTCTTCAGGGCGGAGGGATCGAATTCGCCATCGGCGGCGGCGGGGGCCTCCTCGTCATCACCAGCATCGGCGGTCTTGGACTTCTTGGAGGACTTCTTCTTTTTTGAGAGACCCTTGAACATCTCGGTGACCTCGTCGACATCCTTCTCTGTATATTCAAGAGATTCGTTAGTGGGGCTGAGGCAAAATCGACCGGGGGGAACTGGGCCTGGGATCGGAGAGCTATTGCATACCGCCTGTGGGCTTCTCAGCCGGAGGGGCGTCTGTGACTTGGCCGTTGGTATCCATGATGACTGATCCTTCGCTGAATGCGACCGACTTGCGCTGTTTAGTTTCGATTTCCTGAGCGGAGCGGCAAAAAACGGTGTTAGTTCTGAGAAAAAAGAGAAAAAGCAGAAGATATCGTATAGCCTGGCTTTTCAATAAAAAGTACCAGTCCTTAACCCGGGCTCAACAATGTGTGTTCTTGGATCACTGAGGTTGGCGGCCGAGGGGTCGATATTGTGCAGACTCAAAGAAAATGTGGGAGGGTCGGTAAAAAGACAAGGGTGTGTGACGTACAGCGTCCGCCATGTTTCGAGGCTTCAAAGATGCTATTCGCTCCACCACAATTTGTTGGAGAGGAGTTCAGGTTGTTGTGAATGCAAAGAGCTAGAGCAAGAGTTGTCAAATGTCAAAATTATCGCTGGAATCTGATATCGCCAGGCCTGAAGGCGATTCTGTTATCGCGGTACGGGCACGTGATGCTCAACTGAGTCACCAGATTACACAGTCACGTGATTGTGATTACGGAGCTTAGCCGTGCCGGTCGATCAAGGCAAACACCAGGTTCTGGTTGCTCTCACATTGACGTATAACCGCAGTAGGCAGGCCGCTGCTTGATCAACATCGCTTCCATTCATCTCCTCACCCTCACGTCTATTTACAGCAATCTCCACTATGTCTTTCCCCTCTCCAGACAGCTCGAATCCGTCATTCTCGATGTCCGCGTACATGGTCCCCTCCCGACAGAACTCATACTCCGAGTCCGACGATGAGCTCGCTTCCCTCCCTTCAGAATCTACAAACGAGTCCGACTTGGATACCTTGTCTGAATATTCCTCTGATGCCGAGGCAGAATGGCAAGAAAGTATTGAACAACTGGAGCTGCTTCTGAGTATGGTCCTGGTACCCTTCATTGGGAAATACCTGGGGCGACGATGCGCATATTGGAGTATGTGACACCAACAAGCTTCACGATCTTCGTATACAAAAGATCAGCTTACTAATTTATTGTTCTTTTAGGTTGGACTCGATTCATGCAGTGGCAATACCCCGTTGAAATTGTGATGCAGAACCCGGGCGCATTCAAGGCAGCGGGTGTGATCGAGGCGGCTGCGACTCTATGATAGATTATAGTCCCAATCGCCTTGTAAGCACTTGCTGCATCTCATTTTTACCAAGCGTGCCATCGTCAACCGTACCACCCATCTCTCAGCGTTATCCCTATACAAGACCGACCCGACTTATTTTCGTGGACTCGGCAACATATCCACGACCCAAAAGCTACAAGATTGCCTCATCGAATTCAAATTCCAAATAATTCTTGCGCTGGTTGTATCTGGCGTTGCACAGGGACCCGGAATCGAATCCAGTGTTGTTTTCCCTGGCCTTCGATCTCCCATGGTTCACAGTTGTTCTTCGTCCAACGGCGGCATATATGGATAGGTCAGCTCCATAGCTTGAATAGAGACAGGCATTTGGATTTGAGCCATCCGATGATGTGTTTAATCCCCCTGTCCCAAGACTGTTATATACCCAATGAATTCAACTCTCATCAAGATCGATAAACCAGCGCAACAGTGTGCCACCTAAACCATTACTGACTTGCATGCTCCATTTCGTAGCTGAAATATTAGGGGCCTTGATTTAGATATAATGTGTCAAGTCAATCCCAGACTGAATTGACCTAACATTTGTTACTGGCCCTGGCCTGATCATACGACTTCGAAGGAGAGAGAGAGGTTGCCCTCATGCACGCCATCTTGAATTTCAAGATATTTCGAACCTTTATTGACAGCTGAGGTTCAAGCTAGCTAGGTACGTGCATGGAGCTGGCGATACTTGTTTTGATATTATTGATGATTGATGCAAATGTGATCCAGCTTTCTATTGACGCTTTTGACTGCCCAATTTAATGCCCACATTGCCGATGAAAATCAATAGAGTTTGTTCTGTCTCCAGAAATCAGATAACCCTGGAGGCTGACTCTGTCTCGTATCGATTTCAGTTGACGCGCGCGGTTGTGACCGGCCGTATCCAGTAGTCAGCCATGGCAAGTCATTGTTCTGACCAACACAAGGATCGCCCGAATAACTCGTGGGTAGTTCGTGTTGTGAAGAAGGCTCAGGCGGTCTTTCATCATACCGGTCTTGTATGATGTCTCGAGAGACCATTGCCAAATACTCTGGGTCGCCCGCCTCTACCTGTCGGGTAGGAATGTCGGACTCTGGACTATCCGGAAGCTCATTACTATTTAGTTCGGGGGATTCAAGTAACTGCTGTAAGTCTGATGCAACTTCCGCCGCAACTTCAGGGCGCACAATGACACGGTAAGCAGCATCCAGTGTGCGATAGAACACATCATCATCGAGTCGACCCAGCTCATAGAACTCGGTGTCAGACATAGGGGGCTGTTTGACCTCTGGTACGAATGCAGGAAAAAGGACTGCATCCTGTGCCGATTCCTGGGGGAAAGGCTCACACTGATCTTCGTTCAATATGTCTATGAATCGATTTGGGCTGTTTGATGTCCTGGCAGACTCCAAATTTACACAACCGGGTTCATCTGAAGCTTGAAGTGGTCGGCTTGACTGTTGTTCGAGGACCGAAGGTTGGTCGGGTGGATCGTCGTCCACACTGCGAGCAGTTTCACAAGCGATGTTCGAACCCGGTGTTTGCTTCGACATTTCATTTTGCGCACTACCGACATTGACAATATCCAAATGGTCTGGTGCAACGATCTCGGAAATCTCCTGTGGAGCGGCTTCGGCTGCAGCTGGCTGCCTCAAGTTGGCTTCGGGCGAAGCCCGCCTTTTGTTGCCGGCTTCATTTGACCATGCTGCCTTTCTCTCCTTCAAAATTTCCCATAATTCAGCGAGACTCCAATACCGTCTGGCCAAAACGGTGTTTGTGATCTCAGAGAATAGCGCTTGGGGATATACTCCGACATGCAGCAGGCTCAGCAGGTGTTGTTCGAGGGCATCGCTTTGTTCAGTGGTGTCGACTTTGGTTCCTGTCCAAGTGTATGGAATAGACGATGATTCCTTTGTTATCTTCCTTCGTTTACTGTGAGACACGGGTGAAGCACTACGGGAGTGGTTGGAAACCGCGGAAATCTCGCTGGCGGGCGTCTTATTAAACGTGAACAACGGCGCGAGTGAGGCGCCAAGTTGGCGTTTCACACCAAGCAACTTGTTGTTTGAGCGAGACGTGTCGAGTTTGGTGTTATTTCCAGTATCATCGACCTGTAGCGCTTGTGGATGGTACCCTTCGTACTGTCCATCCAGAGTGTCCCTGGCGGTCGATGTGGGATATGAGCTGAGATTATTCCTCCGGGACAGGAAGTTCATCTCAGAAAAGGCAAGATCAGATTCTGGGGCAAAATTATGTGAGTTGATGGTCGCTTCAGGTTTTGCAAGAGCTGGCAAGGTATTTCCGTGGTGATTCATGATAGAAGAGGATCGTCCCTTGCTGAAGATACCCAGGTTCGGGTTGCTGCGCAGCTATTTGGAGTAAGTAACATGCAGCGAGACCGAGCAGAAGCCTACTTACTGTCAATCTGTTTCCTGTGATATTGATGGCATGGAAGTCATCATTTATGGTATGCCTCCTGCCCCGGGGTTTCTTGGTTCTTCCTTTGCGAGACTGTGACTGGCTCTCCACAGCCGATAATGGGCCTTTGTAGTCATAACGATCCTCACGAGTCTTGTGTCTGGGTCTTAACTCGTAACTCTGTTGAGATCTCTTGTGGCTCCCATTCCCTGGTATGGTCTCGTGAGTAGACGGTGCTTTGGTTTCCTCAAGGCGACTCGAAGCTCTTTTCCTGCTAGCCGAATGTCCGTTCCCAGGCATACCGTCGGATATCTCAAGTGGGATGCGGATTCGTGGTATGCTCGTTGCAAGAGCTGTATCCTTCACCTCTGTCTGGTTCTCAGCTAAAATTCTGTTAGCGCGAAGCTCCATGTTTCTTGCGACAACAACATGCCTTCATCTTGGTGGTGACTTTGTTCCTGATCCTCCACAGTGGAAAGCCACTGATAAATTGGATTATTGCTCTGCATCAAGAAAGTTCCTAGAACTCTGCGACTGGGTTGTATCTGCAGAAATGTAAATGTAGACTTAGGAGGGCGCCTTTGTTGTTGACAGAGTGAGGTGATATATAAAAGCACACAAATCCAGCGACCGCTTAGGAAAGTGCGACCATCTCAACTTCCTTCGGCTGTCTCTTCATTGTTTCTTCATTTTTTCCCATAAATTCCTAATGTTTGCTCTTTTGGTGCGCTCTGTCTCTATCTCTCTCTTGGCCCTTACATGAGAATAATTCCTTAAGTCGATTCACCTGTCATTTGCTTCTACTCAAAGGTTTTGCTATTCCCTCAAGGCTCCATCTACTGGAGATGCCAACATTGTATAGACGCAAGCTTTACTCCGTACGCGGACCCCCCATTTCCGGGATGTCTCCCGGCATATGGAGCACACGGCCCACGGACCAAGCCGCATGTGGACCTACAGCGCACTGCCCCTCTACTCGAATACACGCACGAGCAAAACCAGGTTTGCGACGATGGCCAGACCCGACGGGCTAGACCCATGGCGGTAATTGAATGTAGATCCCAGCCTGTATTGCTGGATCATTCTCAACTGTTCCAAGATTAGCAGTCACTTCCCGACCGAATGAGGAGAAAAATCCACAATGCATAAACACGCATACAACCAATCATGCATAGACCTGCGAGGTACGGGGTCTACTAAATTCCACAATCCACGCATGGAGACTCCACCCAAGATAGTGTTGCTTCCACGAATGGATTTATATCCGGGCTCTTGTGGACAAGAAGTACGGGTTTAGTCTGTACCCCATATATGGATTCGCAACAGAATCCTTGGAATCCAGGTGCTAATCCAGCCCTATGAAACCCAACACCGAAACATGTTACATTTTCAATCAAGTGAGGGGCAAACAAAGGTACATCAGCCGTTGCCCTTAGTGCCGCCAATCCAAACGGAGCCTCGGATACCATTTGATTGATCACTGACAAGCCCGACCCGCAATTCAATCAGCTCAAGGTTTAGGCCCGTGGGACTGGCTATGGCGTGTTTATCTCTGCAGCATCCCCCTCCCCCACTTCGGAGTACTCTTGAGGTTAAGCCCGGACTTGCCTCGCTCTGGTCAAGCTCCTAGACAAAGACACAGTAAGCAGTAATGAATTATTCTCGTTGTGGACTTGCCGTTAGCGTCCGACCAGTGGAAAATCCCCGGCAATGTGGAAGCCCTAACGCAGTGTGATTGTTACACGGGACTGGATGCTGACTCGCCTCTTAACCACTAGGATCTCCCTGTCATCTTCCAGCCCGGACGGATTCCGATTTTTATCCTTCCTTTCTTTTCGATCACCTCCTTTTTTTCCCTCATCTTCTCATCCTCGGATCAAGTCAGCTCGAGCGTTGTCTTTCTTCCAGCTTCCTTTGTTAGGTCTTTATCACGATGTCTAAGCTCTTTGTTCAGTATGTATTTTCTATAAGAGCATACTTGTGCTAGTAGCAGCCAATCTAACCGGTGCTGCGATGGAATTTAGCGGCCTTTCTTGGCATACTAGCGATGACACCTTGCGCGAGGGTTTCCAGCAATTCGGCGAGATCCAAGAAGCCGTCAGTCATGAACCAACGTACATTTCATATTAATCGAGCTTCTCCTGACTCTACTGGCTACAGATTGTTGTGAAGGACCGTGCGACTTTGCGTAGTCGCGGCTTCGGCTTTGTCCGCTTTGCTACTGACGCCGAGGCGGATGCTGCTTTGGAGGCCATGAACAATCAAGAGTAACCTACCAACCTCACATTAATCTTGAGTCTAAGAGAAATCTCACATGTTGTTCAGATTTGACGGACGGGTCATTCGCGTTGACAAGGCGTTCGACCGCCCCCAACGCTCCGAAGGTAGTTTCCAGGGCCGTGGTGGATACAACTCCCAGCCCCAGTCCAGTTACCCAAGTGCAGGTGCAGGTGGTGCGGGTGGCTACGCTGGCTACAACAATGGCGGGTACAACAATGGCGGCGGTGGATACGGCGGGGGCTACAACCGTGGTGGTTACAACTATGCCCCTAGCGGTCCCGCTGGTTACGGAGCAGGTGGTCCCGGCGGTTATGGTTAGTTTTATTTATTTGGACATCTCTTGTTGTTTTTGCTAATTAATTATATAGGTGGTGGCCCAAACACCGGATATGGCGGTGGCGGAGGTGAGCTATTCTGTTATCTCGATGGCGACATTAACTAACGTCCAAAAGGCTGGCGCGGGAACAACCACGAGCAGGCTCCTCAAGACGGTCACCATTAGATGATGTCTTTCCATTTCCTCTCTATGTGCCTTTCTTCTTAGGAAATTCTTTCTAAAAGAAGTGACGATCTACGACGACCGGAATATGGTGGAAAATGAATTGGGAATAGCGGGGTGCTACCCCCAGTCTTGAATTTTGTAACGGGGGATTGCTATTTTTCTTTATGCTCGACTTGTTAGGAAGGGAATATGGGTTTTCTGGCTCGAGCTTTGACTTTATTGGTTGCAGATTTGAGCTTCTATACGATTGCGTTTCGACCTATCTCGCCTAACAAACTTTTGAGGTCATGTTTCTCTTTAGCAGACAGACCCATGTGGTTTCAGATCTGCAATGCCTGTTTGCGTTTCACGGCATGTCCTTCCTATAACAGGGCACACAGCAGAAGTCCAGTGATTTGATGGATATTTAAGCATAATTTGAGTCTATCCAAGCAAGGGCAACGGGTGACGAACCGAACTATGTACCACAACCACGAGGGTTTTTTTTTTCAGGGGGAAAAATCAGGCATCGCCTGCCACTTCTACCTATGTTCTATTATTTTGGGCGACAATTATACTCATGCGAGACAAAATTCCCGTTGGGCATCCTTACTTCATAGCCCAGGCTGGTATTGGGAATAGTCCGAAATATGTACCTAATGTACTTTATAATAACCTTAGAAGATCGGACAAAACCAGAGTTGCTCTATAGCCCATACGCTCCATAGTGTGGAAACAGTGCATTTGCTACTGCCAAAAGCATACATAAGAAGAACCTCCGCCATCTGTTCAATCGCCTGTTTCACGATCTATACATTCTACTAGGCAGATATGTAACCTATACTATGTGCTAGCATAAAACATCAAAGTCATCAAGATAGCCTCAGCCCATACATCTCATTCAATAGTCGTACGACCATTCTCACGATCAGGCTCTTCAGCCGAACCCTCCAAAGACCTAGTAACCTTCAATTCTGCCTCCTCTTCTTCAGCCTCTGCAACTCCCTCAGTCTCAATAGCCTTAACCCTCTTAACCAGATCAGTGACATGAACATCCGCAGTCCCAAGCCCAAGCCCCTCAAGAGCCTTCTCCAACAAGAACAAATACTCAGAACCCTTCCCACTCAATCCATGCCCAGCACTAATAACCTGCGCCACATTCTGCGGTTCGCGGTCAGCTGGGTCACGCAGGAACTGCGGGTTAGTCGGCTGGCCGACGTAGAGCATGCAGGTGATTGGAGAGGAGCCAGATGAGCCGTTGGCTCCTTCGATATCCACTGTTGGGTGAAAGGGCGTGTAGTGCGCGCTGTACCCGTCGATTTCCCGCTCGTCGAGGTAGTCGTGGACTTCTTCGGCGTGGGAGGCTGGGATGTGGTATGCTGCGCCCCAGACTTTGCCTGTGGTAGATGCTTCTGATTCTAGGTGGGCGAGCTAGGGAGATGTGTTAATATAGCTTTGTGAATCAGGGCGGAGAGGGGACATACCGGGTCGTCTAAGGTCTCCCAGAAGGTTCGCTCGATTACGGTGACTACTCGGCCCGGTTTTTCGGGGGTGCCGCGGTGATCGGTACTTTGGGGGCATGTTAGTATTTTGCGGTTCTTATCGGGTTTGAATTTGAATGGCAGTGTCTGTATATTGCACACAGTCAACGACATACCTAGCCTATAATTCAAGGAGTTGATGTTAGTATAATTATTTCAAATATGGGCGTATATAAGGCCCTTTCCCCAAGTGAAGAGTTCACGCACCTGCCAGAAACGCCGCACGTAGCCATTAATATAGCCTGGTACGCGCTGGTCTAGACGATATAGTTAGTTGGCTTATTCTTGATCAGAAGCGACCATTATGAGATCTCGTTTTAGTGCTGCCATTGAGCATATTCATATGCCAGTCTCGCGTACCATAATGTGGAGGCGGTTTCCAGATCAAACTCCTATATACATAATCAGTATTCGATATTTGACGCCTCGGCGACACCATTCTAGAACAATGAATTAACCTACCCATAACCAAATACCCATAGATCACCCTTAGGAAAATGATTCTTCCACGTCCGACCGTCCGGATGGACCTGATGTCCTTGTGCAACGGCAGCCATATCAACTATACCAATGCCAAATGCGTTCCAATGAGTCTATTGGCTGCTCTTTCAACCTTCCCGAGATCCGGAGAGGGGATGGATTAATAATTCGCTCCGGCGACAGCTCTTGGGCTAATATTTGCAGGGAGCAGCGAGTCAACCTCAGAGAAGATAATTTAGGACTCAAACTGTTTGATAAATATGGGAGGCTGTTGTAAATTGAATTTGATCACAATTGTATGAACATTCGAAATGTCGAAGTGGCCCAAAATTGTTCATACACATTTTGTTTGCATTGTTTGTTCTTGGGCATCCCGCCATCTGCGCGCTGGATGAGACATCCCAACACTTTCAATGTAGAACAGATAAGCCCTGAGATGATCTATACATAGAGTGAATCAATATATTCACATTCATTCCCGGAACAGAAGATGCCTAATAATGTGGGATCATATTCATGTGAGACGTTGGCTCCTGTCTTGAAAGATGTCTTATTAGACTCCGTTCAACGGGAGGGCCAAGTTCAAGCAAAATATGGTAGAAATGCAGAATACAAATGCGTACTCTTTCGGAACGAGCGATAAACTGTAGGTCCAGGTTGCAACTAAATTGATGGCACTCGACAGCTGCTTGTTGCCGCTCAGATTGTCAACTTTGCTCTTTGATGCATCAGGCATGTGTTCAACTTCCAAACACCCCTGGGAGCCGATGAGTTTGAGCCTGAGACCTCCAAGTCCTCATGTTATTGGTCTAGTATGGGCTCTGGAATCTTTCGATGGCTACATAAGCCAATTGATCCTATCACCGAGACTCCCTAATGTACAAATCCTCTCCACCTTCCCCTCTTCAGCAAAAGGGCTGCGTCAATCAAAATTCCGTCTCTGAGCAAGATGTTTAATCCGAGCTGCAAACATGGGGATCCCTCATCTAAATCGCAACAGACTGAACACAGGATATCTGGGTGGCAGATATAAGTGCGATGACATGTATTGAAGCCGCGGAAATAGTCGAGAGCCTGACGCGATTCCAGCTGACTGGCTTCGATATTACCGACGACCATCCCCCCGTTCCTGACGAATCATCCGCGAGATCAGCCCCATATGTTGATGTCCCATGGATCAGTTGGAATAATATCCACGCCACAGATGATATAGCCGAGAACTCAAACTTGGATGGATCCTTCACGGCGCTAGTTATGGGAAAATATGCGATCCCAGCAGGGGATCTCGTGAACCCGGACTCCAGCGACATGGTCATCAAGGCAATCAATCACCAGGATAGGATTCTCAGAGCACAGGTATTCAGCAATTACTCTCGCAGTGCAGCAGACGGCACGCTGGGACATGCCCCTCTGCCCGGGAACATCACGATGTCGAATCGACTGCGTTTGTCACCAGATGCGGCGTCAACACGCGTTCTTGAAGCACTTCTCGGTTCTATCCTCATTCTGGGCATCGTCGGTTCCATTCTCATGAACACTGATCACATCTTGCCAAAGAACCCGTCTAGTATCGCCACTGTTGCAAGTCTCCTTGCCGACTCAAATATTCTCGCTCGGTACGAGACAGTTATGGGTGATCTGAATGAACTGTCTATTGGTCGGGCTTTCTTTTCCCGGCGTCACTTCTTTCTCGGATTCCGGAGGGATGCGTCTGATCAGGGGATTCTTGGCAAATCTCGGAAGATCAGGTTTGCCAGAAGTACTGTATATACCTTTCGGAAGGAGATAGTGAGACTGTATGGGATAATGCGTCGATGTGGGTGAGGAAGGACTTCCGGACAAAAGAAACTAGTGTTGAAGAGCGGATGGTATGAGCCTTCGTTTGGAAGAAGCTGTGGACAGATCTTGCTTGCTTATCTATGTATGCATCATGAGAATTATCACACTAAAACGGTGACGTTTCCTTATTAATATTGGCATCGACGATCTGCACCATGGCAAAGGTCAACGTACAAGAAGCGGACCATACTCGGCAAACTTCGATATTTGGTAATCCTACTGCTAGGAATACCATTAGATCATTCTGTGTGTTGCGATACAGAACGTCCATACATAGTTTATTTTGTGTGTGTGTACTAGTTACACACACTGCCTTCTTGCATGCCAAGTGCACGGCCAATCGTCACAACCTTATCGTATCCTTATCGCTTATCGCCATCGCTATCGTTTATCGGCCATGGTGTTATCGACTTCTTGTTCTCCCGCAAACAACCATCAGACGCGCCTCGGATGCTTGGTATTTTGCTTATTTGAAATTTTTCTTTGAAGCTTTTGAATCAAGTTTTCATCATGGCAGCCCTCCTTCGTCTTCTTAAGATGCAGTACACCCCTCCCATCGATCCCAAAGGCGTGTCCTTCGCTGGGAAGATCGTCATTTTGACAGGTGCCACTTCGGGTCTTGGCTTCGAAGCTGCTATCAAAATCCTCAATCTCGGCGTCGAGTCTCTCATAATCGGATCTCGCAATATGGAAAAAGGCAACAAGGCCAAAGCCGACCTCGAAAAGGCCACTAACCGACGCAATGTGGTCAAAGTATGGGAACTCGAGATGAACAGCTTCCAAAGCGTCAAAGGTTTCGCTGAACGCGTCAATCGCGAGCTTGACCGTGTCGATATCGCATTGCTTAACGCCGGTCTTTGGAATCGAGAATACAATCAATCCTCCGAGGGCTGGGAAGAGACTCTACAAGTCAACACGCTATCGACCTCGATGTTGGCCTTACTTCTACTTCCCAAGCTAAAGAAAAGCTCCTATCCCGAAAACCCCGCCCACCTTACCGTCGTTTCAAGCCAACAATTCGTTCGCGTCAAGGCTGAAAGCGTCCGGACTGATGACTCGCTACTCGCTCACGTGAACGATCCAGCCAACTTCAAGGGCCCTAAGCAGTACGGCATTTCGAAGCTTCTGCTTGAATTCGTGATTAAGAATATCGCCAACATGGCGCGCGATGACGATGGCACTCATACCCTCATTGTTAATACCGTCAGCCCTGGGCTGTGCATCTCGGCTTTGGGTCGTCAGTACACTCATTGGTGGGAGAAGTGTTTCGTTTGGGTTATGCACAAATTGTTCGCCCGGACTACGGAGCAAGGAAGTCGTTCACTGGTTAGCGCGACTCTCCTCGGAGTTGAATCACAGGGGAAATGCTGGCGCAGTGAGGGATATCTTGAGTAAGATAACGTTTTACCACTTTTCGGTGTTACCATTGCTAATTATTTTATAGCGAATCAACTGCGCTGACGACTGGTCCGGAGGGAGAGGAGCTCCAGGAAAAGGCTTGGGGGAGATCATCGCCGTGCTGGAGGAGGAAGCACCCGAGATGTCCCTCATCTCTCGTGGCCTGTACCAGGGCGTTTAGATGTTAATGACGCTGGCGAGCCAATAAGGCTCACCCAAAAAGTGGTTTGTACACGTGCCTAGCGCATTTTTGCGGAAAATCAAGCGTTCTTGCCTCATTGAGATACCCATGTTAATATAAATGTGTGATTACTAAAAACCATTTGGCTCTTACTTTTGATTTCGACAATATACAACATACATCGCACATCGTCAGAGATAGGTAGTAATGTCTCACAACCCGCTGGATTTTGATCAGCATGATATGCATAGCACTTACAGTCAATGAAAAAAGGAAGTCCTCTCCAATACCTAGGGCTTCTTTATCCTCAGCATCCCGTATTACCCATAGCATGACACCAAGAAGTGTCACTATTATGTTATAGATTACCGGGTCGCATTGAAGTTGTCCTATGCAATTAGCATTTGATCATAATATTCCCAATACCATTAGTCGGCTTGGAGGTGCTAGAGCACTAACCCCTCAAGTCGGATGACGAGAAATTAGGGACCTTCGATGCTAGATGTTCCGTATGAGTATTCGTGTGAAAGCAAGAGTTAAACTGACACACTACGAACACAGTACCATAAGCTAAGATACTCAAATAGTCCAAATACCCTGCCAAAGTTTTCATTCGCAATTCAGATAATTAGTTCCGGTTCAGGTTCAGCACCGTTATCCAGCAGGATCTGCACCACCTTCTCATGGTCTTGTATTAATGCGATATGAAGCGCATTGCCTTGTATACCCCCTTGGTCATTGATATTGGCACCACGATCTAGAAGCATCTGCACAACCTTCTCATGGCCTCCGTGCGCGGCGGCCTGGAGCGCGTTGCCACGCATACCCCCTTGGGCATCGATATCGGCACCTTGATCTAGCAGCATCTGCACAAGATTCTCATAGCCACCAATTGATGCTCCATAGAGCGCAGTATTATCATATTCACCTCCTATGGCATTTACATTGGCACCATGATCTAGCAGCATCTGCACAACCTTCTCATGGCCTTCAAATGATGCAGCATGGAGTGCGGCACCAAAATGACCCCCTTGGGCATTGATATCGGCACCTTGATCTAGCAGCATCTGCACCAGTTCCTCATAGCCACCAGATGATGCAGCCTGGAGCGCGTTGCCATATGTGCCCCCTTGGATATTGATATCGGCACCTTGATCTAGCAGGATCTGCACCACTTTCTCATGGCCACCAGATGATGCAGCTTGGAGTGCGGTGCAACATCGACCCCCTTGGGCATTGATCTCAGCACCTTGATCTAGCAGCATCTGCACCAACTTCTCATGGCCTCCCTGTGCTGCAGCCTGGAGGGCGTTGCGATATAGATCCCCTCCCTGTGAGATGGCTTTGAACATGTCGCAAAATAGATCCCCTCGGGCATTGATATCGGCACCTTGATCTAGCAGGATCTGTACCACCTTCTCATAACCTCCCTGTGCTGCGGCCTGGAGCGCGTTGCCATGTGGATACCCCTCAGCACTGATATCGGCACCTTGATCTAGCAGGATCTGTACCACCTTCTCATGGCCTCCCTGCGCGGCGGCCTGGAGCGCGTTGCTATATGGATACCCCTCAGCATTGATATCGGCACCTTGATCTAGCAGGATCTGTACCACCTTCTCATGGCCTCCCTGCGCGGCGGCCTGGAGCGCGTTGCTATATCTACCCCCTTGAGCATTGGTATCAGCGCCTTGGTCTAGCAGGATCTGCACCACCTTCTCATAGCCTTCGCATGATGCAGCTTGGAGTGCGGTACCAAAATGGCCCCCTTGGATATTGACGTCGGCGCCATGATATAGTAGGGTCTGTACCGCCTTCTCATTCTGTACCTTCCTCTCATTCACCGCGTTATAATCGTATTGATCTAGCATGCCGTCGGTAGTGATTCCGGATGATGCGACCTGGAGCGCGTTTCCCAAGAATCCAGCCTGCTTATTGATGGCGACGTTTAATTTTTTCTCCTCCCCTAAGCTCGCTATGAGTAGACTTAGGATGTGCTCAAACCCCAAAAGGATTGCGTAGTATAAAGGCGACGGGACATCTTCAATAGCAAGGGTAAAGTCGATTCGAGCATACCACCCAAAAGCCACGTTGCGCAGCCGTACCCATGTCAGAAAGGACCCTCTCTCGTCCTTGAATAGCCTTAAAATTAGGCCTTCAACGTCGGACTTCTTTTTCCCGGAATTTCTGTAAAAGAAAAACCAATACGTAGCAGCAAAATGAGCAAAAGGAAAAATTTCCAGCTTTGCTTCATCCAATTCTCCATTCGAGAGCGTTGGATCCAGGAGGTAAACTAAGCAAATTTGAGCCATTTCTGAGTGGGCCTGTTCATTTTGAATCCTGAATTTCGCTGCGCTTTGTTGGGAAATCCTGTCCGATTCAAGATACTCCTGCACAGAGAAGTGCGCTATACGAGCAATCGTAGTCGGTTCTTCATGGATTTCTTCATCCACTGTGATCTCTATCAGACCGAGACAAATGTCTATAGGATCATCTTCGCTGAATGATCGACCCTCACGATCTATGCTTGACTTGCCAAGATCAATGGCCAGGGCGCCGACAAGTTCCTTCACAGTGAGTGGCTGGTTAGACACACAAAGTAAAGTCAATATCAGCCGTGCTTCCTCGATGTATTCCTCGTCGATGCCACACAGCATTCGCTCATATGTCTCATCTAAATCACGGGGCAACGAAGCTAAACATTTATCGAGCTCATTTCGGATCCGGACGCGCCTTAGCGCAAGGAGTTGACATTCGACATATCTGAATCTGTACAATTATTAGTCAAACTCTTGTACCATCTCCCTTTGTTTTCACTCACACTCCATGTGCCTTGTCCATCAGTTTTTCTTGAATCTCATCATGGCGTGATTTCCATCGTTGGAGCTTGGGGTCCATGCTGAGCTGGTAGGAAATGAAGTTTTGAATGTCTGTATCTGTCTCCGGATTTCTCATTGGGATATCCTGGTAAGAGGGAGTTTCCAGAGCATCGCGGATGTCAAGTTCGTTGCGGCTAGTGACTAGGAGGTGGAGAGTGGACAGGTCCCACTGCCGGATTTTCTTTACGGCACCTAAAACGCCCTCTCTTTTATCGTATCGCGGGCTCTCATCTAATGCGTCCAACAAAATGTAGGTATTGCTGAACTTGCAAATGGTCTGTCGAAGGGAGTTAAGTAGAACGTCCACCGGCGGAGTACCCGAGTTATACAATGTGTATAGTTCTTGGAGATCTTTTTCGCCCCCTTCAAGTTGAGCCGACAGCTGCAATAACAATGCACGTAACATGCCGGAAGCATCTTTCTTAGACTCGTCCGTAAAGGAAAAGTAGAAAAATCCGATTCCTATACTAGGCTGATGCTGCCGCTCACGGAATGTACGTTCAATCGCCGTCGAGCATAGAACAGACTTGCCACACCCAGCGAAGCCATTAATCCAGAGAAATGAATTGTGCTCCACCAGCCAGTTTTGAAATTGCTGGCCGTTGACGAGCCATAGTCCTGTAGTGCTATGGCGTTTCTCACATGCGACATTATGATTCAAGGTCGCATCTGGGGCCATAAGCCAATCACGAATCGTAGCAGATATGTGCATCGTATTTGTCCGTTCAACAAGTATCTTGAGCTCGGATATTCCATCTTCAAGCCCAGCCTGGTTTCTAACTTGTAGTATGTTTAATGCAAGAGACAAGTTTTCCCGTATCTCGCCGATGTCCTCTTCAAGTTTTTGTAGAGTACTTTTCCTAAATGGATAAGTCGCCCGGCGTCCAGCAACTTGAATTCGGTCCTTCAGACTTAGAGCGGTATCCTTTTGGAACTTTTGGCACTCGTCGCTCAGTTCCTCAATGATCTCACGGCATCCCACTGCCGCCTTGTCGATCTCTTGGAGTAAGGCATCCGTCTGGGGTTGGCCACTTTGTCGTGCACTATCAAGGGATTGAAGGATACTGAGAAGGTTCTGAAGATTCAGCGTGATCTTAGCGAGATCAGGAGTCTGATTCTTGTATGCGGAGTAAAAATCGACTAGAGTTTGGGTAACTTGGATACCAAATGACAGCAATCCGGCAACTCCAGATGCGATAGAGAGCGGATCGGCCATCAATAAAGATTCTTTCGAACTTCGAACCACTCTGTACTTGACGGTTTGAATGTTGAGTGAACACGGCGGAAAGATGTTGTTGGCGGGGCATTCGCCTAACAGGAGTTGGGCGCAGTTTCAGCCTCCTATTTGGCCCCCAAATTTTGAAGGAGCGCCTCTCTAATACTATTCAAACTTACTATGTAAGCGCTAAATCCGTACTATTAGTGGAATTCGACGTTCTGTACGGAGTACAGAGTATGGAGTATGGAGTACTATACAGTAAGGGGTGGCATTCATGTACTTCTCGTATTCGTATTGGTCATAATAAAGGGCTAGATAGAGCAATAGTATGTACCCCATAGGCGTTAATTCACTGGACAATCATTGACTTGAATTTAGGAAAAGGCTGCTTCGAGGTAGTTACATCTCATTATCTTATTAAATATAAGAAATATATATATAAATCGGATATAAAAATTTTCAACGAATATTCCGCTCTATCTCAAGTTATAAAAGCTGTTCAGCTGTACTCCGACAAGGTTTCTTACTTGGCGCGCTAATAATCGATGCCCCACGGCTCCGCTTTCAGCCTGTCTCTCCTTTTATTCTTCTTTCTTCTTCTTCTTCTATTTCACGATATACCTCTGTTCCACCTCAGAGTCCGTGTCGCATTCTTTCTCTCGATTGCGTCACCTCCAGGACTCCGACCATGGCTTACAACAAATCCTACAACCCCGATGCGCTGCCAGCGTAAGTGCATAATCAAATCTAGCGAGAGTCTACAGTTAACTGATGACTGACCTTGGGAATGCTACAGTCACGCTGAGCCAGAACAGGTACAACATTTGCCACACGCCTCGTCTTCCTTTTGTTAACGGTCAATTAGGTCGCGCAGATGATAGGCAACATGAGTGTATCAGGCCAAAGCCACGCCCCAAGCCACACCCAGAACCTCAACCAAAAACCGCTCCCTACTCGCCCACCACCGCAGACATCTCACAGCAGCGGTGTTCCTCCCCGCGTTCCTGTATCCAGCGCTCCCCCGCAACACGCGTACGCCGCAGCACCCCCACGTCTCGAACCCCACCAACCCCAATCTCACTCCCCCTCTCACTCCTATAGCGGCCGCTCTTCTTCAGCAAACGTGCCTCCGCCGAGCCAACCCCTTAGCCAATCTCACTCTCAGTCTCGTCCTCACCCCCTCCACCCCTCCCCACCACCGCAAAACTACGGTTTCGGGCCCCCGCCAGTGCACCCCCAGCGCAACAGACCCCCACCCTCATCGCGGCCTCCCCAATCGCCCGTTCCACCGCCATTGACAGCCCCCAGCGATGACCCGCAACAGCTCTTTCCCCTCTTCCGCGCCGCGAACGCATCCCACTCCGGCGCCCTCACTGAAGGCGAGCTTGGCAGCGCGCTCGTGAACGGCGATTACACCTCATTCCACCCGCGGACGGTGAGACTTATGATCCGCATGTTCGACCGCGACGGCAGCGGGACAATCAACTTCGACGAGTTTGTCTCGTTGTGGCGGTATCTGGCTGCTTGGCGGGAGCTGTTCGATCGTTTCGACGAGGACCGCAGTGGGCGTGTTAGTCAGCCGGAGTTTGAGAAGGCGCTTGTTGCGTTCGGATATCGTCTCAGTGGGAAGTTTATTTCTGTTATCTTCGGTGTCTTTGAGAGCAAGGGAAAGCAGATGAGCAATACGCCCAAGGACCCTAGGCTTACCGGTATGAGCTTCGATCTTTTCGTTCAGGCTTGTATTAGTCTGAAGCGTATGACGGATGTCTTTAAGCGGTATGATGATGATCGGGATGGATATATTACTCTGAGCTTTGAGGAAGCTTTGACTGGTAAGTCGTGTTGTTTGGTGAGCGGTCGTTGGGAATCGGTGGCTAACTGGGGGTTGTTTCTACAGAGATCCTTCTATTACAGGAATAAAGCATTCTGCTACATTCCCATACGTATAATTCTGCTCGATTTTCTTCTAGTTGTGGTGTTCTGTCTACGCTCTCGCTCTCTTCATTATACCCCCAACCCCTCCATTTGTTTTTTGTCATAGAATTGCCAGGGAACGGCACTGGTCATTGCATGTTCATCGAGGAGTTATTGAGTCACGGATATACTTGGAATATGAATGCATTGAGATCATAAAAGTATTAGCCATCTTCTCCAAATAAAGCATACGCTCGTCTGTTAGAGTAAACGCCTATAAAGAAGCAAGCCATAGTAAAATTTACATAATCGATCAGGGGTATTATTATATTAAAGGAAAATCAACAGCTGGATTAACAAGACTAATCGGCTCATTCGCTGTCCTCAGTTTCCCAAGAATCGTCGTCGCTGCCCTCTTCGGGACGAAGGTGTGCAAACTCAGGATCCATCATAGCCCGCTGCATGAGTAAATCCAAGATCCGTGGTGGGATTGAACCCATGTCGGGATCCGTTCCTGGTGGAAATCCTTCGAATCCGGGTTCCATGAAATCTTCCTCATAGCCGAGATCTTCATCAAAATCGTCGAGATCGCCGTAATCATCAAAATCAGGTAATTCATATGGCAAGATCTGGAAATTCACATTGGTTCCTTTGAACATCTCTTTCAGGGCAAGGAAACATTGTTCTGGTGTTTTCCCTTCTGGAATACGTTGCCCAGGAAGCTTAATGGGCTGCGTGATGTCGATTGCGAATACCTTGATGTTAGTCAACTTCGGATAAAGACCCTTTTTACAATCTGTCGCGATGTTCCGAGTCAACTCCCGGATAGAAGAGTTGCAGTCCGTGATATGGAGTGTCTCTAACGAACTGGGGAATTCAGGGTGTGGAGGAAGAGAAGCGTGTGGGATGAGGATTGTCTCCAGCACGGAGAAATCACGGAATGAGCCAACCTTGACGTGGCCGGAAACGAGTTGCTCGATATCGTCGACGTCCTGTATTTCCATTGAGTACTCGAGATGGAAGAGCTCAAGGGTATCCTTATGTAGGAGGGCGGCTTCTTGAGCCTCCTTGGCGGTAAACTCGGGGACAGTTCCTGCGCGCATGATCCGTCGGTCGTTAGGGTCCAAACTGAAATTGTTGTAGGTAAAGGTTTTAAGCTTTTTGCATGCTTGCATAAGCTTTTTGAGGGCACCAGCATCGATGTGGCAGTGGTGGAAAGCGAGTTCTTGGGTCTCTAATGTTCCAGGCAGCCAGGTAGATGGAAAAGATGTGTCGAAGAGATCACCGTACTCAAAGGTCGAAGATGTGACCTTAGGAAGGGTGAGGAATTTCTCATAGGAAGCAATATCGAAGCCGGAAAGTTCGTCATCGCTTTCAAACCAGACAGACTCAAGGTTTGATAAAAATTCTGGATTGTGATGGAAAAGCTGGATGAATGGCTGGATTGAGAATTTGCGCACTGGCAGATGTAGTCCACGAACATTGGGGGCCTTGTTGGCTAGCAATGCTACGAAGATGTTGATGTCGCATTTGTTCATAGCTGAAATCCATGTTTCCTCCTCATCGGCCAATTGAAGGCCCTTAATTATGCCTTTGAAGAACTCGGAGTCTTCTGCGGCAAGAGAATCGGGGCCACCTGGGTGGAATGAGAGAGGCAGGATAGTGATTTGATGCACATGCTTTCCGAGATCTGGACGTCGATAGATTGTTTTGGTGAACGGGATGATCGGCGTTACATCACCCCCCATGCCATCATCATAGAGCTCACGGAACAGTAAAGGCTGGGCGATCTCACGGAACTGCCGCGAAACTAAGCAAACATTGCGCAGAGTGTCAATTCCATCGTATTCGTCATCTTCAAGTTCGTTGTCATCATATTCGTCGTCATCCAATTTCTTTGTATGGCCATCTTTGGCTTTCGTGGTTTGACCTCCGCTCAGTAGGTCGAGATCATCTTCGGGTTGGACCAGAAAAGACACAATGAGATGTACAAGCTCGATAGGAAGGCTTTCAATGCGTGTCATGATTGAGGATGAGCCCCGCACTGAAGATGGCCTGAGTTGAGTGTAAGTGAGGGTTGAAGATGAAATGATAAGGATAGCCGGATAAATTATCTTCACGCGTTCCGGCGCGTGAAAGAACCATTTGATTATCCTAAAAGGGCAGTTAGGGCTCGCAGGCTAGGGCTTTGTCCCACATGTAGAACCATTTTGGGTTTAGCGCTACTTTTATCTACTTTTACCCCGCATACGTCGCTGCCCAGGTGTTGACATCCATGGATGTTCCTTGGAGCCTTAGAGGTTACTACATGTGTAAATAATGGGTGGCTAGTCTAATAACCTAGAGCTCGTCTCTCTAATGATGTGATCTTAGCATATCCGCAACTAAACTAGCTTTCGGATACGAAATTCATGGGTCATGTTGCTATTCGTGTGGTTTTAGCCTGACTTCTAGTAGTATAGAGCAGAGGATTCGCAATACGGTCTATCTTTCTAGGGTTGAACTCGGTTCGAGAAAATTAGCTCTCCAGATCGTTGGCACTTCCCTAGACATACCGTTGCGGCTAAACTTCAACCGGAACCTCGCTGTTTTGTATGACAGTGGCATTCTTGGGTGTTTCTACTGTGCTGCGGTCAACCATGACAATCTAACCACCCACTGTCAAGTTTGACTATAAACCAAGTTGGCATCCACATCAGCTTTTAATTGGCTCTAGGTATTTTTTACCAGTACAGTTGCGTATAGTATAAGCGCTTGCGGCAAGTAGAAGTAGCCTTGCGTTTATGCAAAACATACTACGAATAGATCAAATCATCTACTGCAACCATCAATTAACAGGAATAGTGATTATTTTATTGTGGAAAGAACGACCCAGGCCTATGCCCAAAATCGGGCGACACCGCCATTCTCCAACATTAATCCCTAAACACCCCTCCTCACCTCGACACACTCCTCCGCGCGTCGATACGTCCTTCGACGCGTCAAATACGCTTGACAAGTACCAAAAGGCGCCTAACTTTGTCCTTTACTTGTAACATCACCTATGTTTTCTACAAAATATACCCTTGCTTGAGGCCTCTTGGGACGCACATCAAAAGCCGAGAATTCATTAATCATCAGACACGCTCAAGAAATTTTCGGACACTTGAAGTCATCCTTTATGGTTTTCGGGAGGACGATTCCATTTACATTTTCCTCAACACTAAAATTTGCTTCATCCCTGTCTACGCTAAGTCTTCCGGGTCACCAAAACGCAGCTGTCAAAGATAATGTCTGAACGAGTCGTACAAGCCAAGTCCTCGTTCATGGATTCGCCAAGGAACATCTCTTCTATTTCACTCTTCTTAATGCGCGGCGTCCACTTAATTTAATTCCTATCGTCCGTGTGTTACGCTCCGACACTCATACACACACCAAACATACCCACGAGGAACCCCTTGCCGTGGAATTTTCGAACTCGAGGCGCAGATGGACACCTCGAGGCTTGTCGTCATCATCTATAATTTCACCGTCTATGAGGTAGTGTCATGCGAGTATCAAAAGTCGCGATTGCCGCTTTGGCCGCAACATCACAAGGTGATTCCCTCCGATGTTCCTGGGGAGCCCCATGGACCTGGATTTGCTGGCTTTAAATCTCCTCTCTTTCAATTCCCAATGATTCCAATTACTTCCGCTGCGGTTTTACCCCTCTCAGTCGTGAGTAGTCAGTCAATCCAGCTCACGCAGAGTGCTGGAGGTCTCTCTTTCGAAAGGATCACAACGTTTGATCCATTTTATGCCTCCACATTCCCCGTGCCCTAAAGGATGTACACACATCAATCGTTATATTTTCGAACCATCTTGAGAAGATTCCGACCCCCCTCTATCGAAGTCGTATGGTCGAAAGGCATCCACCCCAGCTTCATTTCAAACTTGGCTGGCTCTAGACAAACTCTTCCAAGTACAATGCTGTGAGGTCGCTGTTACTTCAACATCTGCAATGACTCTCATATTTGGCTAGTGCAAGCTGTGATCAAATGATGAGTCCTACGACCGTCACTCCCTGCATCATTGTCTTATGTCGAGATCCATAAAATGTCGCAAAAGGGGGAGCATAATGTCTTGTTGACCCTGCACTGGTTCAAATCAGATGTGACTAATCCGTTGAAACTACCTATCTCTTGTGGTTGAACGAGTTGATTCTGGTGGCTTGCACTTTGTTCTCTTATTGTGCGCAACAACCGTACTATGTCCAATGAATGGGATAACCTGGCCGTCAAGGCCTCAGATCGTTTCCGACTCGTCCGCTCAGAGGAATCTGTTCACGATTAGGCGGCACCTAAATCTCATGATGACTTTCTCTTTGTTCTTTGTTATTATAATTATCCTGAAGTCGTCAGGGTCCGTCTGTGGCTCACTGGCTATCTCAGAACTTTTTTTTTTTTTTTTCCAAATGAGAACAATGTATTCTTTACTTGCGATTTTAGTTCTATTGTAGTTATTTGTCCACAGCAGGTATCTTCTGGCCCTTAGACTATGTTATGCCTTCGGTTGTTCAAGATCAACAGAAATGATGACATCAAGTTAACAGTAAGGATAAATCGCCTTTTACTTTGACAGTTGCTTTTTCCCTCATCTCATTCTTACTCTCACTTTCAAAGAGATCTTATTTTCTTAACTCCGAGGGTACCTAGGTAGTTAGACAGCATAATACGTGCTAACCCTATTGCTCTTTTCTAACTGATGTTACTTTCAGACATTTATGCAATCAGCCGCATTTTCAGCTTCATATGAACGGAGTAGTTTAGTTCTCATAACCTGTATTCTGTATGCTGTACTCTCCAGGCTGTACATCTCGGTTATAAAACCCAAGTCGGGATCGGTGTTTATTTTAAAGCCGACTCCGACGATGATCCACTTCAGGGCTGACCTATCTCAAGCCAATTTCCAAGGGCAACCCTTCGGCTTCGTCATTTCGATTAAAGTAATTCCGAAAATACGAGATCCGAACCTCTTCCCCCCTTTAAAACATATATATCACGAATGCTGATTCTACTATTTTGATTCTACTATTCTGACTAAAATAAAATAAAACATATTCCCGCGATCGGCAAACATTTTATTCGCTTGGACGGAAGGGATCTTAACTCCGTTTCTTTCTAGAAAACTTTTCTTCCTTTCTATTTCCCCCCAACACACCACGATGAGCGAGCGACAACAACCAGATGCCTCGAGCAGTAATACTGAGATCGATCACCCCCACGAAGAAAAACGCCTGGAGACCCCCGAACAGGAAGCTGAGGCAGATCAACCCAACGATGCGGAGAATGCGACGGAAAAGTCAATAGAGGGTGCGCCTCTAGACCACGCGCCCTCACAGGCGGCAAAGATGGGCAAGCATAAGATCATCGTCGTGATGACAGCGCTATGTGTAAGAAAACCACGTGCGGGGAAAGCGTTCGGGGAGGACAGAAAAGCTAATAGTCGCATCCCAGCTGGCTCTATTCTTGGCGGCTTTGGATATGGTACGTGCTCGTTTATTCATCCTTGTTTCGGCTATTTACTAACGTGGATCTCTTGCAGACGATTATTTCCACCGCCCTCCCTACTATCGCCGCGCAGTTTGGTGCCTCCGAGAGCGGTTTCTCATGGATCGCGTCGTCATATCTGCTAGCGAATGCCGCCTGTATCCCTCTGTGGGGTAAGATCAGTGATATCTGGGGAAGAAAGTCGATCATTGTCTTGGCAAATGTTGTCTTCCTGGTTGGCAGTCTGATCTGTGCTTTGGCGCATAATATGGCCACAATTATTGCTGGTCGGGCGGTTCAGGGTATTGGTGGTGGCGGCATCATCATCCTGGCTAATATCAGTGTATCGGATCTCTTCAGTTTGAGGTATGGTGACTCCTCGATCTGGGATGAAATAAGGCTAACTTCTATACAGGGATCGTCCAATGTACTATGGTCTTTTCGGTGCAACCTGGGCCATCGCAGGCGCTCTTGGTCCTGTTATTGGTGGGGCTTTCACCACAAATGTGACTTGGCGCTGGTGTTTCTATCTCAACCTTCCCGTTGGAGGTGTCTCACTCGTTATCCTTGTTCTCTTCCTTCACATTGAATCGCCCAAGACTCCATTCTGGGCTGGTCTGCGCTGCATTGATTGGACAGGAACATTCTTGATCATCGGTGGAACTCTAATGTTCCTCTTCGGACTCGAGTTCGGAGGTGTCAACTACCCTTGGGCCTCGCCTACTGTCATCTGCCTGATTATCTTCGGGGTGTTCACTTGGGCTCTGGCAATGTTCCTGGAATGGAAGGTCGCTAAGTTCCCGATCATTCCTCCGCGGCTGTTCAATGAGTGGTACAACATTCTCATCCTGCTCGTTTGTTTCTGCCATGGATTTACCTTCATCGCCGCTACTTACTATCTACCACTTTACTTCCAAACAGTCCTCCAGGCAAGTCCCATCATGAGCGGTGTGTATGTCTTGCCTTTGGTACTGTCTCTAGCACTCGGCTCCACCGCCACGGGTATCACTATGAAGAAGACTGGCCGCTTCCGCGAGCTGATTATCGGCGGTATGTCCTTGATGGCTCTTGGATTCGGCCTTTTTATCGACCTCAAGGCCTACGCTTCATGGCCCCGTATCATCATCTACCAGTTAATCGCCGGTGTCGGTATTGGTCCCAACTTCCAGGCACCTTTGGTTGCTTTCCAAGCCAATATTCGTCCCGCCGACATGGCCACTGCAACAGCCACTTTCGGCTTCATCCGTCAACTCTCCACTTCGATGTCCGTCGTTTTGGGCACCGTCGTTTACCAGAATATGATGAGTCAACAATCGGCCAAGCTTATCGCCTCGCTGGGCGCTGAAACCGCTGCGGCTGTTATGGCTTCCTTTGGCGGCTCCTCCAAATCCCTCGTCAAAAGTCTTACTCCTTCCCAGCGTGAGGTCGTCTTTGGCGCTTACACACATGCCCTGAACCGCATGTGGATCTTCTACACTGCCATGGCTTGTCTTGGCTTTGTTCTCGCTTTGTTTATCCGCCCTCGTGAACTGACTCGCAATCACACTGTCCAGAAGACCGGTCTTGCTGAGCAAGAGCGTGCCCGTCAGGAGCTTATCGAGTCTCAGCGCAAGGATAACTCGAAGCCTGAAATCGAGGCCTAATTCCTCTCCCCCTTTTGTATACCCCTTTGGATACCCCCTTCTTAATTTCTCCCCTCCATTCCCCTTAGCACATATTCTTCTTAAAAAGTTAAAGCATATTGTTTAATCGGGTCTTTGTCATTGCGGCCTCAAACACCTCTCACTTGGGTTATGTTGGCGTTATCCTTTGTTGCTGTTTTCATATGAGTTATGATGCATATTGACCCTGTGTGTACAAAAAATAACGACAATCGCACAAAAAGTGCATAGAATTTTATGCCAATTTTGATCCCTGTATGCCTTCTTTATCAGGCTCCTTGTCACTGGACTCAACCGTATACGTACCTACATGTGGGCCATTCAGAAGTTTTGACTCTTAAACAACCTTGGAACACTTATTATATCATGTTATATTAGCCCATGATCATCCAGCAGCCCTTCTATAGCTTGCTTTGGGGCGCGTATAGGATACGGACAACTAAACTTATAGCACTGCTATATGATACTAGGTTGAGCTATGCTCGAGTTGGTGGTGACAAAATCTCCATGTCTCTCTTTTACAATGGTCAAGATTCGTCCTAAAACCACATAACTGCCACTCTTGGGATAGGCAACCTTGAAGACATACCGTGTGGAAATAATGGAATTTTTACTCAGACACAGGGGAAAGCTCTATAAGCTATCAAAATCTTAAACTAAGTGAGCTATTCAACAAATACTTACCCCTGGCCCCACAGCGAACTGGTTTACACCTTCAGATCTGATACCTTATTTGTGCCTCAGGTCGATAGAATCTTGTCCTTATATAAGAGTGATTTCTTCTCCTCGTCTACCTCTGGGCATCAGCCTGTCTCAACCCATGGGGTTTCTCCTTTTTTTACTTCGCTATTATATCCCCAACCTACTTGAAACTCGAGACCAGATACTGGTGATTCCAGGTCATCAGCCGGCAGGTTTCCCTTGAGCCTCGATCCCTGTCTCTCTTTCCCTCGCTTTACTTTCACTTTTCTTTCACTTGGTCTCTTTCTTCACTTCTCTTTCATTCTTCTCTCAGGACATGGCGGAACAACACCATATACGTGGGATCGAGTATCTGCATGACAACATGTCAAGCCTACACGGTATGGGTGTCTCGCGGTTTCAGGCAATCCTGTTAAATTGCGAAGAAATGCCATGAATGATTCAGCCCCTGAACAACGAGATTGCGGGTATGTTCGGGGGATTCGAGGAATCCCTGCTTGTAAAGGATCAAGTCGTCGTTGAGTGCTGCTAGTGACGGCGCGAGTTCGAAGACCTGGGAATACCACTCATCTGAACGACCTACAGCGGCAAGTCTAGGGAAATCCCATTCCCGGAGCAAAAGCCATGTGGACCTTGCCAGGACCTCCAATGCCCTCTGGAGTACTAGAAGGAGGCCATATTTGCCGACGATGAACTAATCAAGGCCCGTTCTGACCCTTCGACTACCACTATTTAGCCTGTCAGGAATTAGAACGGCGCGCGCCTAACTGCGACCCCGATAATCTCAGAGGGTGCAGCCTTGACCGTGAGTATGACTAGAACTCGCACAGACTACGACCGGGACATCTGTATCCCTCTGTACTACCGGAAAGAGGCCATTCTGGTTGATCCTGGACTGCTTGAAAACGTATCTGACGCTTCACCTGACACTCTTCAGCCTGGGGTGTGCCTCCTTTTTGACTTCTTGGTCAACCACTCTCAGCAAAGCTGGGACCGGGAAGAAGACCCATATGATCCTGTCACTCGCTGTGATCATCGTACGGAGTCCCGAGGACACTGTAATCCTAGATCCAACTATAAGGTCTGCTCCGCCGCCTCAGTTGGTGCCCTCGCAAGAAATATGGAGTTAGGAAGGGGGAACGTGGTCGACTAGCAAAAGGTTCGCTGCCACCACGCAGGTGGCGATTGTCAACACAGAGTGGGAGTCGAAAGACTCCTCAGCGAAGATGAACTAAGGTTCATAAGGTGAAGAAGCTTGTCGGGAGAGCGACATTTAACTAGTGGCATCGAACATGGTCAAGCTTTTGCGTGACAGGCTCCACGGTCACATCATCTCCCTCAACGCAGACCAGGCTTACTGATGTTGTGATGTTGACGATCCACTGACCAACCTTATACATTGATACAGCTCACATCGGGATAATTGATAAATACCATGACCTTTGACTGTCCTTGTTTGATAACACGAAATCCTTCCTGGCTCGGTTCAGTCAAATTTGCACTTTGTATAGTAAGGCAGGCGAGTTGTTTGTCGGCCTTTTTTTTTCTCGGCATATTTTTGCCGTACCTTTCAGGCTTAATTCAACCTTGGTCCTCTCTTGTATTAGCACTTGCTTGTGAGTTGTTAGGCTCGCATAGTCACGGTCATATTGTGTTCTGATATGCTGGTCCGAGATCATCCATAGTTCCTTAAGGAGTGGGTCGGACTTGTGTCTATCAGGACATTAGGACCCACATATATCCACTCTCCCCACCAATTCTCCCTCGCCTCACTTTCTCTTCCCCTGTGCTTAGAATGAATTGAATTGCCTCTTTTGTTTGAGAAAATCAGCCTAGGAATATTTTCGGGTATCAATGCTTGGCAAAAGCCTCATCAGCATTATACCATGCTCATGCCATAGCGTATACCAATGCTTTCTTTTTCTTGTTTTGTTTCGCTGTAGTTCTTGTTGAGATCACATAGCTTTCTTCTCCAGTTACCAACTCTCAGCTTTGAGTATTGACTCGCATTTTATTATGCACTTCGACGGGTCCCTTTCTGTAGGTCCCTCCTGATAGTTCTGCTTGTGCTCCTACGTTCGCATTTCAGGGGGCTTGGGGATCTGAGGTTGCCATTCACGTGGCTAATCTACTCTTAATATTATAAAATAAGAGGCCTGTGCCTGAAACAGAGAGACCCATGGCAAATACTGGCATTAGTATGATCAGATGACTGACGAACCCAAAACGCAAAACAAGAAATAAGGTCGCAGGGACCGGTAATCTTAGGCGGTTGGTCCGCCGTAAAGTCGGCGTATTATCCTGCCCCGGCCGGATGAACACGTCAAGGGTGGTATTGGGCAAAATTACCAGGTCAATCCGGCCGTCACCCGGGAGTTTGAGTGATCGACAATACAATGGCGCCCCTCAGTTGATGGATATTGGATAGGTTCTTCGAACTTCGAAGACATCTGTGTGGGATGGGGAGTAGCTTGAAACATGCTAGCTCATGGAATCATCGGGATTGGATATATGATGCTGCAAGGCCAGGGTCCAAAGTTTGGTTCTCAGCTTACGTGTTCATGTGAGCCTCAGTGTGTTCCCAAGGTCCAGGCTGTGTTCATTCAACATCCCCCAACCTCACACGGATGCCTGAAAGATCTAGTCCATTTGGGGAAAGGCCAGAGATCCTGGGGTCCAGCCTGCATCCATTATTCCACCGGCCTTTCCTTTGTTTTCTCCCAATATGACAGGCTACGTCACTCTGTTACATTTTCCGGTCTGGATACAGCCCTCAGAACCTATTAGAAAGGATCAACCCTCGATGACTACACTGCCCGGCTGGCGTTCCTCTCCCATTGGAGGGAGCCAGTGGCATCACTTCACCCGAACATTGTGGCTTGCAATAAGGTGCAGCAGAGCCACAATTCCAGCACATAGCCATTGATTCTTCACCGTATATCATATATCGCCGTTGAATTCCGAGCATATAAAAGCCCAAATCGCCACTTGAACCCTGTTGATTACTTTACTTCCACAGCTCTGTTTGATTATCCAACATTTACCTATCACTATTCTCATACCACGATGGCATGGTCTCCATATAGCGTCCCCCCAAAAGCTTCTGGTATACCTGGTCAAGATCAAGGCACCAAGGATGCTTATCACCCCCATGGGTCTGCTGCTCATCAGTATCCTCCCGCTCTGGCGACAGAACCGTTTATGTTCCCTGAGGACCATCTTGCGTACAATACTCCTATGCAGAACCCCTCTGCACCAGTAAATCCCAACTACCAGATGCCCTTTCTCCTAATTCGTACCGACTTCGATTCTCCCCATCAAAATACGGTACACAGTCCTCGTGAGCTCTCGCCCATGGGCTATCTCAGCTCTGGGCCCAGTACTGCGTGTACCACACCATCGGGGTCGGGACCATCCACTCCCGCCATGCAAGAGATGCCCCAATCAGGTATCGGTGGTCATGAAATGCAGACCATCTATGGTGCTACCCAAACACTTAGACCGAGGCACGAGTAAGCCATCCGTATAGTGCCCAGTTATCATATCATCACCATGCTAACATCACCCTTTTCCTTCTAGCGGCCCTCACGAGACGTACCAATGCAACTGGAAGGACTGCAAATACCGCGGCGTGTTCTCCCGCAAGGGCGTTCTCATGCGTCATATAGAAACGCAGCATGTCTCGCCTCACTCAATTGAATGTCCTTTGTGTGACAAGATGTTCTCTCGGCGGGACAATATGACCGAACACTTGGGGAGGGTTCATTCGCAGCGATTAAGATAAAAAGCTTGAGTTTGCATTATGTCTGGAGTCACTGGAAGAAATCTTTATGTGGGGTTTGGATTATGGTAGATTGGCGCTTGATGTTGGTATTCAATGATACCCAGAGTTTTGGAGTTTGGTTTTTGCAGTGATTATATTTTGATTGGGAAGAAGAAAAATGGAACATTGGGCAGAACGTAGGATAATAATACATTATTATTATTATACGAGTAATAATAGGACTATCGACTGTCCAGCTCATGCAGCTAAACTCCGCCCCATACGTTTGCATGCATATACGAGCCCACGAGCCCACCACCAATGTAGTTCGCCCGCAAATGCACTTCCCGTCACATGTAATCACACTCGGCGCTTAGGCCAACGGTTGAGGCTCTTTTTGTTATTTCGATGCCCTGGGGTAAATTAGAGATCGTCTGGTCTGTAAGTAAACAACGCCCGACAGAGTTCCCGGAACCCTAACTTGGCGGTAGAAAGTCTGGCATGATCGGGAGGATCACTAACCTCTCTTCCATCCATGGCTATATCTAATGTAGAGTCCCTAGAATAGATATGCAGTAATATTATTCTAATATTCTAATATTTTACAACCGCCCCCAGCGCTAGCCATAATTAATACAATGTAACCCTGAAACGAGGATCGTTCTGCAACTCAAATGGCTACATGTAGTTCGCATAATGAGACCTTTTAAGGTAAATCTTCAATTTTTAATTATCACAGTCTAACTGCATGATGTAAAGCACAAGGGTAAAATGAAACGGGCGTTAAAAGTGTTTAAAAAGAAAAGGAAAGGAAAGAAACGAATCTAGCCTTGAGAATATGTCGATCTCTCGTATATCCCCAATCAGCCTTGTGACTCCGCGTGGTTAATGATCTGCATTTTCCAGACGTGACGTGGCAACCAAGGAGAACAAGTTCATCGTAGTGAATAACATTGAATATCAACCGATTCCTACGCCCAGGTCCATGGGATTGGATTTGGTGCATGTATGTCTCAGTTACTTTCTAATTTTATAATCCCATGAAATGCACTATACAACACATCGGGACTAGCAATAACCGAAGATGGGGGTCAAGATCTATTATACAGATTGGTCACTCTTAGCCCTCGTTATCAATAGCATTTAGTGTCAATGCTGTGTCGACATGATTCGCTCGTCGTCTGCAGCATTATCACACTACATATTATCCTCTTGCCGCTTTGGGGCAACACTTCTTCGGGCCAGAAACCGAGAAATCAAGAAATGGTGGGTTCCCTGCTGCCAAGGACCCTTGGAGACCGGGATATCATGCTCAGCTCGGTAAAAGAGCCACGAATAATGATTCCGTTGTCATTGGAATGGAACTTGTCCCTATGTAGTAATGTTGGACATGGGCTTGATGCATAGAACGAATGCCCTGCTTTCTACAGCGCAAGACGAGTTTTCTAGAACAATTCTGGGGGCTAGTCCAAGTAGTTGCGTCAGGCTCCCCCAGTTTGATGCCGCCCGTGCTTCCTTTTTTTCTTTTTTTGTTCTCTTTTGTCTATCTCTCTCTCTATCAGTGGTGTGTAGTCCCCAAGTGCGGCTTTTAGTAAAGTTGACCTACCGATTTTAGTGAGATTGGCCAGTCCTGCACCCAGAATCACATTAACTCGGATTTATAAATACTCAGCTGTCCTTCATCGGCTCAAAGAAATATTATTCCTATCTAACCACCCACTATCATTCGTGTAACTTATCTTCACCTTCTCAACGTTCACACTCCACATCCAGGTCGGTGATTATACCATGATGGCGTGGCCAACACGCAACAACAAGTCAATTATCTCGGAGGCCGCGTTTCAATGGTCCGATGCCGAATTGGATAATTGGAGAACCGAACATCTCAAAAATCCCGAGACTCTTCTGTTGTCTCCGTCGCCTGATCCATCAACCGCCGCGAGAACACCCACCGCTCGACCTCTTTCATACAACTATCAGTTCCAGCTTCCCTCCACACAATTCCCCTCTACGCCCGTTGCCCCTGGGGCAATGCTGTCCCCCACTCCTTCGTCGTTATATCTAGACCCAGGCGCTATCAAGCGGTCCGTGAACAACCACAGCCCAAGATCCGTTCCAACCCAAGCAACCCACACCGCCCCCTCCCCAGCAAGCCTTTATGACGTTGGATGTTCCAGCCCCTGGGATGACCTCCCAGTCTCGACACCCATAATAAAAGAGACACCTCAGCTGGATGAGGCGAGTAATGGGCACAACCAGACCAGAATGCCGGGTCGCTCTCGTCAACGTGGAGCCAAAAGAAAGTGTGTATTTTCTTCCTTTCATCCAAGGCCGTCATAATCATCGTATACAATGCTGAACACACCTCGACTAGGGAGAACGAGAATTATGGAACCTTCAAATGCGAATGGAAGGGCTGTCAATATGACCGTCTATTCTCGCGCAAGGGTGTGCTTATGCGGCACATTCAGACTCAACATATCAATCCGCGGGCTTTCAAGTGTCCCTGGTGTGACCATGCTTCGAGTCGACGGGAGAATTTGAAAGCGCATAGACAATCGATTCACAAGGAAACTTTGTAAGATTTCATGATGGGATGTATGGTTTTTGGTGTTGGCTGTTTCGGATACCTTGTTTTGCTTTTATATACTCGGGAATATATACTTCGGCTAGAGTGGAGTTTGGACAGGATTTTATGTTGGTATATATATATATATATATGTAAATTTTTTTTTCGCGGTTAATTTTTATGAGAAAATTAAAGATGGAATTCACACGTGGGAGCTGGAGCTGGAGTAACATGAAACATAGAACACTGATATAATCGAACAGAGCGAAAAAAGAGTGTCCTCCATTTCCAAATTCAGGTGGTGGTTGACATGGGGAGGATCCACATCACACAACCTGGGGAATCAGGCCGAATTAGGCCGCACAGGGTCTATGGGTGCTATCTAGAGCTATAGCTAATTTGTTTAATTCTAAAATGATCCGGCCGAGGTCTATTTATCTTGCTGTTGCCATGGGAAGTATGATTTAAGTTCGCAAAACGTGCATGCCATGGTAGATTGGAGCCAAAGCAAGGAAATGCAATTTTCTTCTATAACAAAAGACGGAAGACGGACGCACGAAGAAGCGGATCGATTGACCGGTTTGTTGAAATTTGAAATGGTATGGAATTTGGTGCGTTTAAGCGTCAGATACAGAATGGGAGAAGTGACGCTGCGCGACCAGACACATCATGCTCGCCAATTGTAAGAACAAGGAGAAATATCGAGACGAAGCTCGTTCCCAGTATCTTGGGGTCGACACAGCTATGAAAGTGTAAAATTTTTTGATTCGTAGGGCTTTGTTGGCCCTGCCTTCTCCCACGAACAAAACGTTATCAACCCGCCAACTCCATCACCTCAAATCAACATCGGCTCGTTCCGTCGACTTTTCCTTGCCTGACCGACCGTCTGTGCGAAGAAGGGAATCGCCCACTGAAAACAACACAAAGAAGCCGTTTAGATGTTGGAGGGGTAGAGCATAACGCGGACGGTAGCGCCGAGGGACTTGGGGGGGAGGTTGTTGCGGAACTTGGCGCGCACAACACCGGAGTTGCCTGGAACGAGTCAGATAAAACGAAATTCGACCACAAAAAAGGGGTTCCAGACTCAGAGGGCCATTCGGAAATGGACTTGAGACTAGTTATTGAATTCACGTACCGTGCGGCCGGGTGACCTTGCCCCAGATCACCCGAATGTTGGAGCCGCGGACCTCACGCTTAGCACGGTAAACGAAAGCGACCTTCTTGCCGAGGTAGAACTTGGCGGACTTGGTGTCATCAACACCCTCGATCTTGACCAAGCTGTATAACCATATATCAGATTCCATTTCATCGAGTATTCAATTTCATGTGCGCAGGGTGTAGATACCTGGTGTTGGGAGTCAGGGCGTGCTTGGAGCGCTGGAAGCTCAGGTGACGTCCCCTGTAAAAAAGAAAATCGTATTAATGCTCTGTTCATATCGTATTTTGTTTCGATTTGAGTGGCGATGTCTTGTGTCCCCCAAATCGGTTCTCCATGTCGAATTCGTGTATCCTTAAATGCGACGATGAAAGTGCGGTGATTAACTTACTTGACGTAGACTAGAAAAGAAGAAAATAGTTAGCACATGTCTTTTTATCCAGTGTGCGACCACACAAGGTGTCTGCTCGAGACGCGGGTTTGCGATTTCGAGACCGCCAAAACGACGATCGATAAGACGTTCGAGGGATTCACTCACGGCGGTGTCCTTGTTCCGAAGGCATTGTGTCGGCGTTTCTCTGGGGAGCGGGCAAGGAAAGAAAGTCGAAGGAATGACCCGCAAGATCAAAAGTCGTTCCCGTTTGTCGTGGTTGTCGTCGCTTCGATAGAGTCAGGCGCACAATCAATTTGGGCAGCCGTGTGTTGGTTTTCGCCCTAGCCCAAACGGGATCTTAGCGAGCCACAGACCACGTGATGATCAGGGCTAAGCGAGATCCCGTGATGGACACACCGCTCTCCATCTTACATCAGCGATTAGATAGGCAGAATTTGAGATGAGATAAGCTTTTATCGGGATTCTTATTTCTCCGATCCGAGCCCTCGAGGTCATTTACCGATCATTTACCGCCCTACTTTTTTTTTCTGCCACTCGGGCTACTGTAGTCCGACCGGGCGAGTCCAAGCCTGCAAGCCTGCAGTTATCCAGCTGACAAACCTAAGCCATGACGACAGGGGTTCCCACCTTCAAAGTTGAAAGGTTTCATTCAAAGAAAAAAGCAATACGGCAAAGGCTATCGTTGGCAGCCTGAGATAGTGAATTGTTTTCATCAATTCTAGCCAGCTTGAGAACACAAGAACAATCAATATCTTCAAAGGATAGCAGTGACATGATCCGGGTAGTCCTCCGGTAGATTTGTATACTTCAGACCGAGACCACTGATTGGGAAATCTAGAAGTTCCTGTATCCTGCCCCACATCCTGGCTGACGGATCACTGACTGCCTTTGGGACCGGTTATGTACAATATACAAAGTAATGTATTGATTGAAACTCGGGGCAACTTTCAAGCGGACTCGTACGAGAGACCTCAGCAACCAGACTAGGGTTAGAGTATAGTTAGATAGGGTAGTATAGTATAGGTAGTATAGCCCCCAAGTAGCACTGAACGGTTAAATATGTATGCTCCGGATTCGGACCCTCTAGTCATAGATCGGGTCAATACCAGTCTCAAACCGGACTTAAGAAGGTGGCCTCTCGCGGGAAAATAGAATCCGTCTGGGACAAAATGACAAATGTGCCGATCCATCCCCACGATTTGGGTCACCGGTCGAAGTTCTTATCGAGTTGCGTGCTCAAGGTCTGTACGATGTATTGTACTTGTTCTTGCAGATTCGGTACTTTAATTTGATACACCCTCTTGGAGGATTTTAGTGGACACACTGCAACCTTCCCCTCGATGTGATGACCTTTTATCCTAATGTAGCTCCGCTTTAGATACATATGCATATTACTACACAGGCTGACCGCAAATTTGGTCATAAATATAATATAGCTGCCATAACTCCGTATATAACATTGAATATTGTTATGGACACGTATCACTCCACAGTCTCAAATTCAGCCTGTTTTGTAGGTGCAGTGTGATCCGCACCTATAAGTGAACTGCATCTCTTATCAGATGACCTCCCCCTATTTTCTTTCTCTCTGAAAGCAAGCTGTTATTAAAACAAGAATAAGCGACGTGCTCACATCGGAGTCCCTTGACAATTGCCCCGATCTATTTTGTATCACCCCGAGCCCCGACCCGAATAATCTCAGCAGTGCTGATAGATAACCCTGGCTCCGCGGGGCATTGATAATCAAAACGGGTAAGATCCCGTGGGATCTAAGAGTGGCTCAAAGTTCAGGGTCGATAACAATTAGTAGGAAAATTGGACTTGAGACTCTCCATGACTTGATATGAGAAAAATTGACTAAAAATTTGCCACGAGGCTAGGAGTATGTAGGTCCAAAGTCCAGGATTAAATAATAGTCTTATGTACTCTGTATAAGTAAGAAAATAAAATCCAATAAAAGAAATTATCAAAAAACACCTAAAAGGTGATAAATACGCCTGGGAGTCATAAAATACAATACCCAGAAGCCCCACCAGCCGAAGCTGTGAACTTCCGTTAAAAAGTACTCCGCCGGGTCCTGTTGGTGTTTCTCAACATTCTTCTTCTTTTTTTTCCCTTTTCCAAACTTGCTCAACTCTTCTTCATTTTTATTTTTGTGTATTAAGCGGTTGGTGAAAGATGTCTAGTGTGATCAACCAGACCGATGACCGCCAGGGTGCTGGGTGAGTTTCCCCTCCTGCGTCTCTGACATCACTCCTACCCCCCCCGGTTGCGGAAGCCCACCCGCTGCCTCCAGCTCAATTCAACCTCACCTTATCCCCAAAATTGTCCTATTTTGGAGTTATTGCCTTCATCCCGATAATACTCAATCCCTTCCTGGAACGCTCTCGCAGACCATATCTGCTCAGAGAGCTTCCCCACTCAACCCCTCAATTGCCGCGTCAAATGCAAAAATCTTTCTCGGTCAATTAAACCAAACACTAACAATGGATATCGCATTCAGCACCATCGAGCTCAAAGATGATACCATCATCGTGGTACTAGGCGCATCTGGTGATCTGGCGAAGAAGAAGACCGTTCGTACCCCTCCAGGATGTGATGACTCTTTGATGTACTAACCAATCTATAGTTCCCTGCACTCTTTGGCCTTGTATGTGCTATTTCCACTAACTAATCTAGTTCCTCCCCACTGATAACTTCTGCTCTAGTTCCGCAACAAATTCCTTCCTAAGGACATTCGAATCGTCGGATATGCACGGACAAAGATGGACACCGACGAATACCTCAAGCGCGTTCGCTCGTACATCAAGGTCCCCACAAAGGAGATTGAAGATCAATTAGATCAGTTCTGCAAGATGTGCACCTACGTTTCCGGCCAATATGATCAAGATGATTCGTTCATCAACCTGAACAAGCACCTCGAGGAGATCGAGAACAACCGTCAATCGAAGGAGCAGAACCGCGTCTTCTACATGGCACTGCCTCCCAGTGTCTTCACTACTGTGTCCGAGCAGCTGAAGCGCAACTGCTACCCCAAGAGCGGTCTCGCTCGCATTATTGTGAGTTTCCCTGGACAGCGCCCAAAACGAACCTCATATTAATACACCTATCCTGTTTAATAGGTCGAGAAGCCCTTCGGTAAGGATCTTCAGAGCTCCCGCGACCTCCAGAAGGCCTTGGAGCCCAACTGGAAGGAGGAGGAGATCTTCCGTATCGATCACTACCTTGGTAAGGAGATGGTCAAGAACATCCTAATTCTGCGATTCGGCAACGAGTTCTTCAATGCCACATGGAACCGCCGCCACATCGATAACGTTCAGGTATGTGATGAAGCGATCTTATTCCTGAATTCGGGTCCTAATGTCCGCTGCAGATTACATTCAAGGAGCCTTTCGGCACTGAGGGCCGTGGTGGATACTTCGATGAGTTCGGCATTATCCGTGATGTTATGCAGAACCGTAAGTATATTCAATCGCACTGACTAGATGTAGCAAAAAAAAAAAGCTAACAATTTTACAGACCTTCTGCAGGTTCTCACATTGCTCGCCATGGAGCGCCCCATCTCCTTCTCTTCCGAGGATATCCGTGACGAGAAGGTCCGTGTTCTCCGCGCTATGGATGCTATTGAGCCCAAGAATGTCATCATCGGCCAGTACGGCCGCTCCCTCGACGGTAGCAAGCCCGGTTACCTGGAGGACGATACTGTGCCTAAGGAGTCGCGTTGCCCGACTTTCTGCGCCATGGTTGCATACATTAAGAACGAGCGTTGGGACGGCGTTCCCTTCATCCTCAAGGCTGGAAAGGCCCTGAACGAGCAGAAGACCGAGGTTCGCATCCAGTTCAAGGATGTCACCTCTGGTATCTTCAAGGACATTCCCCGTAACGAGCTTGTCATCCGTGTTCAGCCCAACGAGTCCGTCTACATCAAGATGAACTCCAAGCTGCCCGGTCTCTCCATGCAGACGGTGGTTACCGAGCTGGACTTGACCTACCGCCGCCGCTTCTCCGACCTCAAGATCCCCGAGGCCTACGAGTCCCTGATTTTGGATGCCTTCAAGGGCGACCACTCCAACTTCGTCCGTGACGATGAGTTGGATGCCAGCTGGCGCATTTTCACTCCCCTCCTGCACTACTTGGATGATAACAAGGAAATCATCCCCATGGAGTACCCCTACGGTGAGTTTATCCGCTTCCCCCTTCTCCAACCATAACACATAGCTAATTTATATCTAGGCTCCCGTGGACCCGCCGTCCTTGATGACTTCACTGCTTCATATGGCTACAAGTTCAGCGATGCCGCTGGCTACCAGTGGCCCGTCACTACCTCGGCCCCCAACCGGTTGTAGGTTTTCGAAGTATAGCTGTTTATGATGATTATGGGAAGCGGATTCGGGATACAAAGGAATTAAAATCTCTATTTTCTGACTCTGGTTGATTGACCGGCAGGCAGGAGTCGCGTCATACTGTGATACTTAGGTTTTCGAAACCAATTCAAAATTAGGATTGGATGCGACGCACGCAATGAAAGATATTTACGCCCTTATTTTGTTCAGTTTTTTTTTTGGTGGAAATTGTCCCTTTAGACTTGAGAGTTATGAAATCAGCTGTCATCTACCTGGTGTCTATGGTAATATGTATGGAGTTAAACCCCCTCAAGCAAAGGTACTTTCCTAATCAGGTAAGTCCCGAATTAGAGCCCCTATACGAGTTTTGCCGAGTGCACGTACTTTTTACCTACATGATGTCCCGTGTCTACTTTGTACAATCCCCCTGTACAATGCCCCTGTGTTTCTATAATTGGCTCACAGGGCTCTGTGTTACGTCATCACACGTGGCCAATCAGAAAGGGTCCATGAGGATGCTGACATAAGGCTAAGGTCCAGCCCTGGCTGCAAACAAACGTTGGAATATGGAATTGCTAGAAACCTAATGCATATAGAGTGGGCAACTAGACCCCGTACACAGACAAATAAAAGCCACAGCATAGCCGACCCTGACATGCCAAAAAGCCGGGATCGGCATAAGGGTTCCAGGGCTGGCGGGTCTCTCGTAAATTAAATGAATCGATAAGGCCGGGGGCCCGCATAGAGGCGCTCAGGCCAACACGGATTTTCTTCTCCCTCTTCAACTGTGACAAAGGGTCTTTTTTTTTTTCTCTTATACATTCCCTTAGACGATTTTCGATAGTGGGAAAGACACCCATTGATACCTCCGTCGCAACCCAACCACCCTTCGCCCAACCCGCGCCGTCAACAAACGACGAATCCCGAACGTACCGTGCACCGTTTCGGCCCCCCACGAGCTCCCCCGACGGCACTAAAAGAGCACGCGACTCAATTCCCTGAAAGGATTAGACACCTTCCGGCCCCTTTCCAAATCCCCGGAACGCATCCCGACCTTGCTGGAATCACACACTTTGTTGTCTCGATTCTGATATTACGCGTCTCTTCTCGACGGGTGTTTTGGACTTGATTCAGTCACTGGTCAGGCCACCAGCTACCTTCCGATTTTGGGGTTTGGTTCATGAGCGCAAGCGCGGAGAACTGAGTGCATGATAGCACGTGGATAATTAGGATGCCGCAGGCTGCGAGGTGGGCGGGGACGCCCTCCATCAAGGGCCGGAATGAGTCCACCAGGATGGCGCTTTTGACGTTTAGTTTGGTCGGATTGCAGTGCGTATTACCCTTTCCGTTTTGTTTTGGTCGGATATAGCGGGTTAGATGTTGTGCGACATTGTCTAGCCTGTGTTTGTCTTTGGAGGCCATGGATCGTTGTGTTGTGTCTGTGGCTGACTTTGGGTTTTCCTTGGGAATAGGTTCACGTGGGGTACTGAGATGACCTGTAAGAGCTATCCACATTCCAAATAGTCTCTATTGGGACTGTTTAGGATAATGATCGCTGACTTGATTTGTTTTCTGGTTAGATTGTACACCTTACCTTCTTCAACTTGGTTTGACGAAGTCTAAGACTTCATTGGTGTGGATTGCTGGCCCATTGTCTGGTTTGATCATCCAGCCTCTTATTGGAGTTATTGCCGATCGATCACGATCAAAATGGGGTCGACGTAGACCTTTCATGGTCTTTGGATCCCTTGTTGTTGCTTTTTGTCTGCTTGTCTTAGGGTGGACGAAAGAGATTGTTGGTTTATTTGTTAAAGATCCAGAAAAGGTACATATTCATTTTGTTGGAACACTCATCTGACTAGGTCTATGGATATGTGGAAGCTAATATTGAATTTTCACAGGCCAAAAATGGCACAATTGCCCTGGCTGTGGTGAGTATCTATGCAGTGGATTTCTCCATCAACGTTGGTAAGTGGCACACTTGTTCACACCTTAATTGAAGGTGGCTTACAATGTCTTAGTTCAAGCGTGCTGTCGCGGTCTGATTGTGGATACGCTACCGATTCCATCGCAACAAGCTGGATCCGCATGGGGTATGGCCCTTCCCCATATGTCTCAGCCTAAAACGCCACTGACCTTTTTTTGTACAACATAGCCGGGAGAATGTCTGCCATTGGCCAGCTTTTTGCTTATGTGGTTGGTTCCATCGATACCGTTAGCATCTTTGGTACTTTCCTTGGAGATACGCAGTTCAAGCAGATGACAGTGATTGCTGCCTTGTCATTGATGGTGGCAGTGGCAATCACCTCATACTCGGTAAAAGAGCGAGTCCTGATATCGGCAAGGTGAGTTGAACTCGAACCGTGACTCATTGCCATCAACTAATATTCTGTGATAACAGGGATGACGGAAGTGCTGGTGCTATCCAGGTCCTCTCTCAACTCTTCAAAACTACTTTCGAATTGCCACCTCGTATTCAAGCAATCTGCTGGGCCCAATTCTGGGCTTGGATTGGTATGGGAAATTCCACACCTACTAGGAAAATCAACAATGCTAACATTAACTAGGCTGGTTCCCCTTCCTCTTCTACAGCACAACCTGGGTTGGCGAAACCTACTTCCGTTACGAAGTACCAAAAGACGATATGGCCAAAGCAACAGACATGCTTGGTGAAGTCGGCCGCGTGGGCAGTCTTTCATTAACGGTCTTCTCATTCATCACAGTCCTCAGCTCTGTACTCCTACCCTTTTGTATCATGCAGCCCGATACCAAGCGGACACGATTCACCGCACGACCTCCACCAAAGGTGGCAGCAGTTCTCAAAGCCATCACCGCAATCCGACCCGACCTCCAAACCGCCTGGCTGATCTCCCACATCATGTTCGCCGCGACAATGATCTTCGCCCCTCTAGCCCACTCCCGCGCCTTCGCAACTTTCCTAGTCGCAGTGTGCGGTATTCCCTGGGCAATCAGCGGCTGGGCCCCATTCGCCTTCATGGGCGTGGAAATCAACAAATTAACAATGGGCGGTTATTCCCCGGCCATACCATCCTCCCGATCCGGTGTGACAATGATCACATCAGCAAGCATACGCAACAACGCCGCCGACACTGAGCTGGATGTCCTCCGACTGAACCACCACGATTCTACTGACAGTGACACCGATGAGGAGGATCATGCATCCAATATCCCGTCAACAGGTGAACTAGCCGGAATCTACCTCGGCGTGCTGAATGTGTATACGACGCTCCCCCAATTCGTCGGAACCTTCATCAGCTGGATTGTCTTCAGCATCCTTGAACCGGGCGCAGAACCCACATCCGATAACAATTCAGATTCGTGGATGAACCTCGACAAGGATAGGTATAACGCCATCTCCATTTGTCTCTTCATCGGGGCGATAAGTGCGCTCGTGGCGGCTGAGGCTACCCGTCGACTGCGGTATATACTATGAGCACAAGCAGTGCAAGCGGGAGCTGTGGAAGCTGCAAAATTACGATCCGTTGCGATGAATAGTTATTGATTTTTACTCGATACCCGGTGTATATTGCATGCGAGCCTTGTCTTGACTAAGGTTGGGATTTTGGGGTTTGTGTACCCACTGATAGAGAGAGAGAGAGTCTACATGTACAGTGAGCTGGGCCCTTTATCTGTCTCCATAAAAGGAGTTTTTGTCTTTTTCTTTTCTTTTGCTTTGGTATTGCATATACATAATACATAATACACATCTACCTACATAGGTAGCTAGTCCTGCGTACTATATTTCCTCCGTATTGGGCCTTTCTATCTTCAAATGCTAGATGCTGGTTTTATGAGGGCGCCTAAATTCAGACTCAGAAGAGTGAGCTTTAGTTAGGGTTCAGAGTGCCCAGGTGACCTCACCTGACGCTCGCTGGTTACTCAGAAGTTGATGGGACCTCGGCTCCGGGGGAGATGTGATGGAGCACTCAGTGCACAGTCTATACCCAAAATTGCATTTGCTCCATAATAATGTTTATTTTCTGTTTCCTGATCTAACCTCTTTTGTCACTGCTCACTGCCCTGAATCCCAAGCCGACATGCAAAGGGGAATGGATCTAGACCGAACTCGACGAAGTTCAGATCAGAAACGGGCGGATGACCTGAGGCCATTCCATCGGATTTGCTCGAAATAACCACTTTTTCGGTAGGGTGTGATGGATGTGGCGTTCAAAATTAAACCACATAGAACATACATATGTTACTCATCATGACTCCGTGTTCCGTCGACGGATATGTTATATACTCGCTGGGCTGTGTGTTTTTCCACCTTTGTCCGATCGCCAACGCAAAAACATAACCCGATTTTTAACCGCTGCCTAACATGAATGTGTCTCTTGGGGCCCCTGGGGTTGCTAGATAATACTACTTAACTCTGGGACGTGGATCGACACTGGCACGGTTATTCGGCACGTTTCTTTGACCCTGATTGATCGGACCCGCCGAGCAAAAAATGAAATAAAAATAGAAATCATTTCAGCATGGCACATACATATGTAAGTAAGAAGGTACTCCATGAGTGTTTCTATTTGGTATCTGGGCATGAGCCCATCTCTCTTTTAGACGAACACCAGGATATGTGAACACTAGGCTAGGACTTCTAGACAATCACTATTATAATTGATTTTATCAGAGATATCACGAGATACTTTTGACAGCCCTGGAGCCCTAAGCCTCTGGATTACGTAAGGTAACAGTCACTCCAGATCGTGTTGAGGCTAGCGTCAGTGATACGTGTTCCAGGAAGAAAAGCCTGGAGTATATAAGAGGAACGAAAACGATGATCCAGGAAAAGATGAGATTTGGAAAGATACAGAAATAGAAGATGACCTGATGAGGGGGTGCATTAGGACAGCCAAACAGGGAGACTGAAATGGGAGACAAAAAAGAGGCAAAGGGAAGGGGAATGAGGGGAAGCAGAGGAAAAGGAAGGCAAAGAACCAAGAGATTCGGTGTGCTCCCCAGCCTTGGCAAATGAGGCCGTGCAGCAGAAATATCGAGAATTTGATGCCAATCCAAGCTTATTACGCCGTACCGTCACATCTCGTTAAAATGAAGGGGTGGTATTAACCCTAGAATACCTACGTAATATTCAAATATTTCTTGATTGCAGTGTGGGAAGTTGAGCCGCTACTTTTACTTTCGAAGAGCCGCTACTGTTACCTTCGAAGATTCGCTACCTTTACCTTCGTAGAGTCGCTACTTATACCTTCGAAGAGTCGCTACTTTTACCTTCGTAGAGCCGCAACTTCGTAATGCCTCAACTTCGTGAGTCTCAACTTTGTGAGTCTCAACTTTGTGAGTCTCAACTTTGTGAGCCTCAACTTTGTGAGCCTCAACTTTGTGAGCCTCAACTTTGTGAGCCTCAACTTTGTGAGCCTCAACTTAGTAGAGCCGCTTCCTCGGCCTCATTTAAGGATGAATGAGCCTGGCTTCACTTGGAGTTATTTTTCACAATATGTCTTTAATAACAATTATTTAAAAGCATTAAATTCCCTCCTAGTACAGCGATCTCCAATACACTTACACTTTCTATCTCAATCTCTCTTTTCTACCCATCATGGTATACACTTCAGAACTCGAAGAATATTTACGGCTACGCCAAATATTCCAACCTAGCAGTGAGAAACGCAATTCCCATGCTGAAGCTTCTGCTATGCAACCACCTCCCCCTTTCGCTGGACAATCATCTCTCCCCTCGACAGATTGGCCTCTTTATGACCCTTCTATGAGCCACGCCTCTGCGTTTCTGGGTCCCAGCTGGACTACGCCAACCCAACCACCTACCTCTGCGGTCGGGCATACACCTGTACCCTCTACAAATTGGCTTCTTTATGACCCTTCTATGGGCCACACCTCCGCGTTTCTGAGTCCCAGCTGGACTATGCCAACCCAACCACCTACCTCTACAGTCGGACATACACCTGTACCCTCTACAAATTGGCCTCTTTACAACCCTTCTATAAACCATGCCTTTAGGTCTCTTCGTCCCGGCCGGGCGATGCATACCGCGATTGGTCACCCCACAGCGGAAATATTTTACCAGGGCAACATGCAGACCTCCCCGACCGTGCAGTATAGAGACACCGAGGTTGGAGCCGAGGGCCATCTCAGTCCGGGTCAAACCACAACCCATACCTGGTCCTCGACACCAAGTCCCTCAACCCAAGATACATCTCCTCCAGACCAGCACGATAGTGAAGCTGCTATTGTAGAGTCAAATTTTGTGCATGGCGAACCCCAGCAACAAGAGTGAGTCCGAGTCACACGCTCCCACTATTCCCATTTCATTATTAATCGTCATCCTTCTATCCCAGTGAATCGGACGGCTCTTTCAAATGTGGTTGGGGAGGCTGTACCCGCCGCGAGACGTTCAGCAGCCATGCATCATTGATGCGCCATATCAAGGTACAGCATGTGGCACATCGCTCCGTCAAGTGTCCGGAGTGTGGACAGGCATTTGGCCGTGTGGATAATATGAAAGAGCACCGGGGAAGACGTCATAGGGTATTTGATTGAGATTGAGATTGATGCTGACGATAATTAGGTTTGGGAGTTGCGGTCATTTGGAGTTTTTGTTGGTATAGGATGGGTGAGGATGGGATAGCCTGGGACTTTGAATGGTTTTTGGTTTTGTTTTTTCTAGCATAGAAAGGCGAATTCTGGGATAACCTGGGAATTTGAAATGGTGTTTTAGCGAATGAATCATTTACACTGAAAGGTCTGTTGTGGAGTTTGAGGTCCAAACCATTCAAATGTGGTAGCCCCACCGGTCCCGTCCCGATATCCAAAGTATCCATCAACGAACGTAGATTGGCATCTTGATCATCCATCGTCCATGACCATCAATGCTAAGAACATGGAAAAGATATATGTCCATGTAAAAGAGGGGTAACATGAAAGAGAAGGGTTGCATGTGATGAGACTAGTGTGTTGCATATGTACAAAGTACCAAGTACAACATACAACACACGGAGTACATATAACAATTATGGCTCGGCATAGCTTGAGGCGGAATAACCTTGATTTTATATAAATCCCCTATCAGCCCAAATTGGGATATTAGCTAGGTAAATGGCTTAAAGGCTCTATCTATGCTTATAAATCATTCACAATTTATTTTATTACTTGCTTTTTTAAAAAGACAAAAAGAAAAGGAAGAGGTGATTCCTAGCAGTACATCGCCAAGATGGCCATCAGACCGCGAACTTTGGTTCCAAGGGGGATCAAACTCAGGCCTGTGCTCCTTTAAGAGCAACCTTGCAAGTTTGACATTGCTCTTAACTACTGCACTACCCGGGTTATTGGCTGGCATAACCTGTTTCTAATATATAACCGAGCAAATAGAAGTCAGAAGTCATGTGACTTCTTAGTAGATGCATCCATGGACCTCATGTGCTATCACTTATGTAATCTTTCAATTGGAATTCTTTTTAACTATATGAGAATTATGCTCATGAATATGATGACATCATAGAAATTAACCTTGGGAGCTACCTGGATGAGTAATGCACAATTAACCTTCCAACCTTGGTGCTCAGGTGGAGTCAGTGACGGGATAGTGATACTGGTGATGCCCATCGCCACAAGCGGGGGAGAGACCATATAAAAAAGCTCATAACCACTTTTCACCCTCAATTCGACTAAAAAATCAATCCTTATCTACAATTTCATCGACATCCACATAAAAAACCACCAAAATGACACCCAAAGTCCTCGTCGTCCTCACCTCCCATGACAAGCTTGGCACCACCGGCAACCCAACCGGCTGGTATCTGGTATGCAACCCTAATTACAACTTCAATTAAACACCAACACATTCAACTCTTAAATAAAACAACCCAACTCCAAAATAAACCCCATACTAACAATAAAACCCCAAAGCCCGAATTCGCCCATCCCCACGAAGTCCTCCACGACAAAGTCTCCCTAACAATCGCCTCACCAAAAGGTGGCGAAGCACCCCTCGACCCATCCTCCGTAAAAGCCTCCGAGTCAGACGAGATCTCCCAAAAATTTCTAAAAGAACAGAAATCCCTCTGGACAAACACGCACAAGCTAGCAGATATTCTCCCGCGCGCAGACGAGTTCGATGCCCTCTTCTACGTTGGTGGTCATGGACGTGAGTTGCCTACCTGCTTCAAGCGATACTTATGCTATCCTATCTCCGCAAATAACACCCTCTAACAAAAACAATTCGTACATGCAGCAATGTTCGACCTAACCAACGACCCCACCTCCATATCTCTAATCGAAACCTTCGCAGCCGCCAACAAACCCGTCGCAGCCGTCTGCCACGGTCCTTGTGTCCTGCTAAACGCAAAGGCACCCTCCGGCGCACGGCTCATCTCCGGCGTGGGCGTGACCGGGTTCTCGAATGCGGAGGAAGATGCTGTGCACCTGTCTACTGCCATGCCGTTTATGTTGGAGACGGAGCTTGGACGGGTTACTGGTGGGAAGTATGTTAAGGCTGCGGAGCCTTGGGGGGAGATGGTTGTTGTTGGCAAAACGGCTGAGACGGGGTCGACGATTATTACCGGGCAGAATCCTGGGTCTGCGACTGGGGTTGGGAAGGCGATTTTGAAGGCTTTGGGGTTGTAGTTTTAGCTTAGGGTTTAGGATTGGAATTAGGCTAGGAAAACAGGGTACATACAGAATGTTATACTACGGTCATGTTATTCAAAGTTTGCTATTAGTATATTATTCTGGTTTTGATTGTATGCTTGAAATAAGTAAGAGGTCCATATTACATAGATAGTACTTCAATTCAAAGACACAAAGCGATTCATATTGGTAGCGAAACCAGAATCAATAGCAGTAGCGAAAGGGGAATAGAGCAACGGACATAAAAACAAACAGCAGCCCAAATTTGATGGGAAAGGAAATAAAACCAAGACAGGAGGAGATCTGTTGAGTCGAAGATCAAGAGACTGGAGAAAGGTCAAGAGAGATTGGAAAGAAAAGAAAAATAAAATAAACAGGTGTCGCAACCAAAAAAAGGAATCCATCAATCGTATCGCAGTATTCGTCGGCCTGTCCATCATCCAAGAACATGGAAATGGGGACCTCGTTCGGTCTTCAGACCGCGCTCAATAAGCAAACACGACCAATGTCTGGTCGGGAGAAGGGTATACAATTAACAAAAGATACTTCCTGGATCATAGCGAATAGAGAGCCAGGGGAAAATGATCCGGAAAAATAAAGGAAAATTGGTATGGGGATGTTGCAGACTAGCGTCTTTGTCCATCCTCGACGTTGCCAGTCAATTCGGCCACTCGAGCCTTGATGCGGGCGACACGGGCTTCGATGGCTGTGAAAACAAATTGTTAGTGTGGGTCAGGTTTGAGGATGGAAGTTACTACTCACTCTCTTCTCCACTAGTATCTCCCTCGTCAGTGCGCTCTGACTGGCTAGTTCGGGTGTTGGCCTCGGTGTCGTGCTCTTGCTCGCGCGACTGTTCCTGGTAGGCAGCGGCAGTCCGCTGGGCAGCAGCCTCGCGGATCGCCTTCCAGCGATCCTGTGTGGCTTCAGTTGTTGAGTCAGGCGAAGTGGCGGTCTCCGGGCGGACACCATTGCCGTTAGTCGGGGTCTGGGGAACCTCGGTCTTCTGTACTGCAAATTTGTCGCTCACGGGGGAATCCTCGGGGACGAAAGCAGGCTGATCACTCAGGGGGCCTTGGTCGAACTTGGAGAACTCCTGATCGGCCGCGTCGCGTTCATTAGTGCCAACGCGCGAGAGAGCATCGTACTCGATGGCGCGTCTGGTCTTGGGCGGCGCACCGTTCTCTTTCAGAGAGGCGGAGGGTTGCGTCGGGCTTGGGGGCTTTGCCGCAGTTTCCTTGGCGGTTGGTTGAACAGGCTCGGGCGATGCGGGCTTTTCCGTCTTAGTATCCACGGGTGTGACCGCCGCGGCGGGAGGGAGAGGCTTCTTCTTCACGGGACCAGACTCCTGAGCTGCTCTCGCCTTGGCCTCGAGGGCCGCACGGGTAGCTGCCACATTGGAGATTTCCTTAACATTAGCGGTCTTCACGGGAAGCTGTTGCTGTTCGGGCTTCTTTTTGGCACTAAACATGCTCTTAAAGGCAGAATTGCCAGCCTTCTTCTTCAGCTTCTTGCCCGCCTCGTCCACAGAGTCACGACGCTCAGTGGGTTCTTCAATAACAGCAGGCTTTGTGGTGGGCTTCTGCTCTTCGGGAGTGATTCCATTGACAGGTTTGGTTGGCGCTTCCTTAGGAGAAGGTGGAAGAGGGGTGGATACAGCAGCAGCAGCAGCTTCTTTGGGAAGTGGCGGGGGACCACTCTTTGCAGTGGTGGTCGGAAGAGGTGCCGACGGCGTGGCAGGCTCCTCCTCAGTGTCCTTCGAAATCGGCTCGGGGGCGTCCTGGGGTTCTTCAACATGACCAGTGCCAGCGCGGTCATCATTGAGATATGCCGCCCTGAAGGCACCCTTGTCGTAGTTCTTAGTCCACTTCATGGCCTGGGAAGCTTCATTCACAATGGCAGGCTGAAGGGTCATGACAGAGTTGGTCTTGGAGTAACGGCTGTTATTGGGAGTGGCGCGGTTCTCTTTCGCTTCCGCTTCTTGCTCGCGGTGCTTCTTTTGCAGAGCGGCCGCAGCTTCCTGGATGCGCTTGTGCTGATCCGGTCCGATGCTGGTCTTGCTCTGCATTCCCTGGTTGTTGGGCCGCTTGTACGAATCTTCAATGTTAGGCATCTTCTTCGCCGACGACTTGCGGCGACTGAGCTTTCCTCTACGGCTACCAAAGCTGAAGAATCGCTTCTTCTCGACAATCTGAGCACCGGCCTCGGGCTCTGGGGCAGCACCCTTGATCTGCTCTTCAAGGACCAGCCATTTGGTATCTCGAATTCTCGTCTCCAGAAGCGCGCATCGACCAAACACAGCCTTGCGGGCAGATGGCTCATCACCCGAGAGACTGCTGATCCAAACCCACCAGAACGAGTCGTCCATGTCTAGGGTGGTGATACTCGCCAACTCGGCAGGCTCGAGATCCGGCTCGATATCCAAGGAGCGCTTGTGCGACTGGGAGCTCATGCCACGTGCAGAGGCAATTGGAGGTAGAACCTTATCAGGAGGCAAGAGCAGAGGGCCCACGTGGTTCTTCAATCCGTTTTCATCCGCGAATCCGGAGGACATGAAGTCTGCCCACGAGGGGGTAGTGGGACGGCCAAGGTCACCTCCTCCAGATTGAGGAACGGATTGTAAGCTTCCCGCGGGTCCACTCTTTGTAGTTAATCCAGTTGCCGGCGGACCGGGTTCCTTGGCTTCATCCTCCGGGTCCGAGTCGATCGAACCACCGAACCCGATATCCTCGAAGCGAGACCAGGATGCATCTCTTAAACTGGTGGACTGCTTCGTACTCGAGACGCTCGATTGGTTCGTAGATGAGATACATCTGAGAACACGGAGACACTCGTCGGTCAATGCGCTGACGGGGTCTTCGTAGTTGGCAAATTCCTGCAAGTGCCAGTCGTCGTCGCGGTATTCAAAGTTCTTGGCGCGTCGCAACAACGAAAATGGCGTCGGGGAAACATTCTCAACAATCATAACCACCTTGGTCGTCGTAACTTGCAAAAGAGTCGGGGTTTCAGGAGGGTATTCGGTCGCTTCAACGAGTGATTGGAGAGAGATGGGTAGCGATGAGATGCCGCTCACGCCGCGATGGACATCGGGAGACAACGAACGAAGGTAGGCGAAGAACAAGTGGCTCGTAGCATCAGCGGCACTAGAGATCGGATATTAGAATACCATCTGGAAATATTAGATCAATGGAAGTCCATACGCAGCCCAGTTCTTATAGGCGGCCTCGAAGCCATTGCCTGTATCGACATGCTCAAACGCCCACCATCCAGCGTATCGGGAAAGCTTGCGGCCTCCCAAACCATTGGACTTTCCATGGGCCGCAATGGCGGCTAAAAGGTCGAAGAAGTCGAGAATAATATTGGTACGTGCATCGGAATCGCCGCCGATCGGAATGAAAGTCGAGAAAGCGTCGCGGGCCATATCCGAATCTAAGGGTCCATCAGCGCGTGTGTTCCCCGCATTCCATTCAATATCGCATACCATGTTCGCCCATCTTGAAGGTCTCGTACGCCTCCCAAGTGACAACACCGCCAGGGAGTCTGCTCCAGCACCATTTCATCACACTGCAAAGAACCTATTCAGATAATTAACGTTAGTAGCCATCCTGGTAACCCCCGGGAAGAAATTATCCCTCACCATCGGCTCAGTGAGCCGGAGCTCCTGCGACAAGGCATCTCCGTTGACGGGCGAGCCCTTATCGAAAGACTGATTAAAGTAATTGCGAATGAACGTGCGAGCTGCACTGGGATCGGAGCTAGGACGGAACGGTAGAAGAAGGAATGGCGTGTCGAGAGCTGTAACGACGAATGATCAGCAATCCGAACAAGGGCCCGTATGGCCCGTATTCCACGGTCAGAATATCAATCCACCTACCTCTGGCCTTGAGCTCATGCACACACCCTCGTACAAGGTCTTGGACTTCTTCCGGCGCAACCTCTGTCCGCTGCCACGCATCGCTCCATTTGGGCTTCGCGGGGGCTGTGTTGACCGCAGTGGGCTTGGCCTGCTTCTTTGTCGCAGTGGAGTCCTTGCCCCGAAACACCCGAGAAAAGAAGGACATGTCGGGAATGCGACTAACAATTGACTTTGCGCGTCAGAAAACGGCTTGTGGGGGGAGGGATTGAGGGTCCGCTTTTTTTCTCGCTCTCTCTCTCTCTCTCTCTCTCTCTTACTTCTGTTAATCAATTAGCAAGATGTCTAGACTGAAAAAAATGCAGACAACCGACACGGTAAATTAGACCGAGTGAATAGTTAAAACGTCTAGGCGTGTCCGGGATGTCCTGCAGCCCCGGTAACAGCAGGACAAGGTAAAAGGATCCCTGGTCTGGGATCTGATCTGTGCTTCTTTAGAGTGGGAACCACACAAGAAACCTCAGAAACGAAAAGCACAAGAGAAAAGGAAAAGAAACGAAAAAGCGAGGGTTGGGAAGGGAAGTGGAAAAAAAAAAGTGAAGTCACGAAGCTCAGGGGTAAACCAAACTAAACTTACCCGCGAGTCTCGACTCCGTTAGGGTGCCTCCACACAAAGGATTTCAACGTTTGTGTTTTTTAAAAAAATTTTAGAATATTCTTTTTTATAAAAGGAATTGAAGTTGACGTTGGGAAGAATTCGAATGAATGATACGGACAATGATCATTTTTCTAATCTGGGTTTGGGGGATCCAAGGTTATATTATGTGTACGGAGTATACGGGTTATAGGTCTATTCTATTGGGGGAGACTATCAACTATCATTCAGACGTGTCGATATGTATATATTAATTATTTCCCTGCCCAATCTCCCATTAGAGCCAATCATATAGGTGTAAGTACTGACAGGATGTACTTGACCTACATATACATATGTCAAAATACATAAGTGTACTTTTAACTCAAAAGAGATGTAATGGTGGCTTTGAGATCAGATTATACTACAGATCTGGCGCTTTACTCTTTATAGGGACCTCGGGAGATATAGATATCACGGGACTAGAACTGCCTATCCATGGATAGCTTGATAGCTTTATAGTTTGTATAAATCTGACATCTCTGTGGATCTTTAATCTACCTCTAGTATATATCTGTACCTGAGCTTCCCCGGGTTGACATCATAGACCCATGATTCCATGAATTACTCCGGTCCAGGGTCGAAGAGCTGAAAGAATACTAGTACTCCAGACTTTGGTAGGATAAACTATAACCCAATAGGAGCTGGAGGGGAAGACTCCACTGTGACAAGCTGCAGGGACAATACTAACTGTAGTTAGTCGTAATCGGTACTTTGTAACCTGTCCTTCAACGCTGAGACAAAAAAGATAAATATAGAATCCCGGCGCCTAAGGCCTGGCTGAGTCAGCGAGTAAATCTTCTCAGGTCCTCCTCCCTCGATTCTATCTTTAGAATCAACCTTTCCTGCATCGTCAATCATCCTTTCTCCGCTCCCATTTACTTCGTTATTTTTTTGGGTTCCTTTTTGTCGCCCCTTAAACCTTTCCCATCTCCTCGGGTTCACTGTTCTTTGAACACCGGGGGGTCTTCATTGTTTTCGAGTCGCGTCCAGCCCCCTCCTCAACTATTCTACAGGGTTTCTTACATTGAAACCACGTTGATTTCTGGTTTCGGCTCCCTTTGTTGACTAGTCATACCATTCCTCAGGTATCCTCGTGCCGAGTCGAACTTTCTTCTCATATACTCGTGTGCCACCGTGTGGCTAGGATCGCCATCGCGTCGATTCTACATCTTGGCTAATTAAATCATAATCGCGCGAGGTATCTCGCAAGTCGCTCCGCGACTTCCTGTACCTTTTATTCTCAATATTTCTATCGGTGCGCAATTGATGCGCCCGTAATTATCCATCATGGGTCGCAGAAAGATTGAGATCAAGGCCATCAAAGATGACCGCAACCGCTCAGTGTATGTTGAATCATCCCACTTGAAGCATTCTAGTCGCTAATCGGAGATTCTTCGGCCATAGCACGTTTCTGAAACGAAAGGGGGGTCTGTTCAAGAAGGCGCATGAGCTCGCCGTCCTTTGTTCCGTGGATGTAGCTGTCATTATTTTTGGCCACAACAAGAAACTGTACGAATATTCATCATGCGACATGCATGATGCTCTTGGTCGCTATCAATATGTGGGTAGAACTTTCCTCGATCTATCCCGAAATTCTCTAACTGGTAGTTATTTCTCAGTTTGGCCCTCCCCACGAGCATAAAGGCCCGGAAGATTTCGCGGGTAAGCGAGATGACGATGATGAGGAAGATGAGGCTTCGCCGGCTCCCGAGGACATCCAAGCAGTTCAACAGAACCACCCCGCCATTCCCCCTCACCTCCAAAATCAGCCCGTCTTCCAGCACATGAATCATGCACCATCCGCGTCACCCCCGATCCATCATGCCATGACACGTCATGGAACCCCGCAACCCCAAGGCACTTCGCGTCCCTCCTCAAGGAATCACATCCGCCGGGTCAGTTCAAATCTAGGCCCCCAGCAACATGGTACACCTCCACCGCCGCCACCCCCTGGCCCGCAGAATGGAGGGTTTACGTATATGCCGAATCCATCTATGTACAATCCGAATGTTCACGCCATGAGCCAGCAACCTCGACCAGGACAGTTTGCGCACTATGGACACCCACCAGGACAACACCAAGGAACGCCTCCTATGCACCAGCACGGTTTACCGCCCCAGCAAATGCCGCCACAGCATCAGGGCCAACAGCATTTCCAACAACACGGCCATCCCGTAGGAATGCCTCCGGGGCCCCACCAGCACGTGCAGCAGGCATATATGCAGGAGCATGGGAGAAATTCGATGCCTCCAGGATTCGCACCTGATAGTCACCAAGAACGACCTGGCTCGGAGCACCCGCAAGATGATTCTTCTGTGATGAAAGCAGAGCACAGCCAATCGCCACCCCAAATGAAGTCGCTATCGAAATCACGGAGTATTTTCACGCCTATTGATGATCGAGGATCGGTACTCGCCCGCCATTTCGGAGCCGGGGCAGGATCATACGAGTCTCACAATAACAACTCTCTCAAGGTCGAAGCACTACCGCAAGCCTCGCTTGGTTCCAAATCAATGCCCGTCAGAGCTGCGACGGAGGCTCCTCGTCCAGGACCAATTACTTCGACACCAAAAATCAAACCACCATCCCGAACTAACAGCGGACCGTTGCCATCAAAACGACCGCAGTTGAAGGTGCAGATTCCTAGCGAAACCTCCGATGGTGGCAGTGCCACGGCCGACTCGTCACGCGATTCCGCCGGGAATAAAACCTCCACGCCTGCGAAAGGGAGTGCTGAAAATGGTCCGCCAGGCGTGGTCTTACCCCCTCCGTCGCCATCAGCCGGTGCAATACTGAGTGCGGGAGCGCAAGGGCCTCCAAATCCGTTTGCGCGACCGCCTCCCCCCGTTGCTGCAGCGCGAAACGACTCTTACGGCAGCAATAGTGGAAATCCGAACAATGGGAATAACTCGAATAACATCGAAACACCCATATCCGCCTTGCCGAGTCGCTTCGTATCCGATGCCCTCCTCCCATCACCTTCCAGCTTCTTCCCCGAATGGGGCTTTGGCCGGTCCGGCCCAGACTCCAACATGCTGCCCAGTCCCCTCACCTTCCCGACTCCGGCAGTGCAAAGCGGTCCTAGCTTTTCTCGAGAAGACGAACAAGAGAAGAAGAGAAAAAGCCCCGACAGTGGATCCGCAGGGGAAGGTACACATAAAAAACCGAAAACCTGATGATGATGCTTGGCTTCCCTTGGGGAATTTGTCCCCCATACTGTAAAGTGCTGGCATTTTGATCAAGAGACCTGTCCGTATGGACATCCAGTCTCACTTTTCTTGTCAATACCCCATACCTCTTTTTTGCCCCGGGGGCATTTGAATGTTCTCCATTTCTAGTTCGATCAAGCTTCGCAGTCCATGTATCCTCTCTATACCCCGGTTATTGTCATTCCTTTCTTTCACCATTTTTCCTTCTGTCTTATTCCCTTTACAATGACATTTCTTACTGGATCTTGAAGTGATATACACCAGTGCTGTCTTGTGTCAACTTTTTACCTTCCTTTATTTTCTTATCTCTTGATTTTTCTAATCTCGCGCTTTTTTTTTTTTGCAAAGACCTGGCGTTGGGTCTGTTTAACTGCTTTGACTCTTGGATGATGTGCATAAAGCAGGTTCTTGTTTCTAGGAATGATGCCAATCTTTTTTTCTGCCTGCTCATGTCTATTCCTTGCCACACTATTAAACAGTAAACTTACCACTTGCCTGATTGAGTAGAACCCTTAAACCCCTCACTTCGGTGTTCGATCGAAGATCAAATACCGAAATACCGAAAGGATATGAACAATGCGAAGTATAAAAGCCTGGCACCAACCCCGCTTTTGCCACTTTGATTCCACCAAGGTGCTTCTTCACAAAAACTAGTATACATACTATATCTATCCTGAACTCAAAATGACTTTCACTGGAAGCTGCATGTGCGGCGGTGTTACTTACGCCGTCGAAGGTATATCAATTGCTCGAAATCTATATACTTCAAAAGCTAACAGCATACTAGCCGACACTTACCTGGCCGCCCTGTGCCACTGCACCGACTGCCAGAAGGTAACACACAATACTGATATACCAAGGAACCTGAACATAATCTCTAATGCTGAATAGTGGTCCGGTGGTGCATTCACTTCTAATGCAGTCGTTCCCCGTACCAGCCTCAAAGTGACAAAGGGTAGATCTTCACCTTGCACCAAAATCAACTTCTTAGTTTCTGACCCTTCTCGCTTTTTTAAACAGGTACCCCCAATTCCTACGATGCAGTTGGTAACAGTGGAAAAATCAATAAGCACTTCTTCTGCTCTACCTGCGGTTCAAGTATCTACACAGAACTGGAGATCATGCCCGATATGACTTGCGTCAAGGCTGGAACACTCGACGGCGGGGAGGCTAATCTCAAAGGAAAGGTCGATGTCGAGTTCTATGTTAAGGACCGTCCGGCTTACCTTGCTGCTGTTGAGGGTGCTAAACAAGAGCAATTGCTTGGTTGATTTGTTTGATATTGGTCAAAACATGTTCTATATCCGAGAAGAATATATTCATTTATTCATATGCCTCACTTGAGACTCTCCATAGAGGCTCCCAATATTTTTTCGATCGTCTAGTGTCCTTATGACTATTTAAACCCTCGAATTCCTAATTCCACCCTCATCCTCATCCCCTTCTCACCTTTCATTTCTAATCAAATAGCAAATAACCATCAACCATGACATGTTTCACCATGACACTACGAGGCCAATACACCGCCCGTCGCTTCCCAGAGAGCGCAATGATCCACCTCATCATAGAATCATCCAGCGAGTCCGAAGAAACCGTCTCTCGAGAAGTCATCTCGACCTGCAACAGCCTCCGCAAAATCCTAGAAGCCCTCTGTCTACGAGAAGAAAACGGAGCCGTAAAACCCGAAGCTGCAGTATCGAGCATCTCTGCCAGCCACATCCACGTCGCATCCAAGGACCCCAATGCAAACAATTCAACAAAAGACCCCAAAGATAGACCCCTCGTGCACAACGCCACAATCACATTCTACGCCGTCTTCTGTGACTTTAACGAGATGCACAAGTTCATGTAGACGCTAGATAGATATCGCAACGCGAGACTAAATAATGTTTCCTGGTACCTCACCGATGCTACTAATCACGAGGTCGGTGCGCAGGCGCGGAAGGGGGCTTTGCTCGATGCTGTTATGAAGTAAATTTTGGTTCTACAATATCTAGGAACATTTCAAAGTACCCAATTGAATGGATTGGAAATCCAGTTCAGCCTCTTATTCTGTTTTTTTTTTTTTTTTTTTTTTTTTTTTTTTTTTTTCCCAAGTCTCCCAAGCTATCTGACAAAGGCCATGAGGAGAGCCCAATAGTAAGACCTTTCGGACCTCGCGTGCCGAGCCCCGACTATCGTTGGTCTCATAACCTTTCATCACTTTCATCTGAACTTTTCATTTATTCTGCTCCAATTCATCTCTTTATTCATTCATATCATAATTGACATCATCCCAAGCACTTCTCGTCATGCAAAAAAGCAGGAAACGCTCTCGTCTCAGCCCCGATATTGACTCTGTAACACCTGCTTGCAATCAGTGCCGGTCGCGTAAGGTGGGTGTTCTTATCAACAGAGTAGCTATATGGATTATGTAGTAATTTAGTGCCTTTCAGATTCGATGTGATCGTATAAAGCCAGAATGCTCGACCTGTCACAAAGCTGGTGTCCCCTGCGACTTTTCCGCCTCGTTTAAAAGAACGAATCCGGCCAAGCAACTGTACAACCCACTACGATAGCTTTATTCCTATGTGAAGATGAAGAATACTAATTGAAACAGGGTGCAAGACTTCTCGTCAGTCCTCGGCCGGTTGGACCATGTAGATCGATCACTGATCCGCCTGTCTGAACAAGTTGAGTCGTTGATGGCAACGTCTACTTCCAGGGAAGAGCCATTCCTCCTGCCTAGCACCCAAGACCACCATGAATCAGGCACCAACGAGCTGAAAGGGAACTCGAACGCAAATTCAATAAGACGGGGTTTCTTGACGGGGGAAAGTAGCGAGCATCCGTACGGCTATCCCGCCGCTCTGTGTTTATTCCGCGCCTCGCAGAAGTTGCTTAAGACAACCCTTTCTACCAAGTCCCCGTCTCTCACCGGTCCCTTAGCAGGAATCTCGCAAAATAGTGGCTTACGGCCATCGCTAATGCGTCATTATGAGACTTTTCCGTTTCGAAAGAGGTGTGCCGATGGGCCCATTTCTGGGGATCAACAACCTATCTCGGCGCCTCCTCAGGATGTTGTGTATTCCCTGCTCGATCGCTATCTCAATCACATCAACTTCTTTGTGCCAGTGTTTGAGGCTGATGATTTATATGCCGCCATCCGAGAATGTTTCCAATCCGATGGCCCTCCCATCGATCCCGCCTGGCTGGTGTGCTTGAACAGCATTGTCCTGTTGACGTTGCAGTTGGATTGCCAAGTGGCCCGGAGATCCGACTTCAAAACCAACCCGTGGAGTAGTAGTTCACAGGTAATTTCGGACGCCTTGAACAACTGCTATCGAGCCCTAGACGACCCGCACGCGCTGTCGCAGCCAACAGTCGTCAACATTCAGGCTCGCATCATGCTGGTAAGAGAGGCGGTCCTATAGATGAATCATGAGCATAGTTGTGCTAAATTTTGCAGGCTCTGGTGACACGAGAGTTCTTTATCACTTCGGCATTCGAAAGGGCTTGCTCTTCAGCCTGTCAACTTGCGCGGTCGATGGGGCTCTACCGGTCTGTGGGGATGGATGAGAGCGCGCTAAAATCCCGTGAGCGACTCTATTGGATCTTATACGGTATGGACAAGGCCCGGGTCTTCTTCAGTGGTAATTCTCCCGATCTGCATTTCTTTGACTCCGAGTTTCAGCCCCGAATATCTACCTCGGATATTCCCCCTGAGGTGCATTTCCATGCAATCGCATCACATATGATGACTGTCTGGGAGGAAATCTACATCGGCCTATACTCAGCAAGAGCTGTACGGTCAGGAGCGAGTTACCGTAAAGATCAAGTGCATCGATTGCAACGTCTTTGTGATGAGTCTCTACCTTTAATCCCTCCACTGCGGTCCCACAACCCCGGCCTACGTCTGATGCAGCTGGAGATAAAATATTGCTATCATGTCAGCAAAAGTTTGATTCACCGTTGCGATCAGACGGTTGAGGGACGGCAGATTACGCACGATCATGCCGTTTCGGCCCTTCAAATTATGACCGATGTGTTCGAGGAGCCTGTGACACCAAGCAGCTGCCTTGTCCTGGGCCGGTAACTGCGCTCGCATCCCCAATATCCAGACCCCCAAAGCTGATAACTTGTCGACAGGATGTTCCAGAATTACCCGCTGGTTGCATTCCACGACCTGTGTGTGCGATACCTCACAGGAGATGGGGCGGCTGACTCTGCGGCCATAGTTCCACGAATAATGAACCTTCGTCGTCAATTGGGCTCCATAGATCATCAGGAATTATCTAGCGCATATGTGACGAAGCTTCATCAGGGAGTTGGTTGGTGCACCGACTTAGTTAGCATTGTTTTCGAGGCCGGTCAGAGTTGGCAGCCCGCCCCATTCCTACTGACCCAGTCGGCAACCAATGATTCCAGTGATCCTCAGAAATCTGTGCCGGTCGGTTATGGCTCTGCAGCTGAGTGGCTGGAGAATAAGGATAATCCAACCCAAGAGCAACCATATTCCCTCGGATCGTTTCCATCGCCGGATTACTTCTTTGACCCTGCACTTTTTGAATCTTTGCTTATGGAAGGACATTTCGCCCCGTAGAATACACTTTTTATGATAAATCATAATTGTATTTCATTTATTAATTATGATGCTCGCTTAGCCATGAAGCTGTACTGTATCTGAGCCGCCATATAACCGTAGCACTACACACACCCTTGCTTTCCAGTACCAAAGACCCGGCAATCACCTAACCAAATACATATCACAGACCTCACATGAAGTTGTGAAGACCACATAAAATCCGGATGCAACATTCTCTGCTTCATGTTATCCCTCACGACTTCTCTAGTGTCATCTTTCAAGTTTTGTTGGCCGACATACGAGACCACATCCGAATTTTCTGTCCATAAAATAAGAAAACAACTGGGACAGGGGCCAAAGCGACAGCTAAAAACGCTAGAAGGCTAGTTGCCCAAGGGAACCCCAGATTGTGGTACATAGCATTAGCAAAGAGAGGAAACCCGGCCCCGAAGCAGCTTCGAACTACCGTATTAGCAGAGATCGCGCTGTTCGCATAAATAAGGTACACGTCGACAATGTATTTTAAACCAGAGATGAAAATGGCAAACATCGACGACGACACCAGCGCCGGTGCCACGATTTCCGCGCCCCAGGAGATATGGGGGTTGCTGGTCCACGCGAACCAGAACAACCCAATGGGCAGTCCAATGGCGCCGACAATCATAGGCGGCAGGCGACGCTCTGGTACAGACTTACCTGAGGTTGAATTTACCTGGCGCGCGAAGATCGTAACGGACCAAGTGAACATGCCCACCAGCCCGATGATGATCCCGACGAACAGACCCAGGAAGGAGAGAGACCCGATCTGAGGCTTCCAGCCGCGTTGCTCCACGAACGAGATGGGGAAGCCTTGAAAGAAGAGGAACAGTAGCCCGTACAGGAATCCCATATATAGTGTGACCAGGATCATGATGGGCTCTGTTGCAAGGAGAACTATATGACTGGTCAGAGGAGGCAATGATCAAAGTCCGTGTGACTGCTTACTCCAAGGGCGCACGAGATACACCTTCACAAAAGAGTTCATCGTCGTTTCGCTTTCCTCCTCCTTACTATGCAACGCCCAGTTCTTCGTTTCGAAGCGAAGTCGAGCCGCTTTGGCTGTGAGTAGGGTCGGACCAAAAGTCTCAGGCAGAACGAGCACGGCGAAGATTGAAAAGCTATAAGCTACAATCATTGTAATCCACATGGTCCATCGCCAGCCGAGATAACTTTGAGTGATGAAATCACCCACAATGGGACCAATAACGGGGCCAACGAAGGCCGTGGCCACGAAGCAATCTAACGAGATTCCGCGACTGATCGCAGTGTTCCATACGTCTGTCAAGGCACCGCCTGTCACGGCCATAGATGACGCACCAAAAGCACCGCTAAAGAATCGCGATATCAGGATTGTATAGAAATTCCGTGCGAGGGCGATCGGAATGCAGAAGGTTGCGAATAGCACCACACCGCTGAGAATGGGCCATCGGCGCCCGTACTTTTCTGATAGAGGGCCGAAAATCAATGGACCGGTGATAAATCCCTATACATAGAAGGATATAATCGATTAGCTATGGGGTTCTGCTAGGGAATGTAGAGAAAGGGGGCCATACAATTAGAAACATGGTGGTGGTCAGAACGGCCAGCTCGGAGCTGACATGGAATTCCTTCTCCAGCGATGGAGCAGTACCGCTCATGACACTGGAACCGATATTGACAACCAAAGGCAGCATAATGAGCACAGAGCTGACGAATAATTTGTACTTTAGGGACCAGTTATGAGGATTTTCGGGGTCGTTCGGGCCGTCCCATTCTACTATCCATGCCGGCTGTGGGGGATCGGGACCCTTTTCAACACTCTCAATGCTCTCAGCATTCTCGGTAGAAGAATTGGTCGACATTTTGTGTGATTATGATTGATGTTGGGTGTGGTTGAAGGTGTTTATCTATATGTGTCTGACATCGGAGCTCGGCAGCCGCGCCCGAGTTAATGATATGCGTACGCAGGGAATCATCAGTTGTGATCCATTGATTGATCGGGAGTACGGCACATATCTACACGGAACTGATGGGCATAATAGTATACTCCCGGGGGTAATAGCTGCATGTAGTCACCGCTGGGTTTCTTGTACCCAAAGTCACTCCCTATACCACCATAGAGGCAGCAAGCATAACAAGCCCACCAAACCCGTCCATTCCCTCGCACCACTCTTCCCAACTTGCAGTAAACCTTGCTGGGTTGTTCGCAGTAATAGATGTATGGACCAGCGCTGTCCCACCGTGATTCTCACCAAGTTTGACTAAATCCCCGCTGCCAGTCAACCCAAATTCAGCCTGAACTTCCCCTTCTCTTTGGCTTTCTGACTTCCACGCAGCCTCATTACCTGCTTCCCAAAGCTGTTTCTTTGCCGGTAGGGGTGCGAGAACCAGAT